CTCTGTTCTGTCTTTGTCACGTCGAGACGTGCCAGAACTTACCCGTCATACCTTGACTGTGTCGTCAAACATCAACTCGTACCACGACCATCACCACCACAGTTTCGTTCAGGACCCTCTAATCGTCTGAGGTACCTTTCACTCTTATTCATCTTTACTGATCATACGGTATCAGTTACTTTTCTTGCGTCATTTGCCACGTCTTCGACGTACAACATCATCTCCGTTCGGACCCTCTAACCGTCTGGGATATTGGCATCCTTTATCTTCATCTCTTGTGATTATCCTCTTACATCTCGTCTTTCTCTGTCCTCATCACAATGGAAGATACACAAATGCTCGATGTGATCGATGAGCCGACCAATCTCATGGCCTTCGACGAAATGGAAGTCGACCACCAAGTACCAGTACCACCCGCTTATCATGACCGCATGGCTGGAGAGACCAGTCCCACGTATCTTGTCCGGATTTCGCGGTACTCCAAGTCCAACCCTCCTATGGCTTACCCGTTGACAACACTGAAGGCTCCCAAGAAGTCGCCACCGAAAGTACGCTTTCGTCCTTACCCCGGTGCCCGCAGGTGGCTTCACGCTAGGGGAAAATTGGCTCCGCCTCGCAAGGAGCATGTTCCGCTCAAAGTGAAGCCTGTACTGAAGTCTGTTTGTGAAGTCATGGGGCTTCGTCGTCCACTGAGCCTAAAGACAACGACCCATGCACCGGACCATTTGGCTCCCGTCACAAATCCTCGAAAGCGACAGCTCGATGACGACGGCAGCCAGCCCGATACGAAACGCCGAGATCCAGATGACACCAGACGCGTGAATATCGACGGGCCAGTTTCCAAAGAAGACACACCTGTCCCTCACTTTCCTGGATCATGGCCTCAAGATCCGCCAACGAACGAACCGTCAACCCCCCCGAGCAACTTCGTTCCCTTGATGTCAGGTGCTCTGCAAAACAACCCTCACGACCGAACTCCTGGAGGAATTGTGCCGATTTCACCGAATGGCACCCATATCCCTCCGGAGTATCTCGAAGCTGAATTCGATCACGATAACCAAAGTGGCATCAGTTCTTGGCGCGGCCTTTGGCTCCCGTGCCACAAGGTCGCCGACATCTGTATGAGAGTGCAACGGGGACTGAGACAGACTATCTTGAGCACCGTCCAGGTCGCCGTAGAGGTCCTAGGTTCCGTTAAACGGCGGGCCTTTGGTATCGAAAGGCGCCAGGAATCCAGAGCAATCCACATTCCACTTAGCTCCAGGAAGAGACTCGAAGCACGTCGCCGTGAGATGCTTGTTGGAAAAACTCTGGAGCAACGGCGTGCCTTAAGGGACCAGTGGAAAAGACAAGACCGGAACTTACCTCCATCCCCGACGAGACCCCAGCAGGAGCGCCTCATTGCGAAGTCGGGAAACGAACCGTTTACTGTTGGTCCTCTTCCATCTTTGGATCGTGAACAGTTCTCAACTCCGTCGCTTGCCCTATCCGAAGTTCCCCGCCGTAAGGCTGCCGCACACAAGACGACAAAGTCATCCCTCAAAAAAGGCCCGCCCCGACGGAACGCTACACCCATCGTGACCCGAAATGGTTCTCCTCTGCCGAAGGATGTTCTAAATCGCACCAAAACAAGTCGAATCACCAAGTCGAAAAGCTGGAACTCGGTGTCTAAACACAAATACGTTAAAGGCGAGTGGGTGCGGACGAATAACGGCTTCGTCCCGCCGTGGCTCCGCAACATTCCACAGCATAGAGTTTCACTTGATTCCCTCGATCCTTCGTTTTTAGAATTACACAACATACCGTTGACTTCACCGCCGCCGATGACTACCGAATACGCATCGCCATCTTTTCCCACCGAATACGTCGAGCCGTCGGCCTCACGTCCTTCTGTCGCTACTTCTACCATCGAATCTGCTGCTGAATTGGCTCGTCCATCTGCACCACGTGCTGTCGACACTACTACTGCCGGATCTACTACTGAAGCTGCTCGCCCACCTACACCACGTCGCACTGCTACCATCGAATCTACGGCCGAGCTATGTCTCCCATCTTCACCGCGTTGTGCTGCGAACACTGCTACCGCCGGATCTACTACTGAAACCGTTCGCCCATCTACACCACATCGTACCGTCGACCCTACCACTACTTCTGAAGCTACTGTTGAACCTGTTCAGCCTACATCATCACGTTGTACGGTCGATACTGAGTTTTCTGTTGAAGACGAGCCTGTCCTTCGCCCCGAACTGGCACCTTACCTACGGCGTGTTCCGCAGCCGGCCCACGTGGACGATACTAGAGCAGATGACGCTGTCGAAAACGAGCTCGGCCAAGCATTACAGCAGCTATCAGTTGCCCGTGTTGAAGATGAGCCCGCCGGACACAGCCCGCTGGCTGTCCACTGGCTCCAGTCGGACACACCATTAGGCCGACCAATCTCATCCGTCCGGCTTTTCAACCCAGAATCGCCGGTACGGCCGCCGCGACGCAACGAAGCTCTTTACGAGCACGAATGGCGGCAGAAGGACCAACTCAATCGGCGGGGCCGGCGCCTCCGTCCGGAACCAGGACGCGCCGTGCGGCCATTGTCCCCCCAGTGGGAGGCTCGGGTGGCCGACGCCATGTCGGCACCCAATTCCCGGCAATTGGCAACCACGCTGAACGGCGATCCACTGACCCGTCGTGACCTGGCATCCTGTCACACCCCCGAGGCCTGGCTCAACGACGAGGTAATCAACGCATACCTCCTCCTCCTCGTTGATTACCTCCGCCGGGTCTCGGGGAACGCGGGTCGGCTGGATCGGCCGAAGTACCACGCGTTTAACTCCTTCTTCTACTCCAATCTTCGCGATCGGGGGTACGAGTCTGTTCGTCGTTGGGCGACCCGCGCGAAGATTGGAGGAGAAGCCCTCCTGGACGTGGACATGGTATTCGTACCTGTCCACAATAGTGCTCATTGGACCTTGTTGGTCGTCCGGCCGGCCACAAGGTCCATTGAGTACTATGACTCGCTGGGCTCCCGTTCGCTTGCCCATGTCAACAACATCAAGAAGTGGCTGCGGGGAGAGTTGGGGGACCACTACGTGGAGGAAGAGTGGGCCGTCCTCCCCTCCAACTCCCCGCAGCAAGACAATGGCAGCGACTGCGGGGTCTTTCTCCTAACCACGGCCAAGGCCCTGGCCGTGGGCCTCGAGCCCGACGTTTACAGCTCCGCCGACATCACCACGCTCCGAAAGAAAATCGTCGCGGAGCTGATAAACGGAGGGCTCGAGGGGGAGTTTGACCCCGTAGGGGAGTCAGGCGAGTCGCGGCTGTAAAGCCGCCCAGGAGGGATGGAGTTAAACGCGTGGCAGCGTGGTTGCCAGCTGGGGGGACAATGGAGGGAGGGGGGTGGGTGGCAGGGAGGAGGAACAACAAAAGAAATTTTTTTTAAAAAAACTTACACGTATTTTTTTATTCGTGTTTTTATATGTCTTGTTTTGGTCAGCGGCGGAATCCAACGGCATCGATGCCGACTGGGTCTAGTTTCGACGAGAACCTCCATCGATGTCGTTGGATTCCGCCGTCTGTACCATCATTGCATCTCATGTATGTAGGAGTACCCGAATCAGTCCGGGGTGTGGAGGCAGGACTCCACACCCGACGGTTTTGATGTCGGTTGTTTTTCTTTCGTTTGCATCTGGCGGAGTTGGGAGATGGGAGTTTGGGTTTGTACTGCTACGGACATGTCTGCTGTTTCTGGGAGTTGGGATGGATGCTTGTTTCTTGTCTGTCTGTCTGAAAATGAGGGAAACTGGGCGTCATTGCATGAGGATCGGAGAAATGAGGGCATGTAATTTTTTTCTTGTACGATACCCATCAGTTGAGCTACGAGCTCCTGTCTGTCTGTCTTGTCTATCGATGGCCTTGCATTGCTTGCACGCATGAAAAAAGCGATGGTGGTTGTTTGTTTCAAGTCTGGAAGAAGGAAAGAAAGAAAGAAAGGGCATTCATCATGTACTTGACCAGCATTTTATCATGTTCGTTCGGACTGAGGACTCAGGATTGAGGATTGAAAGTCGAGGATTACATTGATTGATGACGATATGTACTCACTAGATACGATGCATCATGGCGGATCTTCTTCCTGTACATACATACACTTTATGTGGTTTTGATCCTGTACCTAATTCATTAATAACTGCATGCAAGCAAGCAAGCGCATTTGAGAACTGGCCATCATAATCATAATGATCATCCACAAAAACACGTGCTACGCCATCTTCATCCTGTAGATGTGCCCTGGTAGTGCAGAGGTGCTGGCGGGAAAAGAAGACTGAGAATCGTTTAAAAAAATGGAAGGGAGAAAAAAAAATCTCTCGCTCGTCGTAACGTTTCGTTTCCGCCAATAAAAGTGTTCATAATATCGAAGTTGCATAATCCGCTGCGTTTACTACTACAGTTTCACTGCATGATTGGAATGCCATTTCAAGGTAGAATACACAAGCTTTAAATCCACTGCATTCGCAAAAGGTGGAAATTACTACAGATTGAACAAAATACAACGCAATATGAACAGTGCTGCGATAATTTGCTTGTTTCAAGGGATGAGGTTTACAGAATAAACACTGCTGAGGCTGACTGATATTTCCAAAAATCTAACTCCAAAGTTCGCAATTGAAGCCCAAGTCAAGAATCTCTATTAATAACTGCTGCAATACAACGAGTACGACAACCAGGAAGGGCCCAATAGAACTCGGCCTGTTCCTCCTAGGTCCAGGTCAAAAAGGTGCAGAGAGAACGTGATAAACATAAGACATGAACGCGAAGGATGGTTTCAGAACACGGACAATAGCCGACCAAGACATTTATCCTCTCCTAATAAGTCTCCGGTTCTGCGTCGGGGGTATAATTCAATACAATCTCGGGTATACCGTTGTGTTTGACATCATCGACGCGACACATAACTTTACATTCCTTGCCTTGGTTCCTTTTCAGAATATGTTCCTGCTCGTTGTTATTGTCACTTGTCTCGAACGCCGGGCTTTTCGACAGTTCATGACCGTCAGTTTGGTAATGTTTGCTGTGTGGAGGGTACACCTGGATATGCACTTCATCATCGACATCGGCATCCCTCTTGATGGGAGCGCCAGTTACATTGTAGGCCAGCTCAATCCATTCGATACCCAAGTGGACGCTCTCACCGACCGTTAGATTGCCGGACCAGAGGCCCCCATCGCTCCACAAGTTGATTATCAACATACTCGGGTCGTGCGGTACCGAATACGTCATATGGTCCTGAAACTGATTCTCGACGTACCAGCGAGAGATGGTGGAGAACCAGTCGAGCCGATGTGTCGACCATGAGGTCCAGGGGACCGGAACATCTCTCACTATGCTTGCACCAGGTATCACTCGGTCGGAGACAGGGTCATAGTCGGGCTGGTTGGCATAGTGGACTCGGTTCGGTGGATCGGCGGTCAAAATTTCAATGTCCGACTCGCTGGTTGTTGAAAAATAGGTGAAAATGCCTGCACACGCTCCGTTCGGAGGTGGATGTCTCCTTGCGTTGCGGCGGACAAGAGCCACGGATTCTGGATTGACCAACAACATCTGGTTTTCGTCGACTGGGGCCTGTTGAACAGTCGGAGGAGATAGAATAGGCTCGTCCTTGCCAAGGAGACGAAGCCTCACTCGCAGGGAACAATGAAGGAAGTTTCGAAAGCCGCTCTCGATTTCGGCTGTGGAGGAAAACCTTTCCAGACGCGTGTTTCGCAACGCAAGGAACGTCGAGTCCGGGCCAGAGAGCGATTTGGTGATGAAGACGTTCTGGTCTGAATTCACAATGGTAATGGGGAACAGACGAGACCCATTTCGATGCCAGTCTTGGATATTCCAGTCATTCGAGAAGGGCGTGTCTTTAAGGAGAACGGGTTGGGCACCAGCCCCATAAGCATCTCCCTTGACGCTGACGCTGGGATAGAAGTTAAAGTCTTTCGCAACCGCAGGGTCGAGAGGCACCGATCGAAAATCCCAGAAACGATAGTGTTGAAAGTATCCTGGATCAGGCCCCGAGACGACGTAGCAATCACAGTTCGGACCAGGCACTTGCCGTCCATCCTCGGTTGTGAACATGACAGGTCCGCCAGGATGGGCTGCCTGTAAAGTAGCCATCGGCACCGCAGCGAGAGTCACGAGAGTTAGAAGAGCGTTTAGCAACATTTTCAATGGGGGATCTTAACCCTTTCAGTGCCAATTCGAGATATCATATATTCCTTCGTAGTGTTTGGTTTCTAGACATACATGTGCGGAATGCAGATGAGTGATGAACAGACATGGAGAAGTTTGACAGCGCAGAGAAAACAAGGTAGAGGGCGATTGCCATTGCCAGGACAAACCCAGGCAGGAAGCGACAACTTGTAGTCTGAGCATCCTGAACGGCAGGAGGGCCCGGAGCACCGTATATGCCAAAAAGGGAAACAACATAACGATACAAGCCCAGCCTTGAAATCTGCAGGGGCTACGGAAACTCCGCCTATGCTTTTGGCGGGCTGGGATTTAGATCACATTTTCTAGGAATAGACTTATTATTGACAGGAGTTTCTCATTCTGCTAAGAGATAGCTCTGATTTGAGTGAGTTGCCATATACAGCAACTGTCAATAGATCTCACGTGGTTTGGTGCCTGAGGAATCTTTCTATTTCGGGTGTGCCGTGGAGTGGGGCGCGTGATTGCGAGATCGGAGGCACGCAGCTGGCCAATGAGAAAGACGAAAAACGCAAGGCGGGCCGCTATTGGCGGGGGAGATGTCTGCCAAGATCTAGCGCGACAGGCAGCCTCGTCCGGCGGAAGGCGATTGGCCAGCCGGCGCACTGACCGGGTCCGCGTTGCTGCCGGAAGGGGCGGTTGCAGTCGATGTGGCACGCTGCCGTCCATCTTTTCCCGTTGCGCCTTCGTCTGATGCCGCCCAACTCACACAAGGCGGCTGAGTCCTGTTCTCCTCTTTCTTACGCCTGCCCTCGTTCCCTCGATACCATTGTCAGCCTCGATACCATCGTCAGCGTCGTCTTCCATCGTTAAATCGTCACCATGGATCCGCTGATCTGAACAGGCTCTCTCAGTATCCCTGCTGAACGTCCCTGTGCTTTTGTGATGATGACTACCACGCTGGAAAGGAGCCTCTCGCGGGCATCCAGCGTGTCCATACCCGTCTCCAGCCCCCAGCTCTATGTCCACCGCGAAATCTCACCCCCTGCCGAGTCAGATCCGGCTCTTTGGCACATCCATGACCGCATCAACCAGCTCGACTCGCGTATTAGCGAACTCCGTTCCACCGTCTTGACCAAGGATGGCTATGTCGACCGTCGCAACCGTGAGGATGAGTACATTCGCCGCGAATTCGAGGCTCATCGGGCCATCGCCGGCCGTATCGATGTGAACGTGTCTCTGTTGCGGACCGATGTCGATCAACTGAAGCTGGCGCTCACTCAGTTGAAGTCCAACGTCGGTCAGCTGGGCACGGATGCCATGTTCATCCGCAGCGACGTCGACCGTCTCCAGAAGAGTGTCCAGCAAGTTCAGGCCGATTTGGAGGCGCTCCAGTCTGATGTTTGTAGCTGTCATGTCGAGATCAGCAAGCTGCACGCATCTGTCAGCCAGATCCGCACCGACTTGTTGACTCTGCAGCATGACACCTCGCGTCATCTAAACAGTGTCTCGAACCGCTTCTCGTTGATGGAAGCACGCATGACCCAAATGGACCGGGTTCGATTCAACTCGCTGGCATATACGATACATGCGCCCATTACTCCGGTTCCCAAGATCGAGGACGACGGTACCCTTCGCTATCCTGACTATTTTCCATCGACCGTCTGGCGCTTCTGGTGTCTCAAAAAGAGAAGTCGAAGTGAGTAATTTTCTTATCAGCATTGTTACGATTTGACTCTAACCTGCTTCAGTCCACCGACTGGTTGAGCTCGCGGAATTTTACGAGCTGGGCGGTTATCAGCATTGGGGTCGAATGCATTATGATGGCTTGCCCCCAGACGATAGTGACTCGAGCGACTCGAGCGAGCGTCCGTCGAATCTGACCCGCGCTGAAGCGGCTCGCCAATATCCGGAAGCATGCCATCAGGCCCTGGCTGCCACTCTGGGTCTTGTGTACTACAAGATTCGCAAAGAAGTCGGCGAAGGACCGAATTCTCGGATACAACGACCTCCTAAACGTCTTCCCGAAGAGATGGCGTCCACTTCTTCGAACTCGAAGCAGAAGCCTGCAAAAGTGGCGCGGCGCCCCGGCAATGTCTCTCCAACGATGCTCCATAAACTTGTTACTGGTGCACCATCCGTTGCGTCGAAATCAGTAGTGTCAGAGGAGCAGGATCGGCTTGGCTGGCGCGTCAGCTCGTCTGAGATTTCGGACGAGACGATGAGCAAGTTGAAGGGCATTCTTTCGGATGAAGTGAATGCGCTCCTTCGTGCGGTCGAGCGTGGAAAGTTCCACTTCAAGCCCAGCAAATCCGAGCAGTTGAACATGTCACCAACGGAGTCGAAGCGCGATGCGCTGAAGGCGGAAAGCCCGGAAGAGGCTGCGCCAGAGGACGAAGTTCGCACAGTCTCTACGGAGCTGATCTCACCTATCCTGGTTAAGGATGAGGTGGCCAAGGACGAAGCCTCGGCTAAGGACGAGGTTCACTTGCCAGATACGAGCAGCTCTGTGACATGAGACTGACAGTCGACCTGCTTCTAAATCCTATACCCTGCTGTTGATCGATATATCGATCGACGTTCGCCATCTGAGTTGCCATTGGCTGCCATTGTGGCTGAGTTGACATGTCGTAGACGTGTTACGCATGATATGATCTCGTCAATGATAACACTATCATTGCTGGCAGCCATTCCGTCAGGGACGGAGGGCGTGCTCCAGTCTTCGAGAGTATGTGTGATGATGACTGGACGAGCTAGTCGGCTCGTTGTCAGTGGACCATTCACAGTTCAACAGATGGAGCCAACATAACTATGGCTCCGGTTACATTGCATTTGCGAAGTTTGTCACGACAGTCATGACGTGTGATACCCTGTTTACGGCGTTGTCTGGGACTTGTTGATAAGTTGCATTGTATTGGATGTATTTTGGGTGTTCTATTAACGGTATATACAAATGGCGCAGGCCTTCGGCGATCGAATCGTACCTTGCAGTCCTCGTAACCGATACGCATGCTCCTCGTAACCCGACACGCATGCGTCCGCATCTAAACTTAGGTTCTTAGATCCGCGAGCACGCGACAGCCAGCAACAGCAGCACGTAGCGCCCAGCTGTACTCCTCATCTTGAATCATGCTGTTGTTGAGTGGTAACCGTCTGGTAGCTAACCAAGTGATCCAATCGTATCATCTCGTTATACTGGCAGGTAGGTATCATCCACCAGGAACGCATAACAAGTGCAGTAATCACGATCGAGACGAGATGATACGACGTAAGGAGTAATTTGCATTTAAACGGTAAATCCGACCGATCGAGCAAACCCACTCCCGGAACCCTTCTCCCAACAACTGCAGCTAACCTTGTAGGCTTATTTAACGACTAGGTAACCAACCCAGGATACAGTCAGTACCAGTGTAGCTAACCAGTAACCGCAATTCCCATCTATCCATATATTATTACTCGGGAGTCAAGTAGAGGGAAAGGAAAGCGCAAGAAATAAAACACATTGATGACTTAAAGTAATAGTCTTGTGGTGCTGCTGACACTGAATGACAGTTGATATCAGAGTAAATACCAATTACTCGGGAGATGAAGCTGGTGACGTTGACGATGATGACAACGACAATAATCTAGTCATTAATCAACACAACAACACAATAATAAACAAAAAAATACCTAACATAATAATAACCAGTAACATCTATACTAACAATAACAGTACTCAGTACATACATTCATCCATTCATCACTATCATCAGGTAGGTACGGAGTACATTGTATGTTGTATGTATATACCCACCGAAACCATTTAGCCCCAAAAACCGCACGCAAAGGTTCCGGTGCACAAACCCCGTTTTGGGGGAAAAAAATTGTATGGGCTTGTCCCGCGACCCGCCATTTTCGCATACAAAGTGGGCCGATTTTTTGGGCCAGAATTGTCGCTTCAGCTAAGACCCGTCCAAATACAGTTGGCAGTTTGACATGTTTTCGCGACATGGCTATTTATTTAATTTATGTACAGTACGACGCAGAAAGGAGTCTACACATTTGTGTATTTTTTTAATTTAATTTAATGATCTTTTTTTTCTTTTTTTTTTCTGTATTTTTTTTAAAAAAAAAAAGAGAAAATTTGTGGTGGCATGAGATATATCTCTCTCTTCCTCATAAGCAAGCAAGGTTCCAGCAGTAGAACCTTTGTTTTTTTTTCCTGTCATGACACTATGGTTTTCATTTATCAATAATCATTATTACTATTAAGACTGATACTGGAATGAATATTATACATGTGTAAACAAACATCTCTCTCTCTCCCTCTCAGAGGGAGATCTTTTTTTTTCCTTTTAGATATTGTCAGCGATCTACCACAGTACTTGTCAGCCAGTACTCGTAGCAGTAGTACTGGCATTGGTGCCAGTATCTGTCTGCAAGAGATCCTGTTTGAGAACCTCGAGGACCTTCTTCTCATCAATGTTGACGAGATTCGCGGCAGCGGCAGCTTCAGCCGCAGTTCCGTTGGAATGGCCGTCATTTTCCTGCTCTTCGTCACCATCTAACGTGTCCTCGCTGCTGCTGTCTTCTACTGCCTCTTCTTCTTCTTCTTCTCCGGCTTCTTTCCGGGCCTGTAGATACTGCTCCTCCAGGAGGAACTCGCTGTCCTTTTTCGTGGAGAGCTCCTTTGGAGACGATTCCAAAACGTAGACGGTCGGGAATTCAACGATTGTGCGGTTGCGCAGGACGGTGTTGAAGAGCGCCGTCGGAGAGACTGGGATCAAAACCGTTTTTCGGGTGGCAGTCCGCGGACGGTGAAGATAGAAGTAGAGATTGCGATGAGAAAGAACTTCCCCAGGAGCTGATGATTCTGAGGTAGAGGGCAACCCACCCCCTCGATGGGTTGCGTCTTCGGCCTTCCTGTCTTCTTCTTTCGACTCGTCGTTCTTTGCTGCATCTGTCCCTTGTACCTCACGAGATGGGCCCGTCTCAACTTGGCGAACCTCTTCATTGTCTCGACTAGCTGTCAATGAGAGTTCCGTTGCAAGCTGTTGTTCGGCTGAAGAATCACGATTCGTCTCTTCTCGCAACCCTTGCTCGCTGTCCTGGCGAGCTTTGTCCTGCTTCTCCCTTTCCTCCTTTGGCACAGGATATATCCGGTCATAAGCCTCCGCAAAAGAGCACGTCTCCAGGCAGTTCCTAAGGGTCCGTTGTCCAGACGGAGCAATCCACTCCACTGTCCAGCTGAGACATTTGTGTCTAGGCAAGAGCAGACGTCAGTTAGGTTTCTAGAATACAAAAAAAAAGGTACTCACTTTGGATGCCATCTGGAACAATTCTGCTTATTCCGAGTCATCCCTCTCGGTGCCCTCATGAGCTTCACTCCGGCCGCCTCCGCACCCCGCAAGAAGCCCGCCTCGCCCTTGACCATCTCCGGCGGACGCTTTCTCTTCTTGCTGCCCCCCTTCCCGTCGAGACTGCAGATGTAGTCATGGTCCAGGGGGATTCCCCTGTTCTCTGCATCTCGCTCCGCGCGTTCCAAGCTACGCTCGATCCCGGTGATGAAGTTGAAGTCGCGGTCAAAGGCCGCCGGGGTGGCGAGCTCGCTGCGGCGCAGGTAGGCGGCCGGGTCGCGCACGCCCGAGCATTGCGACCATTTCTTATGCCGTTGCGAGCAGATTAGGGAGCAGGTCCGAGTGAAACAGCGGGGACAGCGATACTTGGGGGTGTTGATGTGGCTGTTGAGACGTTAGCAACGCCTTGAAAGAATGAATGAATGTGGAAGGGGAAAATGCTACATACCAGATCGTACACAGCTCGCTCAGGGGAGCCTCTTCCGCAGACTCTGACATTTTGGCAGTGATTTATCGATCAGCTGGTTGGATGAGTATGCTGGCTTGAGGAAGAGTTCGCGGATGAGCTCATGAAAATTGGCGGACAATCCTTCGGCCCGCTTATCGATAAGCAACGCTACCTGCTAGGCCTGTTACGGAAAGTGAACCATGGACCGACCATCTCTCCGCAAATCAGACTACAGATATCAATCATTCTTCTAAACAAACATGGAGATATTCCGACGTGATATCCTTACGAGAGGATCACTTAACTTCCGGTGGATGAGAACAGATTGACATCCAAAGACTGACAGCATACATGTACTCTACATCTTGGACCTCCAGCCCCTTGCCTTCTCGTACGCCTGATCAATATCTTCCGACCAGATCCAGTTCATGCGATCCTGAATCTTGCTCCTTACGATAGGAACACACTCGTCATAAGGCAGTCCTTTGAGTTCCGGCGCCTCCATCTCGTACAGCTCTCCAGCCTGTCGAGAGGTGGCCTGGACTTTTTCTGCGCGCGGCAGTCGAACCGACTGGTAGATCTGCAGCCAGTCCTCCTGAGAACGACTGCTCGTTGATCTGGTTGAGAGAAAGTCGTGAAGGGTTCTGCTGAGGATGTAGCCGTCTTCCACGGCCTGGCCAGCTCCGGCTCCTATAAAAGAACAAGATTAGCTACAGAAGAACGAAACGGGACGGAAATGAATCCCTACCCTGATGAGGGAGCATCGCATGAGCTGCGTCTCCCAACAGCGCAACCTTGCCGCCCGCAAACACCCATTTCTTGAATGGCTGACGGTCGTAGAGAATCCACTTTTGCGGCTGCGTATCCATCAGCTCGATGACGCGCTGGACAGGCGTGTCAAACTCGCTAAAGTCGCGCCGGACGGAGTCCTTGTCGCCGGCCATCGTCCAGCTCTCCTGGACTGTATCGCCCAGGTCCTCCTTCTTGGTGGTGACGAAGGCAACGATGTTCAGGATCTTGTTGCTGCTGATGGGGTAGACCAGGACATGCTTCCCAGGGGCCAGCCAGCTGACGGAATACGTGTCGAAGGGCCACCACCCTTGCACCTCGGACATGGGACACAGGCCACGGTAGACGATCATATTACCGTATTGAGCATTGTCGCCCTGTGGTGAGTTAGCCAGGCTAACTCTGTAGAAAGACGACGTGATGAACTTACGATATAATGCGATCGCACGTTGGAATGGATCCCATCGGCCCCAATGACCAGGTTCGCCGTTGTCGTGGTTCCATCCACAAAGGTCACTTTCATCAAGTCACCAAGATCCTAAACACAATCAATCATCATCAAACAACAATAAAGTGTGTATGGAGTGCAGATACAAACCTCCAACCCAACACACTTCTTATTCGTATGCAAGGTAGCAGCCTTCCTGTCACGGATCGCCCGGACAAGAATCTCCAAAAACTCCGCCCGATGGACCGACAACTGCATCCGGCGAGCAGTCTCATCCTTGAGCGGCACGGTGCAGATCTCGCTGCTGTCGTCGTACCTCCGGAACGAGATCCAGACATTGTTCCGGAAGCCCGCGATGGCGCGCGCGTCGTCGAATAGGCCGATGCGGTCGAGCAGCTTGGCCGCGTTGACGGCGAGGCCCAGGCCGGCGCCTATCTCTTTGTACTCGGCAGCCTGCTCGTAGACATCGATGTCGATGTCGATGTCGATATCGGGCTGGATGTGATTATTATTGTTATTATCGCCATTGGTGGTAGCATGACGACAGCAGTGGTGGTGGATGGAGAGCGCGGCAAACAGACCCGCAATACCCCCGCCGATGATGGCGATTCTAAACGGTTTTCTTTGTGACGATGATGACGCCATATCAACAAGCAGTAGTACTTTCAGACTGATAAATTTGGTATAAGTCGTTTTTTTTTATCTACAAACACGATATGTATGAATCTATTACAGAACACATTTACAGTCCAATCCAACCTCATACACGCATATAGTATAGCATACGGAGTAGTTTGTTCTCCATTCCATATTGAATGAATTTAAGTGCGGAGAACCTCCAAATGACCGAGCTATTACCCAGAGATCGGCATCTTCCTGAAGAAAGAAATGCCGTGGGCAAACTCTGGTGGAGAGTTTCGGTTCGGTGTTTTCGTGAACTTGGCAAGTTGAGAGTTCGTTCTTCTTGGTCTAAACAATTTACCCCTCCCCGTTAATCCAAAAATCACCAAGAACGGATCGATCCTTCGAACGGGACGAGAAGAGACAAGACGAGACCAGACCAATAAATGGATTATAGCCGGTTTCTTCTCCTTTTTTTTTTTGTTTTTCTCTTTCTTTCTTTTTTTCCGTCAATAGGGTTAGGTTTAAGGTTCCTCGGGTACCTAGGTATTTATCTATTCCGGTTGAAAAGACAGAAATAGGGGGGAAACAAGTAATAAAAGGAAACAGAGAAGGGTGAAAAAGATCGCAGTAAAGCTGATAGTATCGATTTGATACTTTGAAGAGACAGTAGTAGAGTCACGGTGATTTACTTCTCGCGGTAAATAATACTGTAATCAAAATAGATAAGATCTAGCTGGAGGACGAATTCACTTTCAATATTCTTTATTGATGACTCGCAGTCATGACTAATGCTAATAACTATCTACCTACAAATGCGATGATGCAATCCAATGCGGCCACGCTATGCGATGCAATGCGATGCTATGCTGATATCGGGGTATTAGGAAAAGACACAAAAAATCGCCGGAAAAACACAAAACGAAAACGTGGGGGTATATGGCTCTCGTGATGGGAAGAAAACACAGGACGCTAGAAAACAAAGACAGGACAAGACCGCAACTCCGGAAGAACTCCGTCGCTAGAACAAGACAGAAATGCAGAGAGACAACCGAATGTGGTGTGAGTCATGCTGACATGAACACGAAAACAGGAAACAGCAGAGAATGAGGAAGGAACAGCCAGAGACGTGACAAGCGGTGAGGAGGGCGAGGTGCGATTGGTGGACGATAAGAGCCGACGGGCTGGATGCAACAGGCGAGGGTGGGATGGCAGGAGCGATGCGGTTGCAGTGGCTTCCCCCATCGGGCAGCCACGGAGACCGCCGGTTGTCGGGCGAAAAAGACGGTGCGGGGAGACGCACCCCGACCTTGAAGCGTAACGTCGATACCGTCACGTATTGTATCGACAGTACCGGCAAGCGCGCCTCACAATCCCAACCGTCACTCCCGAGGCAACCACCGTTACATTGATCGCAACGGCAGTAGAGTCGGGGGATATTCGTCCCTCACGACTCTGTGGGAAATGGTCTTTGGTTCCTCGGATTCAAGATGGTAAATGTCGGGACAGAGAATCCTGGTAACAGACCGCGCCTTCCTGCCGATTCGGAATGTTCTCGGCGATACGGAAGCGACATGTTTTCATCCCGAAGAAAAAGAGAGAGAAAAAAAAACGCCAATGCCGGATGCTCCATGCAGGAATGGCCCGTCGGGAGTTTGTAGAGTAGACTCGGCTGTAACAAGGTAATGAATGGCAGAACGGGGCTCGCCAGCGCCAGCGCCGGATTCCCCGACTGTGGAAGAAACCGATCACATGCGCGCAGACGTCTTGGATGATGACGTCGACCGGTGCTTCTTGACAGTAACCGCACGTCGCTTCTTCCGCTTGGCGTTCTCGCGCTCTGCCGCAGCCAGTTGGGCTGCTCGGAATGCCTTCTGGGCGTAGGCATGAGCTTGGACGTGGGCCAGGAATCGCATGCGCTGCTCGTCCTCCTCGGCGGCGCGCATCATTTCAATCTGCTCCTCCGTCGTCAGGGAAGACTCTTCGTCGATGACCGACTCGGAGGGAGGCGTCACTGGGTCGCTCGGGAAGAGGTCTTCGTCGGACAGGTAGGAGCTGGCGGTGGATTCGGAGTCGGAGCTCATGAGGGATGATCGGTTGGGCCATGACGGGAAGGCGCACGACGTGCTCATGCCCATGGTGATGGAGAAGGAGGACTTGCGCGGGGTGATGTCCAACAGCGAGTCGTTGGGAGTTGGCGGCGGCGGAGGCGGAGGCAAGGAAGAAGGCGAAGGCGAGGAAGGCGAGGAGGATGTGCCGTTGCTGAAGCTGTAGCTGAGCTGCATGGTGGGCAGTAGTGTGTATGTGTAGAGTCAGAGACTGGTTGTTGAGTGAAGATCAAGTCAGGCCTGTCAGACGCGATCGGGAGGGATCACGGCGGGCCTTATATGACTGATGGGGCGGTGGGAGATCGGTACGCGGGGTGGTGGGTAGGCAGAACCCCTTGCGGAAGGAAGAGCAGCGGATCAACAAAGAGCAAGTCTAGAAGACAAGCAGAGAACGGATCACACCGAAAAATGTGATAGTGGAGAGAAGCTTGTTTGGGGGGCGACGGGCGGGAGCGAGACGATCGGACAGATAAATATGACAGCTCTGAAGGAGCGGTGACAGCTAGCGGCCCCTGGCAGGAAGGGCAATCTGGATATCGCTGCAGGCGCGGCGGTGGGGGGGCGCTCGCTGGTTGGCGCGTGCCCGTAAGCGGTCAGGCAGATGACAGTCGCTGTCAGCCCTGCCAGACAAGACTCCAACACTCGCTCAACCCTTGGGGGCTCGTCAGTCACCCGCCAGAGTCACAGTGCCCTGGACGCCCCGATCAGCAAACAGAACCACACAGCGCTTCCGGCGGTATGCCGCCTGATACGTACCTCTCAGGACAACGGAGTCAATACGTTATCGATGGCCGCCCGCAAGGGATGGGGCGGTGAGCAGCCAGATAAGCAGTCGATTGCGATAGATCCCCGGATGGGCTGGGTGGCATGCGCGGGGAGCCGGGTTCTTGCAGTGCGCGACGGGTAGAAGCAAGATGGCCCGACGCAAGATGCAGATCGATCTGAGTGATGCGACAACACAGCAGAGCCAGAAGATCCGAGTCCTGCGCGATGACTCAGACTGGGCAGGGCGGGTTGGGCGGCTTGTCTGGCGGTCAGTCGCTCCGGCGAAAAGGACAACACCCGCAGTACGCGCCGGACAAATGCCGAGTCCGTCCGTCCAGCACGCAAACAAACGGGCCAACGAAGAACACGCAACCACGTCGGATGTAACGTGTCCAACGGATTGCTGTATCGATGTCGTTTCTTTTTCTTCGGATCGCAGTCGATTCCCAATAAAGTCAACAAACAAGGAAGTGACAAAGGCGCTGACTGAAGTGAGGCGAGTCCCTGTGTCGTGTTTGTGTTGTGATAGGGCAACTCGCTACCGGTCCGAGATTTGATGGATGCGAATTCTGCTTTTTTCACGTCCTCTCCACCGACGACGAGCGCTCTCTATATACGTTGTCGGTTCTCCAGATTCCCAGCGATGGGGCCTGTCAGTCAGGACCCGTCCCAGGGGCAACGTTTGGAACCGGCTTCCGGGGAACCTCGAGGTCGGGACCGCGCCCCACTGCATCCTCGATTTTGGGTCCTCCGTTTCTCGACGCCCGTTGCTATTCTAATCGGCTAAATCGCTCCTAATGCACTCCTTTTGCCGTCTGCCACGCTGTTGCTCTGGAGAAGAGTTTCCTTTTCTGTGGGATTTGGCCGTGGTGGCGCCCACTAGAGGCCCCAGTCCGTTGCTCCGGGTTTTTTGGGCCGTTGCCAGCGTCCCACCAGCGAAATAGCGCGTCCCAGGAGAACGGGATGCCGTCCCGACGCCCGCCCAGGAGAGCATTCAGGAGAGCCCAAAGTTAAACCAGCAGGGCATTGTGTTTAGCCGGTGCGATGATCATGTCTAAGATTCGTCTTCACGAGTCTTGCGCGGCGCAGTTGAAGTTCTCCTGAGTGCTGTCTGTAGAGAGTACGGGGTACGGAGGACGCAGGATACTATGTGCCTGAACGCGTACGAGTACACTCTGGACGGGAGTCCTTTCCGCGCAATGAAGCAAACCTGGGACACATCTACAAACGCGACGCTCCACAATGATAGATGAGGTGTACAGCCCTCAAGGGGTTAGACAATCTCAAGTCAACCATTCTCCTGGAAAATTAGCACAAATGCCCAAAGTGCTGCCATACCATAGCCGAGGCCGTTCCTCACCTACGGAGTCCTCTAGCGGGAAACTAGGACTAGAGCCCGCAAGCTTCCACCGGGGAACTCGAGTAGTGCTTCCGTGCGACACTGGACCGTTCCCTTGGATCAATCGATCGATTGGACACCTCCGTCTTCTCCGTCTACTCCGTGCCCCTGACGGAGGACTTGGGGATCGATTATTCTGATCCCTCATATCAGCTAACCGAGCTACTGGGTACGGAGTAGGTACGGAGTAGTCTGTACCAGGAGGTACCTAGTGCCCACCTAAGTACGGGCAGGTTCATCCTGAACGAGCTGACTTCTTCATCGCGGATTGCCGGCAAGTCACCAATCCGTTGCGCCGGGTTGAGTTAATAAGCGAGACAATGTGTGAGGCGAGACTCGCCTTGTCGGAGCGCCTCCGAGTCAAGCGGTTACCTAGGTTAAGGACGCGTAGCCGACCTCCCCGGCAGCTTCCTTTTTGGACGTCGCGGCGAGAATGTCGGGCGGACATTCGCCGGGAGCAGGCTTCCGCGTGGCCTGCACCCCTGACTTAGTCAGCAGGCGTTATCCCACCAATCCGATTCTCCGCGAAGCTCGGTTAAATGCGTACGCAGCTAAACTTCAGATTCTTCAGGCCTCGCCTGGGTACTTGCATCCGATCCTCTTCTCCTTTCATTCAGTCTGCAACAATGACACTGCAATGACTGCATAATGACCACATATCATCTCACCGCAATTCCATCAGGAGTACGGAGTACGCTCGTCCATCACGGACTCCGGAGTCGATTGTCCTCCGACCGTGTCTGTCAGAAGGTAGAACACCCGTCAGCAACCCGTCTGACGGTGCAACGTTACATTCAGTCAGCATCCCACGCTGGGTATCCAACGGCCAGGCCACATGGCTGATGCCAAGGTGGGAGACACAGATCATACGGGGTATATCCACTACCACATGGACGGTACCCACCGCATCCGAGTGTCCTATATATACTCCGTATTATTATTTACGCTCTATGCGGTGATACGCGCATTATGCCAAGTACGGAGTACAGAGTACAGAGTACTCCATCAGGTATATCCACTGTTAGACGATACGTTGTACTCGGCAGTTGGCAAACAGAGAGACATCGAGGATGAAGTGCTTGATAGAAAACACGCATAATTAAGCGAGAGTATAGCAATATAACAATATGTTTCACCAACAGAATATACCCTCTGAGCAAATTGGGTATGTACTCTACAGAGTTAGGTACCTAGTAGGTACAAAATCCTCCATACAACTACGGCCCCTACGGCCGTACCTGCTAAGTACCTGCCTGGGTAGGCAGGTACTGCATATACATACTTGTCATACTTACGTATGTTCCTAGGTACCCCAAAGATGGGGGCCATCTGCACGCCCGTTGAAACTACCAAAGTTAAGTTGGGCACCAGTAACTACCACCCGTCAGGAGGGAATAATCAAACCCGTTCCCCAGTGGACGGGAGCGACCCATATATTAGGGGGATAAGAATTCTGGAACAGGCCCGGCCCGTTTTAGACTGCCCGCGGGAGCGGTTTGGCCCCACAAATGCGCATATCCAGGTACGTACCTACCTAGGTACAGAGTGCACAGGAGGATTATGGATTACGTGCTGATGACGATGTACTGAAGGATCAAGTTAAGCAGCCTAAGCTAAGCTAAGCTATCTATCTATCGAGTATCGACTTGATTTATTTATTTAATTTAATTTAATTCATTTCCCAAATCCCAATCCCAATCGTGAGGACGGTCCAGTCCAGATGGGTCTGGTAACTCTGGTCGAGTGGGACTACGGGCGGATTACAATTTACTGGGCACCGGTCACCAGGATAACGGTGCGGAAGGGCGGATCCGCAAAACTATTATTTCCAAGGATGAAGTCTGATGGAGACGTACGGAGTACACGTTCCACTTCCATCCCATGCGATTGCGTGATTGCGTGATTTTAAGGGGAAAACAACCTTATGGAGTAAGTACGTTTCTGATAAGGATGATGATTGATCGTTCCTGGTGCCCAAGTTCCAACGCAGTGGGATTGTTTATTGGGTACCTATATTATCATTAGTATGGGTATTCTTATGGTTCTCTACGGGCCGGGTTGGGAGCATACCAACCTTCAGGTACCTACTCCGTACCTAGGTACAGTACTCCGTACATACCTAAGAAGCCTAAGAAGAGTCGATGAATGACAGACTCGAGTCGATACTGCTTATATAATTAACTTCTCTTATTAACTGGCATTGAATACATACGTCCATCTAATAAATCACATTGTTTTTGCTATCTTGTTTATTCCATGCTATCTGTTCTCTGTACTCCGTACAGACACCTGCACTGCACAGGTGATAGAGTACTCCGTATGTAGCTCGACGATCATGCTCTAACCAACTTGGTGTGAGGACACACCACCATGATGGTAGTGATATAGGTGATTATGCATAGGGATAAATAAATAGTTTATTTATATGGAGTGCAAGTAGGGGGCCAAAATTAGAAGACAAACACTGATGGAGCGGAGTACTTGCACGTGCAAAGTGAGTTTATTTTCTTAAATCGGTTTAAATCCTGACTGCGTAAAAAGCGGGATTATATATATAATGCGGGATTTCTGCATAGGTAATTTGGTTTGGTTAATAGCCAAGTGTTGGCTTCAGGTATAGTACTCTGTACAGGGAGAAAAATAAATATAATCTCGATTGAAGATAATGATGATGTTAGTTACACCAACGGTATTAGTGATACTAGGTACAATTTTCTCCAGGACGATACGGAGTACACATACTGTTGGATAAAGAATCAGTCCAGTTGGTCAGAATAAAAATCAGACCGCCATGCCTATCCCCTGTTGGAGCGGTTGCTCTGTGTACTCCATACAAAGTATACTCTATCTACCCCGGCCCTGGACTAAGGCTGATGTGCATCCGGATATATATCTATCTGTACCACCAACTTAGGCGTTCCGTATTATCCCTACACCGACAGAAGGGGCCAATCCATCCATGTAGACAGCCCACCAATGTCCGAGTCCTGCAAGCTCACCTGCATACAATGCATGTATGTATTTCATTCATGCATCCGTCAAATGCGGTGTACGGAGGAAATTCCCGGATTTCTTCGGGTGTGAGAGCCCGGCCAAAGCGGATAAATATAGATTCTATTTTTATTATACCAGCGAATACGCAGGTGTCCTGTTCACATTGCTGTTATTTTATTATCATTGCTTCATACAGTATTATTGCGCGATACGACATGTCTCGAAGGCTGACCCTGACTGCCTAGAATGAGCATTGGCAACCAACCTGTCTAGCTGACAGTCGATATATCCAAGCCAGCTGATACCAGCCTCTAGGCAGACAGATATCACATTCGATTTGTGCCGGAAGTGATGTACTCCGTACAGCACGCCTGACGAACAGTGGCGACTGAGACATACTCCGAGTAAGATGAAGCTCAGACTCGACGAGTGGATAGGATCGTACAGTGGTCTTTCCCGGTGGCGCTGCGGGCCGCCCGGGGAATCGCCCCGGCGGGGGTCACCCTATAGTTTGGGGTGATAGTAGCCACTATTAGCAGCAGGGCGCCCAGTCGGACTCGCAAGGGCCTTAACTGCGGGCTAAGCCAGGGCTGTGGCTTGTGGCTCAGCTTATACCCCAGGGCAGCTGGCTAAGGCTAAGCTGCAAGGCAAGCCTGCATGGGGGCTGAAGGATGTGCTGCTGCGGCGCATGCCGAGGATCTATCTCTCACATTTCCTACGCACACAGTCGATGGGGTTGTGCACACGGCCCAATCAGACCTGTCCCATCGCACAGACCCATGTCGTAGATCTGCTTACTATTGTTGATTTATTGATTTCTTTAAAATTAAGAAAAAAAATAAATAAATGCGATACGCCAGTAGAAAGAAATAAAAAACGGAGCTGTCATGTCGGAGATGCGCGGGGGAAATAATTATTTTATTTACGAATGTGATTTCTTTTTTATTTTTTGTTTATTTAATTATTATTTGATTTTTTATTATTCTAGCGGAATGTGAAATCCATCCCACCCAACTGTCTAGTCCATCCGTGCTTGTACAAGCTCGGTGTTGATTTAAAATCAGTTGGAACGGGATTTTCATCACCCCCACACACCAGAATCTAGACCAGATGGACTACAACTCAGGAGAACCTGTACACAGTGCAGAGTACTTCGCGTCTGGTCAGGACCTCCCTACGTGTGAGGAAATAATGACAAATAGATAGATAGATACGTAGATCCAGACATACATACGTACGTACGTATGCTGTCTAGGTAGCTACTTAGTTGTTCTCGTTCTCGTTCTCATTCACGTGAAAATCCGGGGGCGGGATTTTCGCGGGAATCGAGACTCGCGCGCACGTGCAAAAAATCAAATTCCGGCGCAGACGGCGGCAGAACAGAACTATGCTAATAAAAAATTATTCTTATTCTATCCTCTACCAGGCATGGTACAAAGTACAGAGTACGGTGTACTCCGTACCTAACAATTTGGAATTCTGAATCCTGAGCCAACGATCCTTCTGTTCGTTATTACATAAAATTAATTAATTATATAATTAATTAGTTAGTTAGATCTGATGTGTATCCTGCTATTTCATTTCTGTTTATTTACTCTCCAAGAATCTTTTGTTTATCGAAAGTCGAAGACACGACACGGCGGTGTACAGGATAGTCACCGCTCCACGTATCATTCCTCTGCACCTATACCTAACCAAAGGTACCCCCCTACACAGTAAAATGCAGCAGCCGTGGCATCTATGCAAAGCGAACCTGTTTACAGTAAGTAGTCCTCTGTATGTATATGTACATCTGGTCTGAATTAAAAATCGAATTGTTGAGTCATTGCTATGTCTGTCTGTCTGTCTGTCTGTCTGTCTATCGGAATGCCCAAAATTTGCAGTGCTGTTAACTCCCCGTTGACACGTTGGCAGCTGTCGGAGTACGGAGTATATTGACAAACTCCGATAATCTCTCCGCGGTGTAGCTAGCTAAGCTGTATGGAGTACGGAGGATTCTGGAGGAATTATGATAATGTTACGGGCACGGAGGAATTTCCAGTAACAGTGTGAAGAATATGGATACTAGAAGTTTCTCGATTGATGCGTTGTAGGGACTGTACTTCAGGTACATACAGGCAATGTCTGAGGTATCAGGCCCTGCATTTATTTTTATTATCCTCGTCGCAACCGAACCGGGCCTGTCGGGCGGGGCTCCCCCCTTCAGGACTGCGAGTTCAGCAGCAAATACTTTACAGCTGATAAGAATAAAATGTTTTGATTTCATGTAACGAGGAATCGTTGGGCACTTGCAACATCATGACTATGACTACTGTACGGAGTATGGCTATGATTAATAATTCGCATTGTTTCATAGACTGGGAATTGATAGTTCTACCGCCGTCTGCGCCAGAAATCGAGTTTCGCACGTGCGCTCGCCTCATTGAATCCGGCCCCATTGTTAGTTGTTGTGCCCCGGATTTTCACGTGAACGGGCCAACGACTGAGGAGCCGCCCACGTAGGGACAGTAATAGTCACAGTACAGGTAAGGTAGCTATCGATGAGATCATGGTCGCTGTCATTATTGTTGATATGTCCTGACACGTAAGTCCTGGATTCCAGATGACGTCAGGAGTCTCAGAACACTCGAGATTCGATTCCAGTAGGTAGTTGACAAAGAAGTTAGTGTTTGGGTGACAATGCATGCGTACCTACTGTATGTATGAAGTGACAAGTGTTGGCATCACATCACTGTCACACCTACTGATGAAACAATAGTATCAGACTAAAAGCGACAGAAGATAGCGTGGTGATCATGAAAATCCCCCACCTGCAGCACCGCGTAGCGAGATGAGAAACCTGCCTGTTTAGGTACCTAAAGTGCCGTACTGTAGTACCGTGGCCCTCTCCGTATTTTACTGCTGGTATCGCCCATACCCGGTATGTATCATCGTTACATACGTGTATTGATATACTACCTCGACACCTGCTAAGGCAGCAGGTATGTACCGCACCTAAGGTACACATTAGGCATCATCGTCTATCTTGCCTGAGTGACAACGCATAGCTTTGTGACTCATTCCTCCTTCTTACACCTTCTATCAGTGAGTTAATTGTCAAGTCAACGATCTGTCCGGTGCATCGCGGTCTCTCGGATCGAGCGGTGAACACTTGAACATAGTCCCTCGCGGCTAAATCCTTCGGCTAGCATCACCTAGGCAAATTGATTTATTCGATATAATAATCTTCTCTCTGCTGTCTGGACCATATTTCCCATTTGTAGAGAATAATAATACTGTATGTCGATCGACATCGATACAGTAATGACGTAAAGACAGTCGACATCGGATGACATGCCGATGTATGTACTACCTACCTACGGAGTGATCTACTCCGTAAGTACTCCGTACGGAGTGTAGGATTCCGATTCTACAATAGGTAAACACAAGCCTGGATAGTCGGGTGGTAGGTGGATAACCCAAGATCCGGGCTCCTTTTTTTTTATTTTCCTTCCTCATCATTCGGAAGTAATTTACTATAATATTCTATATTCTATTCATTCAGTGCATTAGTCCGAGTTTCGGTTTCCGACTTTCTTCTGCTGACGTTATTACATAAGTACGGTACTTTACTTGTTGTCTGGTTGAACGAACCATGGTACAATTAACGGTCCGGTCCGGTCGACGGGTCGGCATTTTCGTCCTGCGGGGTAAAGTAAAAGTATAACGTATGTACAGTACAGGACTACGTCATCGTTCTTCTTCTCTGGCTGGGATTTCTTCGAACTTTGGAATGGAACTGTATAAATGTTGATGTCATCGATCCAGTGTTGCTGGTGACTGTTGGTGCTTCCCCGCATTCTTTCTTTGTTATATTTTTTTTCTCCGCAGGAGACAGACAGACCACAGCTGGACAATGAAGTAAACATCCCACTGCGGGGTTTCTGTGGAAGTACACTGAAAGAAGAATGGAAAAGTAAGAAAAAGAGGAGGAAGGAAGGAAGGAAAGAAATGGATGTGAGAATGTGTCGAGGAAATAGTGTGAGTAAAGTAGCAATAATTTTATCAAGTGCGCGTTTTATATGCAATCATCAAATTGCAGATAAGATAAATTACTCAGTATCATGTCCATGGCAGTAATCTGTATCTATGAGTAGGGAAAAAAAAATCAACACTACTTGCTTCTTTCTTTTATACCTCTTTTTTTTTTCACCGCGCTGTTTATACAGTCAAGTTTGGTTGTAGACTACTTCTCTACGCAGTGTAGCGTCTTTGCCAATATATATAAACTACCCACTACAGAAAGACCAAAACAATCAATTAACCATTATGAAAACAACACAAATACAACAAATCTATTATCGTGTGCGACCAGATCAATCGAAATGAGTTTCTCTGAGTGTAGGAAACAAATCGAGACGTTGTTTTCTCGACTTGGGCACAAATAGCCTCGCTAGCACGCGCTAGTTGATCCCAGATGTCCGGGTAATCTCTACGGAATACTCCGTACTTTCGTGATAATGCCTTAACCACATCTTCAGGGGCGCCTGTGCTACCACCATGGTGCGACGAGCTCCAAGCATGCCCCCCTCGCAGATCACCATCCACACCGCGCTCCTGTTCGACCCTCTCGTCAAACGCTTCGAGCGAAACATCTCCATCGTCGTCGACCAAGAGACCGGCCTCATCGCGGACGTCTACCGCCGCTCCGACTTCCGTCCCCCGCACATCTCGCCCCATGACATCGACCTCCGCTTCCTCGTCGTCTGCCCCGGCTTCGTCGACGCGCACACCCACATCTTCCTCCATGCCTACTCCGAGACGCCCGCCCTGAACCAGATGCGCGATGAGAGCCTCGTCGAACGCGTTATCCGCGCCGTGAACCACTGCCGCGACGCCCTGCTGGCCGGTTACACCACCTACCGCGACCTGGGCACCGAGGGTCTCCAGGACGCCGACGTCAACGTCCGCGACGCCGTCAATCGCGGCCTCACCCCTGGTCCGCGCCTCTTCGTTGCCACCGAGACAATCGCCTCCTCGGGTGGCTATGCCATCCGCCAGGAAAACCATCTCCCCGGCGTGGGCACCGCCGTTCCGTCCATCTCGGACGTTGCCGACGGCGTCTACGGCGTCCGTGCAGCGGTGCGAAGACGCATCGGCGCGGGCGCGGACATTGTCAAATTCTACGCTGACTACCGCAAGAGGCAGCTGCGATTCCCGCCGCCCCTGTGGAAAGGCGCCCTCCCCGTCCAGTTCCCGCCGCGGAATCCCAATCCCAACGTCCCGCTCTTCACGCAGGAGGAGATGAATGCCATCGTCGCGGAGGCCAATGTGGCCAACTGCCCCGTGGCAGCCCACGCCAGCTCCCCCGAAGCCGTCATCATGGCTGCCAAGGCCGGCGTGACGACCATCGAGCACGGCTCCGAGCCCAGCGACGAGGCCTTGAAGGCCATGAAGGAGGCGGGCACCATCTTCGTCCCGACTCTCGCCGTCCTGGAACAGATGGCTCCCCACGAGATGCCTAAGATCCTGGCCCACACGAAGAAGGCCTGGGAGATGGGGATCAAGCTGGCGTGCGGTGGGGACACGGGGGCGTTCCCCCACGGCGACAACGCCCGCGAGATGGAGCTGATGGTGCAGGCGGGTGTGCCGCTGGAAGAAGTCCTGACGGCGGCGACGCTGCACGGATGGGAGGCCTGCGGCGGCGATCGCTGCGGGAGGAGATTTGGCTGGTTCGAGCGAGGCGTGGCGGCCGATATCATTGCCCTCGATGGCGATCCCCGGTCCGACCTGGGGGCTCTCCGCAAGGTGCAGTTCGTCATGAAGGATGGCCGCGTGTGGAAACGGGATGGCGTAGCAGTAGGTATGGTATGATCAATGACATTCATTATGACGGCAGCTCGACCTCGACCTCGACCTCTGTATACTTCTAGTTACTATGATCATCCAACTTACGCAACGAATGATGACTTTATAATATGCTTATATCCGTATAATCAGACGAACATAGTATGTGCTGCAGTGGCTCCTGTTCATTCTATCTGCCCTTTGAATTAATTACATGATGCAGCATCGTTGATGTCAATTCTGACGCTGCCTGCGGTTGGAAAGATCCAACCAATGCCAAAGCGGGGTCGGCTAAGTGTTGACAACTAGACGAATAAGAAGCAGCGGTGGCTTGTATATCTTCCTATCCGAGTATCTTTCATCTGAAGTGCCAACAGACAGACCGGACAATTTCAGCCTCAACCAACACTCTTCATGCTGAGCGTGCTCAGCCTCCGGAATTCGCCTCTAACGGACTCCTGTTCGTATAAGATCCCTTCTCCCTCCCCCTTCATTGTTTGATCATGCATCAACGATCGTGAACCAAACGATAATCGGATTGACAACTCGCCATGACAACGAAAACTGCCCCCGACGGCACGCGCGTCCAGCTCTCCTCGGACGAGGTCCGCCAGGTCGCCGATGTGTCGCGATGGTTCGACAATGAGATCAAGATCCCCAGCCAGGCACAGACCTTGCTGGAGCATATGCCGGCCTGGTGCCGGATGAGGTCATTCCGCATGTCGCGCAGCTGGTGAGATGATTGATAAAAAAAATCGAAGAGGCAGGACAGTTAATCAGTTGGAAACAGAGACAGCGCGCCTTCGAAAAGTGGCCGTATCCGTGTATCGGCCACCTGCGCTTCCTCGAGCTCACCACATCGACGCATCCCGCATACGCCGAAATCCTGTCGCGTCTGCAGGCTGGCCAGACCTTTCTGGACGCTGGCTGCTGTTTCGGGCAGGACCTCCGCAAACTGCTCTTCGACGGCTCCCCGTCGTCCAGGGCTATGTACGGAATCGACGTCGAACCGGCCTTCTTCCAGCTGGGCTACGAGCTGTTCCGTGACGCCGACGCCCTCGAAGCCACTTTCCTCGAGGCCGACCTCATCAAGCCCCAGTTCCTCTCCCCAGTCTGGAGCCGATCCAAGGCCGGTTCGACATCGTGAGCGCGCAGAGCCTCTTCCACCTGTTCCGTCTGGAGGACCAGAAAACCGTGGCCCGCCATCTGGTCGGCCTGACGAAACCGGGGTCCGGGGCCATGATCGCCGGTCGTCAGGTGGGCGCGATCCAGGCTCGCGAGGAGCCTGGACCGGTCCCGGGGACGGCGGTGTTTGTGCACAACCCCGAGAGCTGGACTCGCTTCTGGGAGGAGATCGGAGACGAGACGGGCAGCCGCTGGGAGGTCCAGGCGTGGGAGGAGGAACCGCCGGAGCGTGTCAAGCGACAGGTGTGGTATAAACCAGGAGTGATCATCCTTGCCTTTACTTTGATCCGGCAGGAGTAGACGAGAAGCCCAAGACTCTGCTGTATGTCGTAGATCGGCAGGTAGAGAATGGTAGTCTTGCTTCATGCGCATAAGACTTGCAAGGGTTCCTGCCTAGGTAGGAACCTGGGTAGCGACAGAAAGAGAGACAGTCGTCCCTTCCTAACTGGGACTCATACTCGTCCATTCATTATTCACGCCTGATCTGCTTCTCGACTTAGCTGTCACCATCTTCACGACCCAGATTCTGCTATCGATACAATCTGATCAATGACCCAGGACGATCCTGCCATCATGTCTGACGGCCATTATCTCCACGTTTTGGACACGCGAACCCGCCAGACGTATCAGCTGCCCATCTACCGCAATACCATTCGCGGCTCTGATCTCGCTCGAATCCAAGCTCCCCCCGAGGAATGCCATGCGACCGAATCCATGTACAACCACACCGGACTCCGCCTCTTCGATCCGGGCTTCGAGAATGTCGCTGCTATGGAGTCGAGCATCACGTTCACGTAAGGAGGATGTCCCATCTTCTAGAGTCCTCTCTCCTGACTGACAGCCGACAGAGACGGCCATGCTAACCCGCCCGCTCTCGAGTACCGTGGCTATACCTTCAGCGAACTGGGTCGAACGTGCGACTTCGAGGACATGACCTATCTGATGATCTGGGGTCATAAGCCATCCCCCGAGGAGAAACTGACCCTGCGACGCCGGCTGGGGCAAGCCTGCTTAAACGTGCCTCCGGTTGTGGTGAATGTCATCCAGTCTTTCCCGTGCGTTTCCCTGGTCAATAGAGATGGCAAAAGGGATCAGACTGACTGGCTGATCTAGCCGTTCTACCCCCTTCTACCCCATGCTTCTCGCGGGCCTCGCAGCCTACATAGGCGCCTATCCTACTGCCATCCCGGCTGTTGCCGGCCGGAATTTGTATCAGGGAAAGATGGACTCTTCCGACGAAGCCATCGTTCAGAGCCTGGCTGCATATGCCGTTGTGCTAGCCATTGCTTACTGTCACCGACAGGAGCTCGAGTTCCAACCAGCGGACCCTGAGGCGCCGTTCTTGAATAACATCTTCCGATTTCTGCATCTCGGTGCCGACCCAGCGGTGATCGCTTTCATCGGCCACATTTGGGTGCAGGGTTGCGACCACGAGATGAACAACTCGGCAGCAGCGCTGCTGCACGCTGCTTCGGCGTTGGCGGACCCGCTGTCGTGTGTCATGTCGGCCCTCACGTCGAGTTATGGCCTCCGCCATTTCGGGGCCGCTGACAGCATATACCGGGTGATGAAAGACATCGGCAGCCCGAAGAACGTGGCCACTTTCCTGGCCGCCGCGAAAGCCCGTGGTGAGCGCATACCAGGAGTCGGTCACCGGGTCTACAAAAGTTCCAAAGACCCCCGAACGGAGCCGATGAAGAAGCTCCTGCAAGGCCTGAAGGAGAAAGGTCTCGAGGACCCGCTGGTGGAGATTGCCTACGAGATTGAGCGCCAGGTTACCGTCGACCCGTATTTTCTCGAGCGCCATCTGCATGTCAACATTGACCTGTATTGGCCGTTTGGCTACACCGCGCTGTGAGTGACCACTCTTCATGGACATGACGCTAGCTAACCTTGGTTGTCAGGGGCATTCCCTCAGACGCTGTCCTGCCCTTATTTCTGGCGAGCCGGATGGTGGGATTGATGGCCCACTGGCGTGAGGCCATGAGTAAGTGCAAATTCGTGACAAAAATTGATCAATGTCACTGACTTCATCCCATCAGACCAGCAAATGAAGATGTGGCGCCCGCAGCAGCTATTTGTCGGCGAACGTGCCCAGACCAAGGCCAGAGCAGCCGCAGCTGCAGCTGCCTCGAATAGCACCGCTACGAATGCGATTACGCAGAGAGTACCAGAGGGAGACGAGCCCCAGCATAACGAGAAGACCGACGGTCATTACTCAGAAGAACAACCGGACCAGAAGAACCTGGACCAGAACGAGAACCAGGGAGGATACGACTTTACTGGAATCAAGACTGTCGCATCGCAGTTACTGGATCGGTAAAAACAGCATCATCTATGAGCAGTACGGAACTGCATACACGAGTAACAGTATCGATACAATACATTCCAGTGCCATCTTTTCACCTCAGTGAATCAGAGACAGAATTGACACCGTTGTCTCTCGAGGTGGTATGCAAATTCCCGTTTTCGCACTCGGCCTGCTTGTAACGAACCAGGGCAGGTCACATCAGGGAGAGCTGTGCAAGCAAGTCCCAAGGTCTATTTTATTCCAGTCACATGCTGTTCCGTCCAAATTTCATTTTGTTGATTCCATTCATTTATCCATTCTGATGCAATCCTTCATTCTATCCTTTCACCCTAGCCATCAATTACACTCAATCGATCGGGTTCGCTAGCTGTTTGTCAGTCGATTCTGCAGTCCACCTACATTAATACATGCATGAACTTCACGGAGTACTATAATGACTGTAGTACAGTATTCATGCCGTATACCTAGGTGGCTACCTAACAGTACATAACAATATTATTTGATTTCAGTCTGGTAGGATCTCCTGCCCCATTTGCCCGCGCACGGTGGTGGGTTGGACTCCAGCTTATATCACTACGGAGCATTAGAGTACAGTTAATTTTGTTAGCTGAAGTACTGGCTGCTCTTCCATTAAATCTGTATGTGCTGAAGGTTTGGAGCTGAAGCTGTAACCCCATGACGAATCGAGACAATTTGTCTACAAGGCTATGATGAATATAGATAGATCATGGAGTAGCTGTCTTAGGACTTGAGGGGGAATCAAATTTGCTACCAGAGCTTGAAGCACATTTAATTTGAGAAGGAAAAAAAGGCCCAAAAGAATAACCCTGAGAAAATAATGTTGGATAAAGCCCTATCTGAGACTTCCAAGTCCATCCGTGCATTCTCCCTCATTCCATCCGGCACAAATTAAAAGTCCGTTTCATGAACAACACAGTAGGAAAGTTAAAAAAAAAGGACAGATACAAAGACAAGAATCGAGAATCATAAGATGAACGCGATCAAGGCAGGATAGGGCGATACATCATGACACGAGCTTGAGATGCAACCGCCCCCTCCCGCCACAAATGATCGACGGATATCACATTAAGCGTCTCCATGAACCATAGAGACATACGGAGGGATCATTTACTGAAACATTCCTGTCAGCAGCGAGCACCTTCGGATAGTGAAGGTGCGCAACTTACCGAGATCTCGAGGTCCTCTCCATTGGTAGCCGGCTGCTGAGCAGTACCGTTGGTCGCAGCGTTTCCATCGGTAGTCGCAGCATTCTCATTGTTAGCAGCAAAGTAGTCCACCATCTCCGCATCGAGCTCTTCAACCGTCTTCTTGCGGTTGGCAGCATTGCGGCGGCGAGGCCTTCCCCGGCCGCGGCGACCGGGCTTCGCACCAGTCGCGGGTTTGGGTTGGGCCTTTGCTTGACTGGATTGATAGTTAGACGCGAGGTTATGGTGGTCAGAGGGAATGGGAGAAAGACTTACGTGACACGCTCGGTGAGTGGCTTGGGTGCAGGGACCTCAGGGGCGTGCGTCGCATCGACAACAACTTCAATCTAGCAAGATGTCAGTTTGTTTTCAAGTCAGGTTGAGTTGACCTAACACACCTTCATCGGACGTCCGTCGACCAGAAGGCCATTCAACTCCTTAGCAGCCTTGGCAGCAGTGTCGGGCTTGCTGAAAGTGATCGAAGCAATGCCGCGACTCGTGCCATTTTGGTTGTAGGTAAGCATGACCTTCTTGACGGGACCAGCTGACTTGGTGAAATACTCCTATAGCGCGAGTGAGTTCAATTAGTACTTTCATCGAAACGGTCAAGTTTATTTCTCGACTGGAGACGCCGCAATAATGAGAGAGCGAGGAGTGCGTGCAGGAACTGTTCGGAAACCGGACAACACTCAAGAGCACCAGCGAGCACACAGTGATCAGTGGTCAGTACGGCCTTGCAAGGGTATAATGTCAAGAACAGGGAAGTCAGCGACACCAACTGCAAACCGCACAGCGCACTGCAAGCGAATTATTCTGCCGAAAAGAATAACAGCCCATCTCTCCAGCTACCATTCGCCGCGACCGGCTTTCCCCTTCAACAGTCACGGAGTATAGAGACCTCAGGAGAAGCCCATATAGACATGGTTCCACAAGCGCGTGAGTTTGGCGCGCAGTCGAACAAAAAGAAAGGCCAAGTTCGCAAGCGCATGGCGAGTCAGGTTCGTGTGTCCGCAACGGGGCAGCCTAATGAAGATGATACCACCATCCCCCCAAAGTCACAAGGAAAGCGCCACAATGCTAGGCTGTACCCCTTTATACGATGCGGAACGAGAAACCATGACTGCAAGTTTATGCAAGATGTGTTAAGCTGTGCTGAGCTGCTGGATCACTGATGCGCTCGCTGATGCCCCCGACAAATTTGCGAAATATGAAAACGAGCCACCAAGGCATGAATGGAAGTTGAGTGGCGTCTTTCGACAACCACCTTCAGCACAGTCCGCAGCGCATCCATACAGCTTCGCCTTGGCAGCAAGGGAGCAAAGAGGGATGCGGCTTTCGCAAGACTTCGACAGAGCTCAACTTCGGTACGGCGCACCAGGCCCTCCGGAACGGGGCGGAGCAAAAGCGACACGAAGGAGCCTCCTGTCTTGTGCTGGCATTCGAACAGGTACGAACAACTCGCAAGAAACGACGTCGTCGAGCAGAAGCCGTCCGCGCCTCCAAGGTCTCAAAACGAGGTGGCGATGGAAACCCAAGGCGTAGGCCTCTCGATCAACATACCTTGATATTGGCTTCATTCACATCGGGCGGCTAGAGAGAAGTCAGCGACTGTCCACATCAACGCACCGACGTCGAACTCGAAGGTGGAAAAAAAGAACACTTACCAAGCCGCTCACGATGATTTTGCTCTCAGTCGGTGGAGCAGTTTGGCTGATGGTTGCACCCTTTCCAGCACCTCGGGCAGCCTTGGTGTTCTTCTTCACTCCTCCAACAGGCGCCTTTGTCACCTTTCCGGCACCGCCGCGGCGACGGGCGCTACGACCACTCTGGCGACGGGACTTGGCGATCTCATCGAGAGACTGGTCGAGCTTGGAAGACATGTTGAATGGAGAGAGAACAGGAGACTGTCGATAGGAAATGAAACGCGGAAGTGTTGGTTTTAAGACGCGCTCGAGTGTCTGTCTAGTCTTTTGTGCCACTAGGATAGGGATAGCAGCACGCGAGAGGTTGGAGATAGTAGGCGAAGCGGTCGACAGAGACAAGAGCGCTTCAATAATTGATGAGGAGGAATGGCAGATGAGGCAAGTGAGAAAGAGTCGCTTCGCTGCAGGGGAAGGAGTCGTTTGTTTGGAGGTTGACGAAGGAGAGAGGAGGAAAGGAAAGGGTGGTCGGACGGGTTTGCGACCGGCGGAAGGCAGCAGTGACGGCGCCACCGCCTGCTGTGCCACAGATGGGGGCGCAGACGGACGCGCTAGGCCGCGTTGGGCGCCACATCCTGCTTATATAATCACAGCACGCCTCGATGTGGGTCCAGCAGTGAATACTTGCCTATGTCGGTAGCCTCAATGGCTTCAGCAACACGCTCTTCTGTCCTGGCATATGGTGAAGCAGTCAATTCAGCGCAGTCGCCGTCGAAATCAATGGGTCCTACCCAAGTAACCGGAGCTCTCAGGGTCCAGATTGAGGTCTTACGCTGTGGTCAACGTATTGAGCGGCCAATCTACCTTATAATTACTAAGTACGCATTGGCAATACTGGACATGAACACCTTATCTACTCGTGCAAATACATCGACAACCCGTGACATAACATCATGTGAGAGAAGAAACAGTTCTCGACAAAACAATAACCTTATCCAAAATCCTCTTGACACCATACGCCATGGAGACGAAGTAAGACAGTCATCAGCCGTGGTCCATGCCATCAAGGCATTCATTGACCTTGTAAATCCCTGCCATCGGAACGGTGAGTAAATGGATGAATGCAGATGCTCTTCCGGTCAACTCTTCAAAGCTTCGAGTCGGCCCCTCATCTGCTCCAATGTCGCCTCCTGGTCCTCGAAATCGTCCTCCACAGCCGCCGGTTCCTCTTCGACCGGCTTTTCTGCCTTGGCCCCTTCTACCTTGGACAGCTTGCCCCGCAGGACTTCTTCCAGGATCTTGTCTACCTCGGCATCGGCTTCTTCTTCCTCATCCTCCAGCAACTGGTCTGCGGGAATGGCGTCATCAACCATTTCTTCAATAATGCCCGCTTTCACCAGCTCCGTGGAGAGTTGGCGCATGGTCCCCGTCAGTTCCGGCATGCGAACTAAAGTATTCACGTCTTTCATGATGCTGGTCGACTTCTTCAGGCTGCCTTGGATCTTGCGCACTGCAAACGCCTCGTTGACCTGCATCTGCACGCTTTGCAATTGCGCGCGACTTGTCGTGAGTCGCGCACTCTGCTTCCGGATCCGCAGGAGTTCTCGTGCAAACGTTTTGGTGTCGTTCATAGCCTGTTTGGCTTGGGATGGGTTCCTTTGCGCCCGACGAGAGGCATTTACGATGTGTTGTCGTGTCTTCGCATCAAGAGCTTTGAGCTGGGCAATATCCCGGTCTAACTGGCGAGTATTTGCACGGATGAGCTGGTTACATTTCCTCATCTGCAAGGAGGAGTTAGTGACTGGCCAACAGCAGATGGCGAACTGGTATAGAGCCGACCTGTGCCTGAGGATCGGGGCCGAAAAAGACAGACTTGATCGCCTCCATAGTGGAAACTCTGGTTTAAAACTGGCAGATGTCGGTCGATAAAGAACCCCAAAGCAAAACGCAGGCTAGGAGAACGGTCTGTTCGAGCCCGCGCGAAGAAGAGCCTCCCAACCCGGAGAGGCGCCAAACGTTGTTGAGACTTCAGAGGTGGATCTCGGGATGCATATTCGTGTCAATAGCGGGGTAACAGATGAGACCCCCGGAGTGGAGTCGATGAACACAACAGGAGATGAAGCGCTGTGAAGACGCTCTGGTAATGGGACCGTAGTCGTAGAGGTCAAGCTCCGGGTCTTGGTCAGATGTGGTTGGACGAGCCAGTGACGTCGTGGCCGGGGCGGGTGGCTGCCTCAGGCTGCGAAACAGGGCGGCAAACAGGCCAAACAGCGGCCTGAGGACTGAGCCTTCCAGTACTTTCTAGACGGCGCAGCAGTTGCCCTATTATGGTCTCGCCGTGAGGCTGGAACTAAACCACCAACGATCCAACGGACTATTCTCGATCAGCCTCCTTCACGCAGAACATAGTACCCTCGCATCTCCCAGGTCTGTCCGCTGTCATTGACGACGTTTCTTACTATCTAATTCGCATTTCACAATGGCCGCTGCAGAGCTTACACCAGAAGGTATGTTACGCAGAACTATATCTCCTCGATGCTTCAACCCCGCACCGGGGTGGGTGCAGCAGCAGGAGCCTCTCCACCACGAGATAGCTCCAGATGCTGTCGGAAGCCCTTCCAATGGCTTGGGATATTGCTTGGAATATATTCTGTAACAATACTGACCAGTTTTCTACTTACAGTTACGTGGGCGCAGCGCTCCTCCGCCTCGGACGCCGCTCGTAACTTCCTCTACGTCAACATCAACGTCCCCGATGTGCCAAAGTCCTCTGCCGACCTCAGCATCACTCCATCCAATGTCTCCTTCACAGGCACCAACATGAAGGGGGTTAAATACCATGTGTCTCTCGACTTGTATGCCGACATTGACCCCGAAAACAGCAAGTCGCACCACACTCCGCGCGGCGTGGAGTTGGTGCTGCGCAAGAAGGAGCTCAAGGCAGAGTACTGGCCGCGCCTGCTGAAGGAGACCAAGAAGGTCCACTTCCTGAAGACCGACTTTGACAAGGTATGAGGGGCTTTCCTATCGGACGGATTATTATGACAGAAGGCTGACGGGTCGCAGTGGGTCGACGAGGACGAGCAGGACGAGGTTGACGACTACGAAGCCAACTTTGGTGGATTCGGTGATGACGGTAATCTCGGAAACATTGACTTCTCTAAGCTCGGCGGTGGCGCTGACTCCGAGTCTGGTGAAGCTGGCGAAGATGAAGAGTCATCGGTACGTCGTGACGTTGTCTCACTGGAGATGTGCGGAGGAGTTTCTCCTGACTGACGCGTTCTGCAGGATGATGATGAGCTTCCTGAGCTTGAAGGCGATACCCCGAAGCCCCCCAAGGATACGGAGGTTAAAGAGGACAAAGAGGACTCTTCTTAAATTTAAATCAGAACTGCTGAAATCATCTCTCATGTCCATCCTACCATTTTTGTATCTGGACACCCATCCAGTGATTAATCTTACGACGATGACAATGACAACAACAACAATAACAACACACGAGCCCTAGTTAGCGGAAGTTGGGGAGGCGGAATGAAAGGAGTTACGAGCTGGCGCGAAAGTTGGAATAATTGCTTATTACTTTTACCTAGGGACGGGAAATAAAAAAAAAGACAAGAGTCACACGCGGCACACGGGCACAAACTTGGTTGCTGCTAGTAGACCCTATTATCTTTTTTTTTTCCGACGCTCGTCAAACTGTTAACTGTCAACAGACACTTTTATCAATCACCCTGTTTTTTTTTAATTTTTTTTATGTAACGGACGTACATCTACTACCCGTAAAAAGAAAAGGCAAAAAAAATAATAAAAAGGACCCTATTTCTCTATCTTATCTTATTTATTTCTCTATCTTTTTTCCTTTCTTCTTTTTTTGAATAAAGAAAATTATAATTAATAATTATAATAATTTATTTCCCTTCGTCCTCATATGTATACGCTGCTAGTAACTTGCCAGCCAATTTTTATTCATTCGTCCATATTCTCTCTTGGAGCGAGCCAGCCAGCCAGCCAGCCAGCCAATTCTCACCAAACCCCCCATTATCATCTCATCATCGTCATCCCAAGGTCTGTCTGTCTATTCGTGTCTTTGTCTTTTGTATACAGTACATTCAAAAAGAGAATTTTTTTTTAAAAAAGAAAAGCAAATATTACAGCTCAGAAGATGTAAAACCTGAAAAAAAAAGAAATGGTTTGATGAGATTAAGTTATGGATCGAATCAATTGTAATAGCCACCATATCCCTGGTCGTATTCGTGTCTGCGCTCGTGATGGTGATGGCTGTGTTCGTGGCTGTGTCCATGTCCATGTCCATGTTCATGGCCATGGCCATGGCCATGGCTATGGCTGTGGCTGTGTTCATGGCTACTATGTTCATGGTGACTATGACTATGACTACTACCACGGCTATGATGACTCTGGCCGTACTGAGGCTGCTGATAGTAATCGTAGGTGTGGGAACCATGCTCCGGAGGCTGGTATTCCCGCCATCCCCCTTCACTTGGTCTGTTCTGGTGATATCTCTCGTATCCCGAAGGCGGGGGGATGTTGAATCCAGACTCGTACTGCGGTTGCGGCGGCGCATGGTGAGAGTATCCTCCATAGCTGTCTCCTGGCGGAGGATGAGGAGGTGGTTCATAGTGCTGCTCTGAGTGATAGCCTGGATTGAAATCAGTTCGCTCGCTTGGCTTGTCGTCATCGTTTATGATTAGACTGGACAATTTGCTCAGCTGGGATATCCCTGGGATAGAAAGCTTGCCGAGCTCATCCAACGCAGAGGCTACTCCACTCGAGGAAGATGAAGACTGATTTTGGGTCTGTTGATGCTGCTGATGTGAAGAACCATAACCACAGCTACTCGCCGCGCTGATAGCAGGAAAGCCTCCACCACCGTGAGAGTGTCCGCCTCCCTGATGCTGAGCGTCTTTGTCCTTTAGGTTCCGTCCCTCCCGGACACCTTCGGCACTCAGAATGTCGTTCAAATTGGCACCTCGGTCGGGTCGCGAATTCACCCAATTCTGAATGGCCTCGAACATCGTCCGGTGAGCCTCGTTATTCATGTCCTTCAGGGCCGGGTGATGGAAAACTTGAACACAATCGTCCATCACCCGTTCCACGGGTACGTCGATATGCTGCCACGCGTACAAGACGCGAGGAACAACATACTTGACAATGGCAGCGGCGACGTGACCGGCGGGCTCGTTCAGGACGTTGGCAAAGTGATCCTTTGAGAGCAGCGAGTGCGTCGGATCCGTGCAGGTGGGATCGGTCCAGGGTTCATATTGGTGCTTGCCGGATGCGTCGATGACACCGGCAGATCCAGTCTGCAGGGCTTGAGACGCAGCGTTGATGATCGGGCGGATAAACGGGGCGAGGAGAGAAAAGACATAAACTGTCACTGCCTCTGTAATTTTCTCAACGAGGTCCTCCAGACCGGGAATCTTCTCGATGATCGACGAGACCGTCCTAACAACTTTATCCCTGAATTGGAGAATGGGATATATCTGTTGAATTGTCTGCTGCGGATCAAAATCTGGTAGTCCCGGCAATCCTGGACCAGAAGCGCCACCACCAGTAGCCGGAGGCGGAGGCGGAGGTGCAGTTTGTGTCGAGACCCGACTCTGTTCATAGTATCCACCCGGGGCGCGACTGTGTTCATGCTCAAATCTACGGCTCGATTGGCCGTCAAAGCCTCTCGAAGATGCGTATCCCGTACGCACGTGGCGGCTTCGATTCGCATATTCCTGTTCGTCAGAGCGACGTTTGAGTTCTTCAGCCTCAGTTACGAGATCCTTCGTGCCCGGAATGTTCCCCAGCAGACCTGTCAGGGCGTTGAACGGGCTAGAAGAAGAGTTGGACTGAGCATTGCCCAGCGTGATGTCCATCTCGTTGAGCTCGGATTGAGTGAAGTGATCCGAAGCTTCTCCAAGAACGGAGTGCAAGAAATCAACCACGCCAAACGTTCCCGTGACAAGGGGGAAAACATGGCGTCCGCGGATGTTCATCTGAGTCGCGCTTCCGGTGTGCGGAAAGACGTTGTGGAATCCCATTTCCCGCAAAGCCAACTCGCAATAATTGGTGTGCGCTGCAAAGTCCTCCAAAGTGTGAAGGCCCTGACCAAGACATCTCAGGGCCTCACAGAGGTCTTCCTCTTTGCCCCTTCGAGATCCTCCGCTCGTATACATCCTTCCGTAGTGGATGCTACGAGACAGGCTGTATCTGACGTAGGCAGCGCTTGTAGCCCAATCTCCTCTTTCGTTGGCGATGTAGTTTTTCATGCCCGTGTGCGGATCGATCTCAAGCTCGATCTGGCGAACAGGCGGACGTAGTCGGGGGTCATATTGCCTCGCATCTTGGTTATCCGCGTAGTCCTTTGGGTTGCTTTGCGAAGAAGCCGCGTCAGTCAATTCCAGCATCAAAGAAACACATCGCAGATGGGGCGAACTGACTCGATGTGCTCCTCTGGACGGTAAACGCCGAGTCTCTCGGACGTCACTTCGTACTCGGCCGTCGCGTAGCCGAAACTCATAAAGGAAAGGATCCAGACCAGAATGCGAATGGTGTCTGCGGGCAGGTTCTTCAAGGTGCCGACATCCATTGCTTGGGAGTAGTCTCGTAACCAGTTTCCAAAGTAGACGCGCTTGATCATGGCCGATGTCCACTTGTGGCCTTTGATAAAGGCGAGCGCCTTGATGGTGTCTTCGATGTCGCCATGGCGCCAGTTCTTGCCTTCGATGGCAGAAATCGAGGCAATGTCTGATTGAGGCAGTGAGCATACACCGAGTCAGACAACATGGACGTCAAGAGGGGCACGTACTTCCAGCACCAAAGGCGTGGGCTTTGGTGGGGAGCAGAACGAGCAAGACCAGCAGGATGAGAAGAGCCGGCGGGAAGCCTCTAATCCTGCCCATTCCCATCGTCAACAGACCTAGCAGTTTCTCTTAAAAGAAAAACCTATCGGAGGCTTGAATGTTGCACACGACACTTAGTACGGAGGAGATAAGATATTGTTTCCGATCCCAGCCCCGCCACCAAGAGCCCCGTGATACAGACTACAGACTGCCTGTATGGCTGGCTTGTTTGTTGGTTTAAACACCCTGGGTAGACAACAAGGAGGGATGTCTGTTGACAGAGAGCCTGCAAAAATGGCTTCTGAACGAGGGGCCAGTCAGCAGTATTCACCAGTGCTTGGCTGGTGGCTATTTATGGGAAGCAGCAACAAAGACCAAGACCTTGCCAAGCCGTCGCCAGCCCAATGGCCCACACAAGCAAATTTGGCTCGTGATCATCCTGAAAAGATGTTATCGGAGCCTGAGGCAGTGGTAATACTCCTTCGACCGGTATTTTGTGTCGACGGAGCACTCCAGAGGTACGGAGTACTCCGTACCTATCTCGTGGAATCCTTTCGGGCGGGGAATGACGAGTTCGTAGACTTGTGGCTGCGCTAGGACAGGAATAAAAAAAGGCAGGAATCAGCTAGGACGCCAAGCGATAAGATCGAACTGAAAGCAAAACCAAGGTTCAAAGTGCAGAGAGAAGAGTGGTCAGCCCTGTCAGGACTGATCTTTGGCACGGACCTGCAGACTTCCATCATGAACTCCTGCCGACCGTATCTTTTCGGATGATGCGAACAGGGGTTCTGTGCGCACGCTGGATTGACCGATTCGGATAGTAGGAAGATAGTAGGATGATGGACAGTCGCCGGGGCCAGTCACGGGCTGACAACAAGGCAGCCTAACAGCCTCTCTAAGAGCTAGCTGCTGAAAAATGTCGTCAACGGTCAACAATCAACCCCGCAGCAACAGGGGGGCCGTTGTATATAGAGGTATCCCTCCACCAACGGTTTCTGGCTAATCTACCAATCTGTACTTAGCACCCTGCATCCCTACTACCCAGCAGGTACTGGTTTAACGCCGCAGCCATGGCTCAGGATCACCCCCCTGGCAATCCCCTGGAAGTGGTAAGCATCTACTCCTGCGCAATGAGATGAGGAAGAATAGCACTGATTTGGCTTGGCCAGGATGCCGCTGCCGATACCGATTCGGCTTACAATGAATCGTGAGCATATAGCCACCTGGGCTGGAAAATAATTTGTCTGACGAACCGGATACAGGATTGCTTCAGCGAGCTACGTGTCGTCGCTCACTTCAAGCATAAAAAACTACAAGTAATGTGATCGCTATCTTGCGAGCCTTTCCAGTACAACTTGCTGACCAGATGACTCGCGACTTTGAACAGATATGAGGTAAGACTGGTTATTCAGACCTCATGTCCATGGCCTAGGGCCTGAACTAGCCTCAAACCAAGCTTCTTCTTACTCACTATCGAAGCTGACACTTTTCAGAATGGACGCCGTTATCATGCATACAAAGAAGGCGCATATGTTGCGGTATGCTTTCTTCCAGCCAACCCATTGTCCGGCTTGAGAACTGAGCCAGTGTAGCCCAACGACGAAGAAGAACAAGACCGAATCGACCTTCTGCATCACATATATCGCCTTCTTTTTGGCGGCCCGCTTCACCTTGCACCAATTGGCGAGAACCCTCAGCGTGTATTGGATCTGGGTACTGGCACAGGGATCTGGGCCATCCAATTCGCCGAGTAAGGCTCTCCTTGCCGTGCTTGATGCGCTTCTTGCTAAGTTGAGACACAGCGAATATCCTTCTGCACAAGTCATCGGCACTGATTTGAGCCCTATACAACCTCCCTGGTAAGTAGTAACTGCTTTTACAATCCACCTGTTGGTAGATTATTTTGTATGTCTGACACCAATAGGGTCCCTCCAAATTGTGTGTTTGAAATTGACGACTTCGAGAGCGACTGGCTATATAAGAACAAGTTTGACTTCATCCATGGCCGTGAGCTAGAGGGGTGCGTCGCCGATGAAGAGCGGCTCTTCCGCCAGGCATTTGAGCATCTCAGGCCCGGAGGATATCTTGAATGGGTTGGTGCTTATGCCTGGTTTTTCTCTGATGATGGCACCGATGAAAAGGCGGAGTATACCAAGAAATGGCTCAAGCTCTTCCACGAGGCGGCTGGAAAATTCGGCAAGAGCTTTGAGACAGCCCCGACGTGGAAAGAAAAGATGGAAAAGGTCGGGTTTGTGGATGTGAAACAGACTGTCTTCAAGGTTGGACCTTCCTCCGCTCCTATTTATTCGGTAACATACTGATTCTGTTGACAGGTGCCATTTGGTCCATGGCCCAAAGACCAAAAGCTGAAGGAAATCGGACGGTTTGAACAGGTCCAGCAGATCCAAGCAGTTGAGGCTTATACACCAGCACTCCTCTCGCGATTCCTTGGCTGGAGCAACGATGAGATACAGGTGTTGATAGCCAAAGTGCGGAGTGAGCTTAAGGATCCTGCGATCCACCAATACATCACGACGTACGTCGTGTATGGGCGAAAGCCGGAAGAGAAGTCCTGAACGGGGAGTTCTGATCGAAGCTTCTTGTCAAACTAGAAGTTCTAGTTAGAATAGCGATAACATTCATTCCATTGATTTGATGGCATTCGCGTTTGTATCTTGACTGTTACTTACGGCCAAAGAAGACTCAGCAAATAGCTCCTTCTTCCTCCTCCTTTTCTCCCTTTTCTGTATGTGTATATATATCTAAGAATGGCTATGTCGATGAATTTAAGTTCCAGGAATCAACCACGATGCGATTCCGCTGCTATCCATGGATCAATCACACTGAGAATGCGTTGACCCCAACCAACCCCGCTCGATCTGCAGATCCAAGGACCAGGTAACAACTCCGCATTAACACTCCGTTTGGAACCACTCCGATAGGCCGCTCGATAAGCAACTTCAGCACAGACAGAACCTTTCTGAGACGATGTTACTGTGATATCGATCCCCTCTCCTCCTCTTCGCTTGCATTGGACCTGTCTGCTGCTGCCTGTATGCTCTCTCTGCACTATGTGGATACCCCACGTGTCTGTTTACTAGCTAGCTATCATCTCCTGAGAGGACGGGACTGGAGTGAGGGGGAAACGGGCTAATCCCGGCTTCTACCTTACCTAGTTCGGTCTATCTCGACCCGGGTACTAACTACTATGCACAGAGGCACCGCTGCATGTGGTGCCTAACCTACCTACCTATCTAGGGAGGTACATGCAGACAGCTGCAGGATTTTGCTCGATGCGGCAGAGTTAATCAATCCATCATGTGGAGATATAAAGCAGGGAGATTGGATACGCAGGCTTAATGGTATTGTCGTGCTCTTCGGTTAGTACTTGATATCTCCTCAAAAGCTGACTGACTATTTTGCTTACTCCAGTCATAAGAAAATGACACCAAGATCAGTCTTGTTCACCGCCGCTGCAATAACCGCTTTTCTGACAACATGCAGCGCTTCCATCGAAAACCCTGCCATCCAGCCCACTCCCCCCATGGGCTTCAACAACTGGGCCCGCTTCGAGTGCGTGCTCAACGAGACGCTCTTCACGGAGACAGCGGACGCCATGGTCGCGACCGGCCTGCGTGCGGCCGGCTACGATCGTCTCAACCTCGATGACTGCTGGATGGCCTACTCGCGGGCGCCAAACGGCTCTCTCCAGTGGAACGAGACCAAGTTCCCGCATGGCCTGCCCTGGCTGGCAGACTATGTCAAGGCGCGAGGATTCCACCTGGGCATTTATGAGGATTCCGGCAATGCCACCTGTGGCGGGTACCCTGGCTCCTATGGGCATGAGCAGCTGGACGCAGAGACATTTGCGTCCTGGGGCATCGACTATCTCAAGCTGGACGGCTGTAATGTCTATCCCGACACGGAGCAAGAATACCAGGCGCGGTACTCGCACTGGCACCAGATCTTCAGCAACATGTCTCACCCGCTCGTCTTCTCCGAGTCCGCCCCGGCGTATTTCGCTTCCGGCGACAATCTCACGGACTGGTACACGGTTATGGACTGGGTGCCCGTCTACGGCGAGTTGGCCCGGCACTCGACGGACATCCTGGTCTACGTCGGCGAGGGCAGCGCCTGGGACAGCATCATGGTGAACTACAACTACAACCTCTTGCTGGCGCGGTACCAGGCGCCGGGGTACTACAACGACCCGGACTTTTTGATCGCGGACCACCCGGGCCTGACACTGGACGAGAAACGCTCGCACTTCGCGCTGTGGGCGTCCTTCTCGGCGCCGCTGATCATCAGCGCGTACATCCCGGCTCTGCCGGACGAGGTCATCGCGTACCTGAAGAACAGCGACCTGATCGCGGTGGACCAGGACCGTCTCGCACAGCAGGCGACGCTCGTCAGTCGCGACGACAGCTTTGACGTGCTGACCCGGAGCCTCGCCAACGGCGATCAACTGCTGACGGTGCTGAATCGGGGGAACGACACCGCCAGCACGAGCATCGCTGTGGCCCGGCTGGGACTGGAGGAGGCGGGATGTTCCTACGCAGCAAAGGATCTCTGGAATGGCACCTGGACGACGATCGTTGACGGGAAGATTGATATCAAGGACCTTGCTTCGCATGCGACTGCCGTCTACCGCATCTCTCTCCCACCGCGCTGCTCTGCGGTCGTCCCCACAGGCATGATCTTCAACACCGCATCCAAGAACTGTCTGACCGCATCCTCCCAGCATGGAATCAGCTTTGCGGAATGCAACGGCGACGACACGCAGGTGTGGCAGGTTCGCTCGTCGGGCACAATCAGCCCGTTGTCTGATCAGTCGGCTTGCCTGACAGCAGAGGATGGTGCCTCTGTTGTCGGATTATCTCCCTGCGGGAAGGACAAGAACCAACAGTGGGCGTACGCTGTGACGGGAAATCTGAAGAATGTGGCTTCTGGCGTTTGCTTGACGGAAGGGGCTCAGAATAATACTGTCACTGTGTGCGGCTTTGAGAAGAATACTCAAGTATGGGCTCTTCCGAGCGGTGTTGAGGTCAGTAGATAGAGAAAAGCCTCATCTCTACTGGTTTTGCAGTATCTATATATAGTCAAGATTTGGATATTCTTTTCGACTGGATTTTTTTTTCATCATTCGTAGCTGTATTTACCATATTCACTAGAAATGGTTCGAAAGAACCGGATGCAGGACTGTAGACATCAATATCTGTCTGTCTGTATGTATGTACACACATTCTCATCATGCTGAATCATCCCTGAAGAGAGTATCCCACATCCTCCCCCCTGCCCATGGCCATAAGATTGCGCCGCATATTCTCCGCCCTCTTGCTGATTCCTACCAAGGCGGCATCATCCCGATCGATCCAGGTCCCGACACCATGCTGCAGGACGGCCGTCGCCCGGACCTTCTTGTCCGCTTCACTGCCGGAGCCTTTCAACCCGACACTGCCGTGCAGCGTCAACCGCGTCTCCTCTCCCCCCTCAGGCTTGGGCTTGTAGATCCCGCGGTGCAGGATGTTGCTGTCGTAGAAGACGGCGTCGCCGGGCTCGAGCTTCACGACGACCTGGTTGGGCAGCGAAGGCTCGTACGGGTCCGCGTTGCGCTCGGTTTCCGTCCGCACGCGCCGGTGCGAGCCCGGCACGGCGATGAGCGACGTGTCTGGGCAGAGCGCTAGGTTGTACTGCGCATGCGACTGCTTCCCCTGCGGGCTCTTAGACTGCAGCAGCTTTAGCTCTTCTTCGGGGGATACCGTCTCGGGGATGTCGTCGCGGTGCCAGCGCAGCTCGAAGTTTCTCGTCTCGGGAGCGACGAGCAGGTTGAACAGCTCCATCACCAGGGGCTCTTTGTCGGGATCGTCGTCTGACTCCGGGGCTTGCACCTCCAGCAGCTCCTCCACCACGCGGAGCACCTTGTCGGAGAAGTAGAACTGCGCGAACTGCTCGCGGCCCGGCATGTCCGGATGCAGCAAATGCTGCACGCCCCAGATGCCTCCCTCAGACGCAGGAGGCACCGTCTTGGGCCACGGGGGGAATTGCTTGGGCACGGTGCGGAAGAACGGCCAGTTCCCGGCACGTGTCATGGCCGTCGCCTTGGTTGCCGCCTCGCGGAGAGAAGCCACCTCGTCGGGCGAGAGGAGCGAGCGCACGACGACGAAGCCATCGCGCTGCAGAGCGTCGAGGTATGGGGTGCTGCTGGTAGATGCGGGAGCAGTTGTTGTCGTGGTTGCAGTCGCCATGGTATGGTATTGTATGCACAGTTCAGTGGATCGCTTTTGGAAGGTTTCTCCTCTAATGCAGTCAATAGAAGTCAAAGTCCAGTCGAAGATCAGAGAAGCGGAGGCATATATAGTATATTAGGTAGGTAGGGAGCTTCTTGCGTTTTTTTTTTGCGCGTTGAGTTGAGTAGTAAAAGGAAATAATGCAAATGCAAGACGTAGTAGCGATATCTATCCCAATCAAATTAACTGACGTCGCTGTGGGGCATAGAGAATGAAACATGAGATAGATCCCAGAGGCTAGAAGGTATCTAATAATAATACACCCCACAATTGAACCAGCGGATTTTAACTTCCATTACTAAATCTGACTTTCTTTTCCACGGTTTTCCTTCCGAAGCGCTCTTCCCTGGGGCCTGGGCGGGGTGAGTTACCTACTCCGTAAGCTAAGAAATCTCCTCCGTCCATGGCGGGGTTGGCTGCTATCCGACGAATAATCAACCAACAAGATCTGGTCCACAGGTAATTCTTGATTTTGTTCTGTTAGCCAAGCCATGCTATCAAAGCTGAATGACTGCATGGTTGCATGGCATGGTCGTATTATTACTCCCTCACGTGGGTGTATCTGCCAGATTCGCTGGAGTGGGGAACCCATAGTGCTTCACTATTTGATCTGTCAGGTACATACCTAGGTACATGTACCTTCTCCGACGAGTACTTACTACTCTCAATCGAGCAATGCTGCGGTTGGTTTAAAAAAAAATAAATAATAATGACAGTCCTGGCTGCACAGGAATGCATTTTCATAGCCTGCCGTAAAGAAAAGGATCCAAGGGAATTGACAATGATGCCTTCAGTTGATCCAAGGAATAGTTAAGAGCTAGGAGAGATGCGCACAAGCTTCTTACCATGCAAACAAATCCGCATCAGATTCCAAAAGTTGACTTTATACAATTGCATCACGGGTATTGGTCAAAAATCAAAATGAGAAACGAACATAGACAGACACGTATGTGTGTACATGCTTGTATGATCCTCTTCGTAAATCACAAAATAGTCAACACATGGGGTATCTCTATGGAAAAGTATCTCGTGATCTTATGATTCTTATCGCAAACTGGTCATGTCTGACGAGGCAGATCCTCACGTCGGTTTTGCTTCAACAGAGGCGTTCATCGTCTGATCGATCGAAGCAATGGCGTCTTCCGGTGAAGCGCTGGTGCGAATGATCTCGACGACGGAGGCAACCAGCGCGTCGTCACAGTCGCAAATGGCGTTGAAAAGTCGCTCTAATAACTCGCGTTTTCCCTTCCAACAATTCGTTGGCTGCTGTTGATGACGTTGATTACTCGTTGAGATCTCCCAGCCGGAAGAGTCATTCTGGTTTCCAACGGGAGGAGAAGGAGGATGGTTATTGCTGCTGGCATATCCTGTTGTGTCTGGAATCATGGTCTCTGGGGAGAAGACTGCAGGGATGGTTGTTGACCCTACACATCAATAATTTGTTAGAAACACAGCAATTGATTTGGCGTGTTCTTGAGGGTAGGACAGGACAGACCGTGATAACTGGTCCCAATCGCAACATTGCCCCTGTGCCATTGTGCGGTAGAAATGTCATTATCAGAGACCGTCGTGTTTGGATGTGAATTAGAATTAGTGCCCACAGGGCCACTAGTCCAGGGCGATAACAACTTCTCATCATTACTATGGGAGACCACACCACTGGGAACCTCTGTAAAAGACGTCACAGTCAAAGTATCGAAGATGGTTTTCTGCGCTGCATCATATTGCGCATACGCAACAGGGAACTTGGTTGTCTCCGCTGTCCTCTTTTACGCCTTTCTCGGCCACGTTTCGTTTCCGCCAGTCGCCGAGCCGTTGGGGGGATTTGTTGACTGCTCCACATGCCAGGCGTCTCTTCAGCCGGTTGACTTCTCTCCGGAGATTTTCAATAATGTCTGCCTGGTTGATCTGAAAGCGGTCCTCGTTGTTGGTGTTATACTCGCACTCGGACTGCAGGCCTCGGCTGCAACAGGCCCGGCACGGCTTCGCTCGGTCACACTGCGGAGACCCGGTCAGCCTCTCCACCGTTGGACAATGGCGTGCAACAGCAGGCTTACTTTGACTTTTCGCTCCCTACATTTGATGCAGGACTGCTGCGGCCGGTATTTAGCCTTGGTCGAGTCGGATGTGGTGGCACTGCTGGATTCAATTTCAGAGGCTGGCTGACGGTCCATGGAGGATGATGGCGGGTAGGAAATCAGCATGGATACAGGACGCTTGTCTGAGAAAACGAGGCTGGCGCAGAGCCAATTAGGTATGCATTGATTCTGGATATGGATTTCCAGATCTGTTCTCGCCTTAAACTCGTCATCGGACCAATTGCTGGTGGCCTGCGATGGACGAACGAGATATACTCTGTAGGCGCTGCGGAGACGATGCAGTCGTGGAACAGAGCGGCACCACTATTAGTGGCCCCTGTCCGGCGGTACGCTCGTCAGTACTTACCTACCTAGGTAACTAGACATAGGTACAGTGCATAAGCATGTATCTACATCTATGTAGATGTCGTTCATAAGCTAGGAAACTAATCCAAAACATGTAAGATTCAAAATGGAACTCCCTCCCAATTTGCATCCATATTGACATCGCAGCTGATGTACACCATTCACAGCTCTTCTTCCCAGAGCTACGCCAGTATCCGCTGAGATATCTATCTCAAATCTAAGATTCTATCAGGGAAATCGAATTGTTCAAAATAATGGTCTCGCATGAACAGAATCGGCAAAGCGCAAAGAATTTGAATCTCTGTTATATGAGAATGATTCGGAGTGAGGAATGACAGTTGGAGAAATCAAAAAGAGGGAAGCCAAAAAGACGAAGGAGACGAAGGAGACGAAGGAGAATAAGCAAGACTGTTTCACGAACTTTTCTGAGAACCATGGCTTTCATGCTCTCTCAACAGGCGTGCCATTCTTTCGAGACCTTTCCTTTTGGCAATCTCCAGGGCTGAGGAGAGCCAAGGGGATTTCAAATGAGGATCTGCACCATGCTCCAAGAGAATGCGCACTATCTCTTCACTTTCCGCTTCGACAGCTATTCCCAAAGGTGTTCTATAACTATTGAAGAATCCCAAACTATCGACATCAGCTCCGTGATCGAGAAGAAGACACACAGTGCTTGCTTTGCTGCTTACTACAGCGTGATGAAGTGGTGTGCAACCCTAGAAAGATTGTCGACTCTTACGCCATGCTTGAGGAGCAAGAGTATAATGTCATCCCATCCCTGTTTAGCTGCGTCACATATTGCCTGTTTGCCGACTTCAGCGACGACTTCTCCAACGGCTTGTGGAGATCCACACTCAATAAAGGCTCTGAAAGTGTAGTTTTCTTTTCAAGGCCCATTCGAGTCCACGTTTTCTGAACTCGATGAGAAAAAAGCCCAGTTCGTCCTCGACGTCGAGTAACTCTTGCAATTTCAAGACATCCTCAGACACAGCTGCATCCATGATTGCTAGCTGGACAGACTCCTTTCGTTTTACCAACGGCTCTTCATCGACCGCCTTCGTTGATTGCATGTACAATTGACGGATCATTTCTTGGACATCAGGAGAATCACTGGACCCTTCATGACGCTTTTTCATATGATTTAATAGGAAATCCTTGCGGGTGTAAACGTGGTTACACGAAGGCTACAAGCAATGAAACTCTCGGGGCTCCAGCAGCAGATGTCGACGTCAATGGCGGTCCAGATCATTTCTCAATGCAAAGCCTTTGGAGCAGAGACCACAGCGGTATGGTTTATCATGCGTCCGATGGCGACTATGCAGCCTGGCTTGTTAGTACTAGACTTGACTTGTGGGTGTCACTGAAAGAACATGCAGGTAGACTCACTTGTAATCCATTCGTTTCGTGAAGCTTTTTGGACAGTTCGGGCATTTTATTATGGCACTGGAGGGCACCACAAGAAGATTTCGGTTGATCTCTGTAGACTTTGTCGGTGTTTTCACTGAAGTGCCATTTTTGGAGATTGTTGGAGACATTTCTATGTAATGGATAATAATCAACTCTGTGGTGCAGTACAATCACAGTCCATGAAGACAATAAGACGGCTCATCAGATATAAGGTCAGATTTCCCTAAGGTTTCTCCAGATTGATATTGATAATGAGCGCTTAATTCGTTCCTGTGGAGAAACTTATCTAGAAGAGTCACAGCCGAGATCCTGGAGGCAGCTGAAAGTGGCCAAACGACAGCTCAGGTATTGACAGCGGTTGTTGGGCAGGCAGTCTGCAGCAGCCACAGGGCGTAGCGCAGGGCTGCTTTGCCTTACTACGTCCGATCGTTGGGAAGCCGGGAAGGCGTGACCACATTGGAGCTAGCTACCTACTTGGTTGGTAATATCAGATACTGACCTCAAGGTGACGCGTTTCTACAGAAAGGAATCACTATGAATTCCTCATTCTTAGGTTTCCCAAAAAATTCAAAAAAAAAAAGTAAGGAAATAAAAAGAAGACAATGTTAGACTACCTAAATAACTAAAGAGAGCGAAATTCAGTTGGTAATCACCGCATCACCATCAACTTATCATCTACCTGTCACCATGAAGCCTTTTCATGTGTTCTGTCAGGTTGTCTTCTCTTTTGCAGACCTTGCCACAGCCTTCGGCCAGACAGGGGAAGAATCCCGGGTTGATATGCTGATTCCTTAGATGGCGTTTCAATTCATGTTTCCGGCCGAACGTGGCAGTGTAAGCACAGCCTGCCCACTTACATTTCAGTCGGTCAGCTGTCTTACCATGCATCTCCATTAGATGATCCAATAATTTGGTGTTGTCTCCGGTCATTTCAAGGTACGTGCAACCTGACCATTGGCACGGCAGAGGGACAGCGTGCGTCATGTCAGGACTAGTAAGACGAAGAATTTGAAATTGTAAAAACTGAGAAGAGCTCATAAGCTTACCTGTACAGATTTTGATTCATGCCTAGTCCTGAAGAGGGTGCCACTTAAGGCGACAAAAGCCTCGAAAGAAGGAGCTAAAGCTGGTCCAGCAACAGTCGGAGATACAATCCCAGGTGTCGAGTGGTCGAAAACATCGAAGCCATCGTTGATGCCACTGCCATAGTGTCCAAAGACAGAGTCCCAATTGATGTCAGATATAACCGCATTATTTCCGTAGTAGACGGGGTAGTCGTTCATAAGAAGACTGTTTCCTCCATCGTATGCTGATTGTCCCAAACGAATGTCCTCTTCATGAAATGTGTTTTGTGCGACAGAGACAGCTGCTGGGGCATCGACCACTCCATTAGGGTTCTGAAGAAAGGCCCCCGAGAAACCAAGCCTGCTTGCATTGCAGCCTGATGGGGCCTGGAACTCAAGGCCGAGTGTCTGTGTCAAATTATGGTGTGGACCGGGGAGGGGTTGATTGCCAAAAGGCCAGGACCTTGCGCCTCTGAGTAGCGCAAGTCTCAAGGTAGAGGCATACCGTCAGCAAGGCTAAAAAAAAACCTACTCACCCTCAGGATTGTCCCCAAGGGCTGGCGGCAGCTGCGGGTCCATCTGATAATAGGCCAAAGACGTAGGGTCTGCAGTAGTGTAGGGCGCTTGCATCTTTCAATTGCACATTTCTCGGGCGCAGGAAAGCCAATAAGACGGTGGCAAGAGTCACCTGATGAGGCACGTAGGCAAGTCTGGGAGGAAAAATATGATTCCCGGCAAAATTTGCTGGAAATTCACCCATCACATGGATGGAGGGAACCGCTGGATATATGTTGGGAGCTCGCGAGCCTTGCCTTGCTCCCGCCTTGCCCGCCCTGCGCTTTTCCCTTTCCAATAGATTGCAGAAGCACCCCAAGGCGCAAGCAGGGAATAAACCACTCATGTCACATCCAGTCCTTCTCAGGCCTTTGAGGAAGTCCACGTTACATTCCGACCAAGTCAGACCGGTTGAGAAGTTGCCTGCTAGGGGGTTGTTTGAGTCGCGAGCAGGACAGCTAGATTGTTCCAGGCAAATGAGAACAAATAGAGAAAAGTGTCCAACAGGATGGATAGGAAATGGAACCTTGTTTGCGGCTGATTTGGTGCCCCAATCTGACCTCTGATTGCCGGACACGTGTACTTAAGGTTTCCAAGGCTGATTCCAGGCATTGCGGCTGTGGAAAATTAAGAGGGAAAAGAGAAGAGTGAGTAGAAGGAGGACAAGTGGGAGAAAAAAAGTACTGTCTGGTCACTGGAATTTTCTTAACCAAGCAGTCGATGAAAGCTAAGTCTATCATCACTAACAATGCATGAGATGCCCAATAGGATTCGTACAGAATGGTCTCAAGTCATCAATCAGTTCGTGTTCGTCAAGAGGTTGAAAAGCCAATTTTTTTTTAAGTCTTCATCTCTTGATCACGTCTCATGTAACGTCTTCCTGGCGTAAATGAAATGAAACCTCGAATACAGATGATTAGATGAATCGAGGATATCTTTCCGAACTTTGCCCATGTCTGCCTGTGCTTCTTCATACGTGTATCCGAGAACGCGGGTGAAGAAGGCGAGAGTGTAGGGCTCGATGGCCTCGAGGACGCTGTACAAGTGAATCCGACCGATTTGTTTGAGTCGGGGATCTTTGGGCCAGGAGCCGATGGGACACTGGATAGCATTGAACAAAAGTCAGAATTAAGTCAACGTATGACGGGATATCTCTCGTGCCATTCGACAGACTGACCTTGTAGACGTCGTCAGTGACATCGACGAACCCCGCATCTCTGATTTTCTGTGGGAGGACATCGGCGACATTGACCGGTTTTCCAAACTGAATACTGGCATCGTTCACCTTTCGGGCCCACTCGTGGAAGGCCTCCACGCGCTGGTGAGTGCCATCATCGGACCATACGCTGCATTCATACTCCTGCAGCTCGACCCAACCACCAGGTTTTAAATGGTCATAGATCTGGGACAACAGCCGGTCCCAGTCGCTGATGCTGCCCGCCATCACGCGGCCGTGGATGTAGTCAAAGGCCTCATGGGGCAGGTAGGTCCACTCGCTCTCGACGTCATCGATGAAGAACCTACAGTTTGGCGGGCACCAGACTGGCTGGATTGGACTCAGGTCAGTTCCTACAATCTCTGCGTGAGGGAACGCCTCAGCCATTTCGAACGCCCAGTTGCCGGTGCCGGTCCCGAAGTCCAGGATCCGGTGCGTGTTGGAGGGAGAGATGGGAGCTCGGTAGAGATCGCCGTTTACGAGTTCCTTCCACAGATAATGGACCAGGTCCAAGCGATCCTGCTCGCGTTCGTCGTTGGGCAAGGGGTACTTCCCCTGTCGGTACGCATGGTATCTGCGACCGTTCTCGTACAGATAGTCCCGGACAGAACTCGCGAAGGACTGGCTTGATTCGAGCACTGATTCTTCATCGCAGATGGTGTCATCGTCGCTTGTCTAGAAGCACACAGGACTCATGAGAATGGTGATCTCCACATACACTTGCCACGAACCAGCGTGACACAAAGGAAGTCAACGCGCAAAATCAAAGAGGCATGAAAGATAGAACGATTTTGCAGATTGGTCAATCCAAACAAAACTCAGATGGGTGACAGGAACAGCGATGGAACGATGCGGTGGCAACTTACATCAACCTGGATCGTCTGGCTGGCGTTTGGCTGAGACATACTAGGCGATGTGCTCCCCGCACACCGCGACAGAGCGCACGGGGGTCCGGAAGCCGATGGAGCGGATCACACGAGATCAGGCGAGATCAGGGAGGGGGTTCGATCTGACCACAGTAATGGACGGAACAGAGCATCATTATTCCATGCACATAGGTAAATCAACAACGATGATTATTTAGGTATTCTATGACGACCCGTTTGCCGTGTTTGGAGCCCGTACGGTGGGCGCGGACATTTATTACCGTCCGGACGGAACCTCGAGTCTGTGCTGGGATAAGCTTAGCTCCCGCCCCAACGCCCTGAACCCGCTAAAATCCTCACTATTGCCCCCTAAGCGACGCTGAAGGAATCCTGTTCCGCAAGCCACCTCCAGACGACAATCCCAGATGGCGTTGCCAAAACGAGAAAAAGGTAAAAAAAGAGCAACACAGCTGTTCTGTGACAAAAAAAAACGACTTCCATCTCTCAACGTCCTAACTCCACTACAAGCCCATCGGAAATAGTATTACTAATAATAATGACCAGAAATACCTGCACTGGTCCCTGCCTGGGTGGGGATTCTTCACTAGCACCTTAGGCTCTCAACATGCCCCGCTCTGTTAACAGGATTGCCCTCTCGAGAAACCAGCCAGATGTGAATCAACTGCCGTCTGCCACGCTGTCGGGATGGTGGGGTCGCTGCTAGCTTCGCTGCCCGCTGCCCCCGGTTCCATTGGACTTGTAACTGTCCTTGGCCCAGCAGGGGTGAGGGATAGAGATGGTCTCCACGCATGGGCACAAAGATTGAAACACTCGTCTTGTCAGACAAGTCTCGCCCTACATAGGAAGCCATACTTTTCGACCTGAAGATATAGAAACAGGAGCTGGAGCATTCCTGATACCTCAGCGTCTGGATGTGGACTGCAATATCAGAACGGCTAGGAACCTAATAGGGATGACCTATGAACTCGCTTCGCACCGCATCTGCATTTAATTGATGTTCTGCACCGTCTAACTATGATGGCCAAGACTTTCTCTAGCCTTTTGGAAATACCAAACATGGCTGCTAAGCAAACTGTACTATAAAACTAAGCTTTCATCTCGTCATAACCTCATTTGAAGATCCTTTTAAAAGATGGAACTTCTTCCAATCGTTCTCTCCCAGGATGCGTGAGGTAACCACCGATTCCAATAGAACACGTAATGGCCCGGCCCCAAAGACACCGCAACAGACTGCACCATCATGATCCGTTCTCAGGTTCTAGCGAGGTGCATTCAACCCAGGCTGCGAAGTTTTTCTTGCTCAGATGGAGTCAAGGCGGCGAAGTGCTCCTGGAATGAGGGTTTGGTCGATGCCTCCTGGAAAAACTGCAGGAGGAACGCCTGGGTCTCGTCATCCCGCTTTCGAACGCCAAAGGTACTCTCCGTGCCACCTTCTCCATACGACATGAGCTCCTGTTTCGTCACACCCATACTAAGATCCAACGTGTTGCTGGGGATGTCTTCCCACTCGTCATCATCGCTCCCTTCTTCCTCCAAGGCTGCCGCGGTAGCCGCATCAATCTCCTTGTTTCCAGAAGCCGACGCCAGCTCCTCCACGAGCACTTTGATGATTTTCAATGGCGCCGGGACCATCGTGTACTGGTCCGGATTCTTGCGCGCCTGAGATCGGGTCTTGATCCGGCCCGTGTCCTGGATGATGAGATCTCCCTTGACTTGCACCTGCGCCAAGCGGGGGTCGTCCAGGTTATACAGCTTAGACAGAGCAATGATATTCTGTTTGATCTCGTCATAACCGGCAAAGTTGACGGAATTCTCCAACCACTTGCTGAGCACCACATTCAGGCCACTCTGACCATCCAGATCGACTTGCGCCAAGAAATCAACCACCTCTCGGGGGCTGACAAGCGTTAGGCGTGCAAAGACAAGGATTAGACTCTGAATGAACTGGGCCTGCTGCGCTGTGGCGAGACGCTGGGCAACTGCGCGAAGGAGCTGCGGAAGATACGGTCCCAGCTTTTCGGATCCGGCTTTCTCGACCAGCTCCGCAGCCAACTGACCGACTTCGGAAGCGGCACTGTCATCAACGGACGGTCCCAGAAGACGATCGATAATCACTAGGACAGTCTCAATAGCATCCTTGCCAGTCTGCGGCTCTCTCCATGCGAGGACTTGGTTGAAGTCGTGCGCTAGGATGTGCCTGACTGCCAGAGTGGCAGGACGGATCAGCTCCGGATCGGCAGATTCCAGAAGCAGTCTGTTCAATTTGGGCATCACAGTCGCGACAAATCCATTGGGGAGTGGCTCCAAGCCATGCTCCACCAGAGCACGAAGGAGATCCGCCGCCAAGACGGCGAGAGCGCTCTCTTGAGTCAAGTTTCCAACATCAATGGCTCCAGTAAGAGACGGAAGGACCTTCTCACACAGCCGGATGTAGGACTCAGACCCCTGCTGAGCGATATACTGCACAATGTCTTCGAACGACTCGGTGACGATCATCCCGAGGTGGAAGTTGCCGGCGCCGTTACTCGCCACATTGAAGAGCACGTCGAGGGCGATTGAAGACAGGACGATATTCGGCTCCACCATGATGGTATCGCGCAGTGTCTCGGCAAGAGTCACCTTGAGGTCCTCATTTTCGGTTGTCTCCCTCAGATCGTGTGAAGAGACAAATTCAGATATGGCGGTGATGATGGGAACTTGCATGGGTTGCGTAGTCGTCGATGGTAGAGAAGGTAAGAGATCTTGCAACACTCGAATGCATGCAACCTGGACGACTTCGGATGAATCCCCCGTGACTGCTTTCAAGGTCGCTTCAAGATAGCTCGCCGCAGTCTGTCGGAAACCTTCACCAGCCGTCTGGGCAAGAACACCTGCCACCAAGTAACCCCGAGCTCGCAGGAAATCCTGCTCCTGCTGCAGACAGAACCGGATGCAGTCAGTGAAGCCATTGGCTACCTTCACAGGAATTTGCTGCTCGACTTCACTGAAATCACGAAGCAGCTGATTCAGAATGAAAAGAGCAGCCTCGCGCAATTTCCATCTGCACAGAAAAGTTAGCAGCTAGAGGGCAACTCTCAAAGAAGCAAGGAAGGGTTCCATACGTAGTCGATGAATCAGCGAATAAGTTGTTGGTGTAGGCAAGCAGTCCCTCAACTGCCGTTACCTTCAACCATTCGCCCAGCTTGATGACAAGATCACCACCACATGTTCGTGGGGTATAGTTAGCCGTGACAGAAGTTTCTTCAGAGAGGAACAAGTTGACATCAACTTCCCACAGGCCTTCTTCCTCTGTCGTGATCTGAGCGTAGGCTACGACCAGCTTCATGACTTCTGGTAACCAGCTGGACGTTGTGGCGGCCTGGCCGGCATTCTGCAGCTGGGTCTGAAGCTCAGCCTTCACCGGCGGTGCTTTGAGAAGAGCCTGCATCAGGTCAAGCTCCTCAAGCACGAGGAAATCGAGTGTATAGGGCAAGCCGTCTGCGTCTTCGAGGCGCCCCTGCCTCTCGTCATCAATGTAGAGACTCTGATAGGCACTCTGGATATTGGACAGCTCCGTCCAGAGCGTAGTGAACAGAGCGGGGCTTTGTGCCGTCAGTAGGGTTGGAAACACCATGCGAATCTTCATGACAGTCTAGAGAGACGACACGTTAGAAGATAATCAGATGCAACATGTTGTAGGGACCGCTGCGACGGCTCTCATACCTTGACCGCTTGCAGCTTCAACGCAATGACGCCTCTCCATTGAGCAGCAACCTCGCTGTCCTGAGCCTCTTCCTCTTCGGTGGGTCGCTGCGGCAGAGGTGCCTTCATCACAGAGAGGAAAAACGGGGACCATCCACTCAGGGCCTCGTCCATGAACTGCTTGACTGCAGCCTTGTGTTGCTCCAGCACCATCTCCAGGGTGTCGAAGCATGTCCGGAACACGGAAACGGCCAGTGCCCGCAGGATCGTCTTCCGCGACTCGTTGGTGGCGACCGCGAACAGCGTGGACACGAGCTCGCGGGCGACATTAAAGAACTGCTCTTCGCTGAAACCGGTGTCCACCAGGTCCAGCAAGACCTTTAACGCTCCGTGCAGCGCGCTGTCACTGCTGTTGGGGTTATTGATGATCTGGAGGAGGGCAGGCAGCAGCTCCGGCCATTGTTCTGGGAAATCGGCCGCCGCGATCTTGCTGACGGCATAACTGGCGGACGATTTGACCTTGCGTTCTGCCGTCTCCGATGTTGTCGCCAGATCGAGCAGGATGCGCCGCAAGGTGGCCTTGTTCGCATCGTTGATCAAGACCTGGCCCTTAAACTCGTCGAGATGCGGCGACCAGGCGGCTTGGATGAAATTTCGGAGCACGGAGAGGGCGGACTGGCGAAGATTGGCCGGAACGGACTCGTGCGAAGCGATATTCGCGAGGGACAGGGGGAAGGCTTCGTTCGAGTAGAGATGCAGCAGTCGCAGCTCCGCGGCCTTTCTGGTATCGGCGGCGGGCGACTGCGTATCCGCGAGCAGCTGGAGGAGCTCCTGCTCCATGATGCCGGAGGATGCGAGTGTGAAGAACCAGTGAGAGCAATCTTCTGGGGGAGGAGATCTGGTGTGTCTTTCGGGCCGATCTGGGGGCGCGTGTTGTCGCGCGCGTGTTTTGACAGCGACGCAGAGGCTCTAAATGGCGGATGGGCAGGCGTGGTGGAGGTTTTCCCAGGAGGGCAGGTCCGCCGGGAAGCGACGGTACGCGTGGTGACCGTACCGCCGCTGCTGTGCCTGCCAGCACCGCCGGCGATTGGGTACGCAGCGCTGCACACAGTACGGTACAGTACTTGGGGAGGGGTAAATTCATCAGATATCCCAGATGCCTCGAATGATACTGCATTATTACAGATTATTAGGACTGTCGCGAGCCAGTCGAGTTCATGGCACCCTTGGAACCCGCCAGTCCAGGACAGTAAACAGTAAGTAGGCAGCTTAGGCTACGGAATACCGCTGAGGACTTGGTCACCAGATGGCATACAGAGTAACAGAGCCGAGTACTCCGTGTAGACACCCGTATCTGCACTCACTGAAGAGAACCGCTCCACATACCGCCTCTCTGTGACACAGCAGGCGCCTATAAGGCTATGACGCTGACGCAGCGGGGCGAGGGTGTACGCCAGTAGCGGTACAGAGGCCGTCGTGACGGTGGAAGAGGCCTGGCTAGCGCTCGGCAGCAGAGGGCGTTCCAGTGGGGTTTTGCCCCAATTGGTGCCCTTGGCAAGGACACAGAGCGACAGAGACGCTGGAGAGTTCGACTGTCGAGAAGGTTGCTCGGGACGCCCAGCGACGACACCAGGCACCCGCCACATAGGTAACCCTGGCCGTGGCTGCATGTCTCACCAGACCAGGCGAGCAACGAGCAGAGAGCGGTACGGAGGGCCTTAAAAGCAGAGGCCTCCTCCAGCGCAGCATCCGTTGTCGCAGGCGCGTTGGTTCGCTTCGGATCTCCCCTCCCTCGATGATCGACGGGTTCACTAAGCAGCATCCCACCATGGGGTGGAGCTGCTCTGCTGTTTTTTCCTGCACGGCATCCAAACCCATGACGCAAACACGTGACGGCCAGCCTGCCAGACGAACTCGGCTTCACCGTTGGCTCAGTTGCGCTGCTCGTCCGGCCTCTGTCTGTCAGTCCCCTCCACGACCTCCATCGTGATCCTCGATCCCAACGCTCCCGGCCGCCTGCCTGCCCCCTGCCCATCTTCTCCTCCCCGGTCGGCGTGCATCTTCCTCTTCTGGCTTGCTGTCTGCCTCGCCTGGCCGGCCTGCCTTCCCGTGCTGCTGACCTCTGGGCCGTGCCTGTCCACGCACGGAACCCCCCCAAACCTCCCGCGACGCTTGCCTGCCCTTCCAGACGCTGAGGGTTGTCGACGAGGGCAGAGAGATGATTAGCTACAGAGCGGAACAACTGGCTGATTTTCCGAGACTCCTTTCCGACCATCTCGACTGTTGAAGCGACCGTGCCCTGTCCTCGACCCGCAATGGCAACGGCCAGTGAAAGCACCACTGTCAACACCATGACGACGTCTGCCACCTCTCTCAGCGCCCCCAAGAACTTCCCCAACACCCAGGCCGCCCTGGCCGCCTCGTTCACCAACTTCCTCAGCGTGTCCATCCATCAGATCCTCTTCCTCCGCTCCGTCTACCCGCGATCCACCTTCCTCCCCGTCCGGGCATACAACTATCCCGTCCGACAGTCCCGCCATCCCAAGGTCTGCGATTATATCAACGATGTGGCCCTCGCGGTCGAAACGGAGATCCTGAAAGGGACCATCACCGCGGTCACCGTTATCATTTCGTCCATCCGCACAAACCAGCCCATGGAGCGGTATGCCTTCGATCTGTCCGGCTTTCCCCATGTGCCAGCCGGGGAAATCTACACCACGTTTGAGGAACGGAAAGAGGAGGCGTCCCGGCCACAGTCTACAACGCAGACTGTCGATCTCGAGGCCCAGTTCCGCGCCTGTTTGGCCCGTCTGGCCTCCGCCTGTGCCCGTTTGACACCGTTGCCTCGCGATGACGAGTTCGGATTCACTGTCTGCATTGAGGTGCGAGAAGATGCTCTTCCACCTGCGGGCACAACGAAAGAAGAGCAAGCATGGATCGTAGCCGAGCCTGGCCAGGTCCATCTGAGGTCGTGTACGGCCCCATTTTCAGTCTCCAAGCTGGGCAATGACAAGCATCAACAGCAGCAACAACAAGCCTCCAAGGTCACCAATGGACGAGCCAAGACCGTGCCTGTCAGACGCGTTGAGGCCGGAGAACTCCGCCTGGAGCTATGGGTCGAGGAGGCTAAACAGAAATTCGATGGGCCTCTGATCACCTAAGTACCAGTCACACACCGAATTCGATTTTTTTTCCTTCCTTGTAAACATTTTTTTCCCCCAATGGGCAGTTAACTATCGGATGAGACAGGTGGGGGTTTTCAGTCACACTGGCGCGGATCAAGTGGGAAAGGGATGAATGATATTGAGATATGAACTGGAACCATCATAGACTGGAAGGGCGCTTATTACGTTTTTTCATTCCCTCTGGCCCCCTTTTTTCTTATTTTATATTTTTCTTTTATCTCTCTGCATATCCCCAATACCACCTTGTTTTTTGTTTACTCATCATTCCGAACTTTTATAGCTTCTTTCAACGGCGTGACTTCCATCTTCATTTATCATTCACCACCACTTGTCCAAATTGTTGGCATCATTAAACCGGGATTCGACTGTGTTCCATCATGCATTGTCCAAAAAAAATGCAAACTGGCAGATTCAAGCAAGCAACAGAATACCCCCATCCTTTTTGTTCCCCCTCCAAAGCCTCCGAGATCATATGAATATTAGAAGGATTTTCTTGTGGGGAAGGTGATTTGAAAGAGGATTGGTTAGAGATTGTTTCGCAGTGATCGAGCGAGAAGAATCGTAACGATTAAACATTTTATTCCTATGGTTGATGTGTGCTCTGTTGCTGGGATCTTGATACTAATGAACCCTTTGCTTGCGACAAACGACATTGTTCTCAATTCTCACCTTTTTCTCCTCCTCTTTCGTCTTTTCATCTATTTCTTTTGCCTTTTCTTGTTTTTACTATCGCCTCTCCATTTCACCGTGGCCGGGCGACTTAATTTTTCTTTTATCTTCTTCTTCAGCATTTTCAATTTCATTTCCTTTATTTTATTCTAACTCAATCTTGCTGTTTTGTTTGTTCCAATTCCAATTCCAGTTCCAGTTCCTCTCTGCTAGCTCTTATCATTCTCTGTTTTGGTGTTGAGTTTGTTGGCCGTCGATTCTAGACGTCCCATGGACCTGTCAGCCGGGCTTTTTTCATTTCGCTTTCAATTTCCACAAGGCACGCTGCCAGTCAACTATCAACAACGGCAATCGGCAATCAACAATCCGCTACTAGGAGCAGCGACAACATCTCATCATCACCATGGCTCTCAAGATTCCCATCATCCGCGGAAAACAGTGAACTCGGCACGAGAGAAAGATAGAGACAGAGACTCTTTGTTATTTTTTAAATGTTCCATGTCAATATCATATCATTCACATCATATCATTATCATTATATATCACAACAACAAACCTTCAAGCGTCTTCCTTCCGAAAGGCTGGACTGGGCTTGGAAAGAGAAGAGAAAATACCAGTTGGTCTGTCTATGCTAGGGACCAGGTACCTACTACTATTTCATATAACTATGTAGTTATTTTTTATCTCGTTTAGCACCTTTGCAGGTGGGATTCCCCTTTTCTACCTGGGTACAGTCCAGTTCACTCCAGTCCAATACGGTACTTATATATTCCTCACTATGTCGTCAATGTCCTTACAATACTATAGCTGTGAAAAAAAGAGGTTAAGTTTATTTATGGCCAGGTATGATAAAAAGGTGAGTAAGAGAGAGCAAGAGCAAGAGCAAAACAAGGCCAGGTTGGTAGATAGCCGCTTGCGTAGTAAATTTAACCAGCTTTAAAGAAAAACAACGGAAAAAAAGGTCTGTCGCTGTCGTCGTCAGATTAGCATATATATAGTATAAATAGTATGGTCACTACTATGTATAGGCGGATAGTCGACCCTTCACGAGGTAGATTAGATCTTTTTTTTTGGTCTTAGCGCCTTGTTCTATCATGTTCTGATTCTGATTTAAAATGTCAGATATCAGGGAAAAAAAATGCGAAGCAATTCCAAGGCCCTTTGTTCTGATAATGACTAACGATAGAGAAAAGAGACACTATAAAATCTAGGGTTTTTCCTCCCTCTCTCTCTTTTTTTTTTATTTTCCAGAGAGGACACTTCGATTTCTTCATTAAATAGAATAGAATTACTGAACAAGTTGGGGAATTATTAACTAAAATAGTTTACATCTCAAATAGGTGAAAAGGGAACAAAGTCAATGAAAGTAGAGAATCCCGTCCGTTGTATGCCAATGGGAAGGTGGAAATAGAGAACATGATGAAAAAGGTGAGCAGTCTCATTTTTAATCAAACAACTGTATTGGATTAAATATGGAATATGCAGGAAGAAAGAGGTTAAAAAAAGATAAGCAAGAAAAGAGAAAAAAAATCCAATCTTCCATTAAAAAAGGGGTTATTAAATCGAGAATGTCGAGAATGGGGAATCCTCACTCAATGCATATCCAGGAAAACGAACATGATGAAAAAAAAAAATAACCCAGACAAATAGTGCGCTCGTGGAAACTGGGTATACATGCGCTCAAAAAGGTGAGGGAAGCTCCCGGCATCACCAGACAATCATGTGCAGATCCATGCCAACGAAGTGGATCGAGGATTGTTTGCAAGAATTGCAGGTTCATGACGAGATACAGAGAAAAGATCAGGGATAAAGAATCGCTGCTTTGAGAGGATGCGTATTTCAGACCGTCCACCGATCCTGAGTTTTCATGTGTACCAGACCATACGAGTGTAGGGCAAGCTAATGCTGATAGCGACTATTCTGCCTCCTAGAAGGACCATTCGTACCAGCAGGTGCAGGAATCTTCCAGGTAACTCCAGCACGGGGAAGTTGGTTAGGTAGAGGCCCAGGCTGACCGGGGACAAAAGCATGGCCAGGAGGAAGATCATGACCGAACCCACCATACCTGTTAGGATAGTAAGGACGAGGCCCAGGAAGAAATCCTGGACCCAGCTGGGCAGGGGCAGGAAAAGGATCAGCTCCATTACCCACTATGTGCGGCCCTATCCCAAGAGGGAGCCCAGGGCCGGGAGGGATTTGCGGGAAACGCACTGGATACGCCGGTAGAGGGTAAGCAGGCGGACGTTGTGGATGAGCGCCATTCATGGCCGCAGGCATGGGAGGACGAGCGGCGGGGCGCATATTCTGCTGGGCGGTCCTGTTGCGCGTTACCTCGTCGTTCTTCGGCTCTGGGACCTTGACACGAAGTGCGTCGCGGTCCAGATGCGAGTTTTCGGCCATGATTTTCTCAATGGCGGCCTGTTCAGCGCGCTTAACTTCCTCCTTCTGACGCCGGACGCCTTGGTCGTTCTCATGGAGGGGACATCCACTTCTGGTGAAGTGATTGTAGCCCTCCCGGGTGATGTCTTTCTTGCAGACATCGCATATCAAGCAGTGACATTTGACGCACTGCAATTTGTTACATCCGTTCTCCTTAATGATATTTATCTTGCAGCGAGGACAGGTCCGAATCAAAGCTTCACTCATGGCTTCTTCAACCGCATGGCGTTCTGTGACGCCTTTTTCCTTCTTGGCTTCCTCACAGGATTTCGGAATATGCGTCTCGTCCTTGCAAAGCCGGCAACTAACCTTTTCGCAGTCGGGGTTCAGACACCGAAACTCCCGATCAACCTCGACGGGTGGACACACTGCCTTGTAATTGCAAAAAGCGCACTCCTCGAGCCCCTCCAGGCCAGCCTTTGCGATCTCATCCAGCTGCTGGAGGGACTCCAGTTTCTCCATGACCGCCTCGCCGACGGCGAGTTTCAGCAGTTTCCGGTCGAAGCCGGCCTGACAACCACTGACATCGAAACACTTCATTTCGTATTTCATGAGACCAATTTGAGTCTCGGCGCTAGTTTTGACACACGTGTAGCAGAAGAAGTGCATGCGCTCCCCTTCACATGGAATCATGCGATTTGCCGGCACCTCACTGAAACAGCATTGGCATTCGACAAGAGCTCCAGCCTTTGCATGTTCTTCTTCGTTGTACCTTTCAGCCGCCTCTATTTGTTTCTGAAGTCTCTTTTTATCTACTGTCACCGTCAGCAGGCAGGCAGAACTTGGGTTCAAGTTGTGCTAACATACCTTCTGCTTTGGCAACAACTTTCCTAGCCTTTTCGAGTTCTGGTTCTATCTGTCGCCATTCCCATAATCCTTTGTATTGCCGCGGGCGTCTTAGCGGCTCATACGGTAGACGGTCTCTATTTCCGTCGGAGTTTTCCAGTCGATAAAGAGCCTCATAGGTAGCAAAAAGTGTCTTATGTTCATGGAACAGGGTTCGGATAGCCGGGATTGGCACAAAACGGAATTCCCACGCAAGTGCCTTGACCCTGTTTGAGAGTTAGCAGGCAATGTTCTTAGGAAGAATTCGAGGACGCTGTTGAGACTAACGCTAGCATAGAATACCCTTCGACATTTCGAGACTTCGTGATCTCCTCGGAGTCTGACTCAGAGTCTGCGGGTTCCCTCTTCCTTTTCCGATTCTTCTGTTTCGGATAAGTACCATCGGCCAGGATCTGATCGACTGCCGGCTCAATGATGTGGGTCACGTCCTGTCCTGGACCAAGATTCACGTTGTGCTTTTCGTACAGATTCTTGACATACTCGTGAGAGATGTCGGGGAAAACCTCCAATATCTTTCCCAAAAAGATACTTTCTCCCTGAGCTTTTACTGATACAGCCTCAGTCCTGATGGGAGGAGCATCACCAGCAGAGGAGACCGCCCATGAAGGCCTTCCTGCCTTATTCTCAATTCCATCACTCCGTTCTGGAACGTCGGTGGCTTTGTTCTTCCTCGTCAGACCAGAATTTGGACCAGCATTCCCAAAAAGATCATACGTTCCATTCCCCAATTCGTTGTTGTACAAGTCGAAATCACCGCCCTGAGAGGCAATTCCATGCTCAGGAGCGGACATATTGAAGTCCATATTTTCTTCAAGAACGTTCGAAAGGTGACCGAGGAGCTTATAGATACCGAAATCAGCGTCTGACTGTAGAAAGTTGAGGCTAGAGACATAACATGAAGTGAAGCATTCGAGAAGCGACGAGAGAGGTTTGGGAATTCAGGATCGAGAGGGTTGAATTAATCGTGCATAGTAATGTCAATGAATCAAACTATGAAAGAGCTAGAAGTTGAGGGATCAGTATGTGATGTACGAGAGTGTTTCTTTGAATCTCATGGGTTTGGACTGAGAGTATTTATATGCGATTAAAAAAAAAGAAGGGGCTGGTAGCAGAATTTATAGTTATTATGATAGAAAAGACGAGGTTGGGCCTCGCAGGCTCCACTGAGGAAAGAAAGAGAAGGCTTAGAAAAGTAATAGAATATAGCCCAGTAGCGTGAACGATCATCCAATCGCGTCCAAGTATCCGCTACCGACCTTCAGAATGAGCGGCCGTTACCTACCATATCATTATTATGTTGAAGCTGCTGCTGCTGCGTTATCAAAGCTGGTGCAGGAACAGATACAGGCAGGCTTTGCCGATTATTTGCGTTTAGCCTCGTTGATCCTGTCAAGAGAGGCTCCACAACAAGATGTCCAGAATTCTTCCCCATAACAGTAGTTCTCGTTGGTCGTGCGAAGATTCAGGCAAAGTCAAAGTTGGCGCGGCATCTAATAGTAGCATCCCAAAGGAGATCAACAAGGTGAAGACGACTCAGCTGACGTGCAGCGTTGGTAACTGAATCAGTTAAAGCCATAAAGGTTATACGCACTACCAGAATACTTTATCAGATCTGCCCTCGCAGCGCAGTACATGCAAGCTTGCCAGCAGCTAAGCGGAGGATGCGATATAGACGCGGTATATGTGTGTGAGTTAGCGTTAACTGAATTTGACAGCAGCGATCACTGGGCATTCGCAGAGCCAGCCATTCCTATCCCAATTGCTTGACTCATCCCTGTTGCTGCCTGGAGATGGTGGCCGGCTCTGTGTCACGAAACCATCATTCGCGGGGTTGATTGCTTTCATGATGTCGGGATTAGGATAAATTGAGGTCCAGCAGATGTTCTTGTCACGTGATTATTGGTCTCGACAGTTACCAAACCTAGGTTGGTATAGTCGGTTCCCTCGTGTAACCAACAACAGCATCGAGGTACGTACGGAATAATGCACTGTACTATCTACAGTTCACGAGAAGGGGTTCTGACAAACGAAACTGCCGAGGGCCAATTATCTGTTTCTCTTTCCTTTCTTAGCGACAAGAATAATCTGGAATACGTTAGCACCGGGCTGAACTATGCCGGCGAGATCTATCAGACTCATGGCGGTAACGCGCTAATGTACCCCGTATCCGTCAGAGTTCGGAGTGCTCCGTACGGAGTACTCCGTACTAAGAATTACCTATCTGGTTCTGTAGCCTACCCTGTAAGTTCTAAATTTCTTTTTATCGGCCGGCTATTTCTGCTAGCTCTTCACACTGCTGCTAACTCACTGGATACGACTATATTAATTTTTATTTGGGACCACTCCATCCTGGAAGAGAGGTGTCATGTCCCTGGACCAGCAACTGCATACAAATACGTCATCGTCACATGGACGGCCCCGCCCTCGGCCGCCCGCCCGCACCCCGGTGGATCTCCGACCGCGCTGCAGTTCCAGACCGGGTAGGTGCAACCTTACCTTGCCTTTGTGACTTCACTCCCTTCGCTTGCTGTCGCTTGCCGTCGGAGCTGACGATGCAGAAACCGGGCCGGTGACAGTACCTTGCAACCAGAATAGCAGTAGCAAACCTCGACGGGCAACCGGGAGGGGAATGTGAAACGTCTTGACTCTTATTACTTAATGAATGGATGTGGCTCGATGATGCATGTTGCCCCAAGTGGCGGAGAAGTTAAAGACGAGACGGTCCCTACTTCTAATTGCTCTGTTTCTTCAAGCAATTGTTGTCATTACTGCTGCTGCTGCTGACCTGCTTACTGCTAGCGCGTCCCTTCGCTAACGAGAAGCACGAGCATTGCGTCCTACCAGTTCGATGCGACCTTATTGACCTGCCACTACCGCTATAGACTATATCTTCGTGCTCAGGACGGAATTGGACTTCGTTATATTGACTAGCCACTATGGGTTCCATCAGTGATACACTGCCTCATGGCGACTCTCCAAACCTCGAACTGGTTCCTGCCACCCCCGAGGAGCGCCTCGAGGTTCTCCGGCTGAACAGCGCTGCATGGAAGGGCCCCCTCAGTGTCGAGAAGTATATTGAACGTGAGGACCATCTGAGCAAGCAGAATCTCACGCGGGATGGCGGACTTACAATATGGATCCTGGTTGATCCAAGACAACAGCCGGGCAACAGGACCATCCTCAGCTCCTGCGAAACGCTTCGAAAGCCCGCCTTTTTGGCGTACGACGGAAAGGTCGAAGATATCATATGCCACGGCATAGGAAGCGTCTTTGTGCGGCCAGAATTCAGAGGAAGGGGCTACGCCGGAAGGATGATGCACGAGCTGGGCAAGAAACTTGACACCTGGCAGGCGGAAAAGCTGCCCAGAAAGAGAGGGGTTTTCTCCGTGCTGTTCTCCGACGTCGGCAAGAAGTTCTATTTTAGATACGGGTGGAAACCTTTTCCATCATCGCATATCACTCTTCCGCCAATCACAATGGAAGAATACAAGAAGCCGATCGCATCTGCGGGCGCCGACATCCCTGAAGCAAGGCCGTTGACGGCGGAAGATGTGCGGCAATTCATGTGCAGCGACGCTGTCATTGGAAAGGAACGCGAGCTTCTGCGAGCAGCCTCTGAAAAGTCACCAGGAGCAAAAGTGGGCATTTCCCCTGATTATGACCACATGCTCTGGCACTGGGCCCGTGAAGAGTTCTATGAAGAAAACAATGTCTTCAGCAAGAAATCGCCAGTGGTGAAGGGCGCCGGTGTCGACAGTCGGAACGTGTACTGCGCCTGGACAAAGACACTCGGAGAAACTCCCAAGTCTCATGCTCTGTACATATTGCGGTGGGTATATGACGAACCCACGACAACGTCGCAGGAACAGGCCACAATCGAGGCGATGGCTGCAGTCCTCCGACGCGCCCAGCTTGAAGCACATGAAACAAACATGAGCCGTGTCGAATTTTGGAATCCGACCCCGTTGATGGTGAAAGCAGCTCAAATGCTGAACCCCAGTGCCAGCGTCGTGCACCGAGAAGAAAGTAGCATCACCAGTTTGAAGTGGAACGGTGCTGAACAGGGACTGGGGAATGACGTGGAGTGGTTCTGGAATGAGAAGTACAGCTGGTGCTGAACGCTCATCTCATGAATCGTCTTTTTTTGTTGGAGTAAATTCCGTGAGGACAACCGTCCGTCGTTTTTTTCCTAGGTTTGTGTCGGATATAAGATTACTAGAATGGCATTAATTCCCGGATAATAGAGAATATCCGGTTGGCGTCTCAATGGGCTGGCAGGTATCACCCTCAAGTATAGCGTAGCGATATCTTCATTGTCGTCTTTGGTTCTTAAATCGTTCGTGCCAATTTCGTGAGTTTTTGGCCGTAGCACCTCCCGCAGAAGATTCTTTCTTCATCTTCTGGCGTTCAGACTCATACACGAAGCATATTGAAGTCGGGTCCGGATACTTGTAAGTGCCCTCCTGGACATAAGACAGTCAACAAGGCTGAACACAAATCGAGAGGGGAATGGAATATCGCGAACCGTCAACGCATCCAATGTCGCCTGGTCCCGCCAGGACTCTGGTAACAAATCCTTCCAGCCATTGATGAATTCAGTTCGGCCGATTGCGGAGGCTGCCGTTGGTGCAGAGACCTCTAGGTACGTCTCACCAACCCATCTGATGCTGACGACCTTGTCCAAGTTCGACCCTAAAGATCAACCCTGAATTAGAGTGGGAGACTATTAAGGACTACAATATAAACAAACTTACATTTCAGTTCTGAATCATAAGCCTGGGCGTCATTCGATCCGGACGACTCGGCCAGCCTCCTTACGACGGCTTCGAATAACGGCTGAGGGAAAGGCTCCTCTCCATCCTCATCAAGAACAGCTTTCCACAGGTCCTTGACAAGAAACTGTTTCTCCATATCGATCCCCTGCAAAACGGAGCCTTCGACCATTCTCTTCCAGACGTCGAGCTTCACCCTTGCAGACGGCCGGAAGCCAGTGAGACCGGAATTGTCGCCTGTTGTAGTATCACTATGTACGAATGCGCAGAGCTCCTTCCATGCACTCTCGCACTCAGACACGGACATCGGAACGTCGCGAAGTATTTCCTCCTTCACTCTCTTCCTTTCCGACAACGTTAAAGCAGAGCCCAACCCTCCTCCTTCTCCCATCTGCACATCTCCGTCGACGCTCAACCAATCGTAGAGTTTCAAGCTCCGCTCCAGGAATTGAGTCGCTGAAAATCCTTCCTCGAGGGTATGCAATTCCAACGTGGACCCGCACTTCGCGATTGCGGTTACCGTCTCCGTGAGGTCCAGCTCGGCGTCCCCATTATCCGAAGGAATGCTCCCATTGCTTGGCCGTATCAAGTGTATCGAATTCGATGATTGGACCTGTCGTAATCGGAATGTCTTTGTCGGCGTGCACAGGTTGACATACTCTCGGGCACCACTGGAGTCGGCGGTGGACTGGTACGCTTCTGGCGGCGGGGATTTCAGCAAGAGACTAGAAAGTACAGACCCAGAACAGTTAGCAAAATTTCTTGAGCTCAATTCAATGCACGAAGTATAGAGGATTTCCATACGTGGGAGGATCGTCGGAAGAGAGCAGCTCGAGCAGCTCTGGAGGCAATTCAAGCAGCCTGAACCCTTGCTGCGGAAAAGTGTGCGTGAAGCGGATGCTCCGCGCCGCCTGTGTGGACATTACTTATTTGCCTGGTCTAGCTTTTGTCGACCTTGATGGATTAATGAAAAGAATAACAAAAGGAAAAGATCTGAAAGAGAAGGAAACCAATAGATATGCTGTCTCTCATGCGGGGATTCCTGTCGCAAACACAATTCACATCAATAATTAATTCCGACGAGAGACCGGGACTCGTGGAGCGCAACGCGGTGCGTGCACAGACCACCGCTTATTCTGTAGAAGGGAGCCTTCGTTGAGACTCTAGAAGGATAGCAGCGAAAGTGAAACAACAATGGTAAAAAGTATTGGCTTGTATCAATTCCTGCCGTTCTTGAGATGAGATATAAGGAAGGAGAGAGAGATGACAATGACGAGAGAGATTAAGCTCAACTGCAAGACCTGCATGTGAAAGCCGTTGGTATTCAAATACTCATTTGTGGCTATGCCCTCTTTCTCTTTAAGACAGGAGAGGACATGTTGAGTGGGTTGGTTCAAGGTACTCCAACTACTATCATGGACTACAAATTTTAGACAGTTTATGGATATAAAGGTAGAATAAGGAAATGATATTTCATAAATGACTTGTAGACAAAAAAAAGGAATCATTGTACATACATAGAAATAAAAAAAAGACAACCAGCGTCTGTCAGGAATGAACTTGCCTACACTTAACCCGACGATCAACGCTAAATCGTGAAAATAATCTGTACAGTACCAAAAAAAAGAAGGGTGTAAGTAAAAATGATCACTTCCCCAGTCTCCTGAATACCAACCCATCTGTCTGTCGGTCGTTTCTAGGAGAAGAAAAAAAAAAGAACCTCTGCGCAAAAGAAAAAAAAAGAAAAGAAAAACAGAGCGCAGAGAGTGAGGTGAAGACATTGATTCACAGAAAGTCCCAACCAAGCCTGCTCCATGTCGAAGAAGTAGTCCAAGAAAAAGAAGAAGATAGTACAAGCATACAAAAGATCATCACAGACTCGAAACAAATCACACGGCGATTGCCGCACCCTGACTCCAATAATTGGCACGAAATATGTTTATAGATAGCATCGGAACGAATATATGTGTTATGTTGGTATCCCTATAGTAGTATAGTTCCTGCAAGCAAGAAGTAAGAATCCGAACTAGAGGAGACGACGAGAATGGATGTCCCAGGTTGCTTGCAGGGGGTATAATAAACCCAGGGTATGTGAGAGAAGTGAAAGGGTTAAAAAAAAGAACTTCTGACGAAAAAACTTACAATCAGGTAGGAGAAAAAATGAAACAACTGTATTCATTGACTTCCTTCGCTGATATCCTCTTTCTCTGCCTTCGCTGCGGGTCCCTCCTCGGATCCCTTTCGTTCCTGTCGGGCCTTCTCCTTCTGAACCAGATCCTGGACGGCGGCACCGTCCTGTTCCCATTCAGCTTTAGTGTCCCTGAACTGTTCCTTTATCTTTTGTTGACGTTCAGCCCTCTCCATCTCTTCTTTCTCTCGTTCCTTTCGTTCCCGTTCCATTTCTTCCATGTGACGGATATCCTCGACACTGGGCTCATACAAATGCCAAATGGTGTAATGTGGAAGACCAACAACCGAGAATTTCATACGTTTAGCCATCTGTGCCGGTCGAGTTAGCGTCGCGGCAAAAGGTGAACAAGAATATGCCAGCACGATCCCGTCTTACCTTGCCAAACGCTTCTGTTTCAGCGTGTTTCTCAAAACTGAAGGCAGGGAAGTGAACGCCCGAGCGAAACACTTTGGCCTTTGCCAAGATACTGACACCTCCAACACCGTCAATCTCCATTTCCATATCGGGGTCCCCGTACGGGTCTCGAAGGTAGGCAAGATGCGGCCGCCATGTTGCATATTCTGCGTAGCCTTCGACGATCACTGCATCTTCATCCAGAGTATCTGCGAGGGCGAGAGCGGTTTCAGACTCCTGCCACGAGTTCAAATCATACGGTTGTTCTCCACCCAGCCAATCCGGAAGCGGTCGCCAGACATCTATGGTCGTTAGTTTCAGCAGTCACGGTTGGTTCGCCATCATCCACTTACTTGGAACAATGATGTCCTTGTTATGCCTCATGAGATCTTCTATAATCGTGAATGGCGCAGTCTCAACATCTGCGTCCCTCCAGTAGACCCAGCTGTGCGTGGGGCGCAGCGTGGCACTTAACAACCAATTCCGTGCTTGAGCCATCAGCTTCCGTCGTCCGGCCTGGGCAGCAAAGCCATGCCGACTCTCCACATCCTGTGCCACATTCTGGCCAAAATCTTTCTCGAGAACCGAAATCTCACCAAAATGCATTTGGGGGTTCGGGTCATTCTGAAGCTCGACGAGCATCTCGGAGAGCTTTCCCAGGGTGTTATCTTTCGAATCCGAAACCAAGAATGCAAGATCGATCAGGTGGTGCGGGTAAGTCAGGTTTCGCAGGTGCGAAAAAAACATCGGTAGATGAGGCTCTGCGTCTCGGAGCGGTGTGCACATGAGCACCCGTTCCTCGCGCTCCCAACCCCTCGCCGTCCCCTGGACGTTGGAAAGGTCATAGTAGCGGACCGTCTCCAGCCCAAAATCGTCGCCCGTGGGAGAAATAAGCCCGAGGGATAGTGCAGGAAGAATAGCAGCGCGCCAGGAGGGAATGATCATAAACAGCACGAATAACGATATTCCGCCAACGACACATAGCCGTGTGATCAATTGTTTTCGACGCCGTAGTGCTGATTGTGAACGAGGTTGAAATCTGGTTCGACGCGATGAAAGCGTTAGATTTACCTCGTAATGCCGATTTGAACCATAAAGATATCGGAGCTCCCATATGGAACTTACCTATGCGGCGATATTGAGAAGGTGCCGCTTCCCCCGCGAGGGTAGGCATTGTAGCCGTTGGCGTAGGCGTAGTGCCTGTTCATCTCTCCAGCACCAACAGCATATGTCGGCAAAGGATCTCTCTGGAAATCAAGCAACCTCTTTTTGCCAGGGCCGTCAGAGGCTGCGGCCACAGGCTTTGTCCCCCAACAGCCTTCCCTCTAATGAAACACGTTGCAGAAAAGACGCGCAATTCGCCGGCGCAAGAGGGAAGGAAAAGATGGTATCGGGGCGGCAAAAAAATAAAAGGGAGATAGAAACCCGATCCCCCAATGTTGACCCAGCAAGTATATAAAGAGAAAAGGGAGTGGATTTTGAAGATGAAGTGCCCGGAATGGCCAGGTCGGGGGGCCGGAGGAAGTCGAAGGTTACTGTTGTCCTCAAGCCAGACTAGTCGCCGCCTTTAGGATTAGGCACGCCGCCGGAGATGGTCATTCTGGAATCAGTGGCGTGCGCACCCGCTGGCCAGACTAACCCCAGGAGACCACTGCTTGCGGCATACCAACGCACACACTGCAGCAGAGAACATTCCTACGATCGGCACTATTAGTCGCACTGGCACATTCTGATCTGGCCAGACCCTGCAGACAATAACACACAGGTCGGCATGCCGTTGTTGCTGTTCTATTTCTAGGAGTACATATACCCACCTACCTAGATCGTGGAAGGCTGTCCTATAATAATACGAAGACGCATTCTTAGCAGCTGTCTCCATCTTGTAATAGCTTCCACATCCACTATTATTACATGTACTTGCTACGGTCAAGACTGCACCATGGCAGCCCACTATATCTAATTTCATCGAAACCCAACTGTGGGTCATCACCCTTCTACGTTCATCTTCATGCCACGTTACACAGGAGACGGTGATCCTTCCATTGCTAACCCGACCTGCACCATGATCTTTCTGAGCAAACTATTCATCTTCTCGCCATCTCGGAGCACTTCGATGACGGACGATGCCTCATAGACATCGTCCAGGATATAGTACGGTTCTGAATCTCCAAATCTATTCTTCTGGAAAGCGATCCGTGCAATAGCCTTCGCAGGCACACTCGTCGTATTGATAGCGCTCTTCGAGAATATCCGGACCAGCGGACGGAGACTCTCCCGCGTCTTCTGGGTGACTCGCATTGACTTGGGCATATCTGTTGACAGACGGCTCTCGCCAGCCATGCCTCCCGGATCGAGGGTGCAGATGTTCAGAGAAATATTCGCAGTCTGCAGACGTTTTTTCAGAATTGATGCAACAAAACAAATCTGGCAGGAGAAAAAAAAACTTACCTGATGGAGACTCCGTCGTAGTGCATACATGACGGCACTCATTAAGAGCTTGCTGCTCCCGAAACGAATATTCCCTTCTTTGGCACTCAGAGCTGATCCCGATCGGCTCTTCTCTCCTCTGGCACCATATGTTTCAAAGTAATCCAGTCTGCCATCAGAGATGGTTGAACAGCCAATGTTCAAAACCAGTGATCCAGAAGCACGGAATCCCTCGAGCAGGCTCACCGTCAGCAAGAATGGCGACAGACAGTTGACCTGGTAGACGGGATCGTATCCGTCCTTTGTAAACTCATCGCAGGAGTAAGACAGCGTAGCAGCGGAGTTGATGAGGACCATGATGGGCGGGATGGTCTTGCGCTGAACTCTCTCCACGGTAAATCTGGCAAAGGTAGTCACCGAGTTGAAATCGGCCAGATCCAGCTTTGCGATCTCCAGGGATCTAGGCCCAATCATCCGGATCTTGTCCGCCACCTGCTGGACACTCTCATCCTTGACGTTGCGCGCCGCCAGGAGCAGGTGCACCAGAGGCTGTGTCTTGGCGATCGCGACAGCGATTTCCGATCCCAGAGCACCATTTCCCCCCGTGATGATGACCGTTCCAATGAGTGGGGTAGCCATGGTATGTCACATGCATTACCAGGTCCAGAGCAGTAGTCGTATTACTGGGTATAGCGGTAGATAAAAAAGGAGATTGAATTTAAAAAAAACACAGAATTTTAAACGAGCGACGATACGATGCCCTTAGGTGGAAAAAGATGAACGAAACAATTGCGCAAAAAAAGGGCCCCCTTTGTAGTAAGTAGTCTATTGAAGCATGGCGGCCAACTAAGTATTTTATTCAAGAGGGGCTAAAAAAAGAACACGCAGATTAGAACGAACTGTTCTCGAACCGGCACCAGTGGCTTTGCCAGCAGCGGAAGGGGTTAAAAAAAAGAAAATAAATAAATCTGAGATGTAACTATCGTCGCTATTAAGTTAAGTATTAATATCTTCAGGGGAAAGAAGACAAAAAGAAAAAGCGCTGATCTCAGAGAGACAGAGACCCCGAAAGTAGAGACGTCATAAAGGCTAAATCAGTCTAGTGTGTCCACCTGGTGATCCTCCGACTCCGAAGCTGAAAAGCGATCGACAGGCAAATCGCCCCATCAATCTGATTAATCGCCACGATCCATCCATGCAACCATGCAAACCCACCCATGCCCACCGTCAGCCAGCCAGCCAGCCCACTCGCCTGAAGAACCTTGTACTGTACATATTACATACTCCGTATTATTAGATTAGATACGCATTGGAAGCCTAACTTTGTTACCATCTTTGGTAAGCTAATTACGACGTACCTAGGTACCCACGGAGTACTTGGTTACACCAGAGCTAGAAACAGCTGAAGGGGCGAATTCTATTGCATGAAGGCAAACCAACAAAATATTTGGCTTTGCTAGGAATACTGCCTAGGTACCATTGTTGGAATACGGCGTCGCTCCTCCACAACTATGGTGTTCCTTCGTCAATGGAGAAATCGCCCATTATGAGGACAATATGAAGATCATTGTTCAATGCTAGACAACAGAATTCATGCTCCTAAAATTGGACAATCTATTTGTGAGTTTTTTTTTTTCATTCCAACCACTGGCTATAAATTGTACCCCTTTCTTTTCCTTTTTTTTTTAATTCCTCAAATCATCGGACCGTAGCGCCCTTGAGGCTCTTTACTGTGCAGACACCGCCTGACTTCGTAACCAGTCTCCCAATAGGATTCCTGGCTGCCGTGGCAGATGCCTCTCCGCTCTGCAGAATAGGAACCTGCGTACTGTCGAACGCAACCTCCAAGTTGTCGGTGGTCGTAAAACCGGGCTGGAAGGTCTCCCAGATCTTCTTCTTCGGGTTCAACACCTTCTCCGGCTCGCCTTCGCTCCAGCCCTCGAAGAAGACCCGCTCACCCGCCTCAGCATCCGCCGGTGGGGTGACAAGTTCAACAGGGCCGGCATGAGAATCCTCTCCCTCAGCCACGCGTGGTGATGCGGCGAGAACCATGGCGGCCGACTTGATGCCGCGCATAGTGACGGGCTTCAGGTTGCAAACAGCAACAATCTTGCGGCCTTGCATTTCTTCGAGTGGTACGAGGCCATTCAATCCAGAGCAGACCGTCCGAACTGTCTTACCCGTGGCCTCGTCCAGCGACGTGTTTTCGGTTCCAGGAGCGTCACCGCAGTCGATGGTAGAGACATAGAGGGAATCCGCGTTGGGGTGGTGGATCGCACGAAGAATATGACCGACACGGAGGTCAATCAGGGACGGCGACAGCGGTGCAGCGGGCGCGGGCGCGGGCTTGGGCTGCTTCTCCTTCTTCTCTTTCTTTTCCTTCTTCTCCTTCTTAGCCGCGTCAGGCGCTTCTTTAGTGGACTCCGGCGCCTCGCGGACGGTATCCTTGCCCTTCTCGGCCTTGCTCTGTCCTACAACAACTGTCTTCTCTTTACCCGCAGCTTGGGCTTCAGCTTTCTCCTTCTTCTTCCGCTCCTTTTCCTCCTTAGGATCCACTGGTTTCGGCACAAAGCGAACGTCATCCACGTCTATGGCGACTTTCTCCTCGTCCGGGATGTTGAGAGCGAACAGTGATCCATTCTGAACAAAGTCGATGTGTCTCACAATATGGTGGTATCCCTTCTCTCCAGTACGCTCCTCGGGAGTCCACTTCTCCACAATGGGGGCCAACACCGCGTAGGCCGCAATGTCCGCAACAGAAGGCTTCGCGCCGAGGAGAGTTGTCCGCGTTGCCAGATGGGTGTTGAGATTGGCGAGGATCGTGTCGATGACATGCTTGTCATCCTTGCCAAGGGCAGCGGTCAAACCACGGATGGTATTCAGCCATTGTTTGATATCTGCCTCCTCGGCTTCCGAGTAAGAGTTCTGCGGGAAGATATTAGGGGTGGCATGGGCGAGATCGAGTTCGGTCGCATCCGGGGAGATCGCGGTGGGATAGGAACGGTAGAGCAGGGAGAGCAGAGAGCTCTCGGGAGCGGAAGCGGTGGCCATTTTGGAAAAGTATCGGGAATGAAATCTTGGAGAGAGTCTGCCTGGCAGAGAAGGGCGACTGATAGCGAGGCTTGGGCGAGATCGCAGGACAAGGAATGAGGTCTGTGGTTGACGGAGAAGCGGGGTTCCTGCGGCCCGCAGTAGAGTCCCGGCGGAGGTGAGGGGCTTCAGCTTGGGCAGCTGTAAGGTGAATCCTGCCAGGAAAGAATCTTAATATGTTGTTGGCTAGTCGAAGAAGGTCGACTCCGAATGGCAGACGTGTGTTCGGTGGTCCTCTGCAGCTGCGAACGGCAGGCTTGCCCTTCCAAGGAGTAACTTTTTGCTTCGAGCGGGACACGTTAGGGCTGCGGCCCACTTGGATGACTCAGCCTAAGCGAACTTACCTGGTATGGACAGGCGTGACCAGTTAAGGTACCTGATACAGCAATTGTCGATTCTTCCTTTTTGCACGTTTCTGGATCTACATCGTACAGCAGATGAGGTTCTCATTGTTAATCTAACGTGTATATCTAACAAGGGACACGTATGTATGTACTAACGCAGATCCTTCAAGACCATGAATTCATGGCGCGACCCTGATGTACACGTATCAAGAAATGTAATGTGCAAGTAAGGTCCAAGTAGATAAAAAAAATTATCAGACGACGAGAGGAAGTCATTGACTCCAAGGAGATGCAAAAAGATTAGGTGGACATCATAGTGCCATAGCTCTAGGTAGGGGTGGCCAACCCCAACGAAGGGCCTCTCTGATCAAAGACGACGAACATGGACTTGAGGAACACATCTCCGAAGATCTGGAATTCGCTGCCTTGGTTTGACTGAATGCCTCCAAAGCACACTACGTATGGAAGTTAGCGGGAAAATGAGAAAGTACAAGAGGCCTCTGGAAGACTTACGCTTTTGGCCGTTCGTGGTGTTCGTTCCAATCTCGGAGAATGATCCCACCGCTCCCGGCACGGTTGCCAAGTTGTCATCGCCTACGGCTATTGACAAGGTGGGCAGCTGAGCATCGCAGGGAAAGATGAATCCACCAGCCTGGTTTGCGAACACGGCACCCTGGACTTGCGAGTAGTATGCTTCGGCGACTTCAGGACTGACGAGCATGAGCGAAGTGCCCGTGTCAGCGATGGCGGTGGGTGCAATTCGGATATCCTGCAATTGCCCATCACCAACGGCAAACTGCGCAGAGTTGAACTGCCAGAAGCCATTGGAATTGTCCACAGACACATTCGCAAGCTGACCGGTGAACTTAGTTTGATCGATCCTTCCAAACTCGTAGGTTCCCACACCGCCGGCCTTCAGAGATGCAGTCATGACAGGTTCATCTAACGAGCTCGCGATATTATCGAAGAAGGTCTTTTGTTGCTGAGGCTGTACCGTGTTGAGTTTGGAGAATGCGAGGCCCACCAGTCCGTTCGAGCTGGTGTCTTCGATGAACGACTGGGACACCTCGGTCGCCAGTTCGACAGCCTGGTTTTCAACAGTGGCACCTCCAATATTGACAGTATCGGTCCCAACGTTGCCGGAAGCACTGGATCCATCACCATAAGTGATGTTGAATGTCGCGCCCTCTATTTGCTTAAAGGTTTGAGATTTAGCCGGATCATAGATAGTGTGGCCTTGCTGGGCCGCCTTGCTGAGCTGGGTGTTGAACACCCACCTATGGAACTGGTCAGTCAATAACAACCTCCTGGTGTTAGGTAGACCACAAGATACATACAAATCTGACGATCCAGTGTCGAAATCCATCACCAGTGTCTGCCCGCCAATCTGAACTGGGGACACAAACTCAGCATCATTATTAATAGACATGGCACTCACGGCACCCTGCTCATCTGGCTCCTTGGGATTGGTGGTCGCCTTAGAAGCAAGCTCACTGGGCTTGATGGGTTCAAAATCAAGAACATCGAGGCCGAAATTCGTTTGGGTGATGTTGAACTTGCGGTAAGCCTTTCGCAAGGCTGCAGGACCATAGGGCACATAGTCACTGCGTCGCACCCGATCTACTTTAAAGGACCTGCCTTTCCGTTTGGGTGCTGTTGGCACACCAAGTGCTAGACTTGAGAAGAAAAGGAGCGTGCAGAGAAAAGATGTCAGAAACTTCATCTTGATAAGTGCCCCTCCCGGAGGTGCCTGGCAATTACGGAACGAAAGCGGCCAAGACGAAGAAGGCTGAAGGAAGAAGATATAAATTATAAGAAAAGTTGTATTTTCAAGAATGGAAACAGGGTCAAGTCCAGACTTGACGCTGTAGGGGGCAAGGTTAAAAAAGGGAAGAGAGGCAAAGAGTGAAGATAGAAGAAAGAGGGCAGAAGAATGGAAGGCCTCCCAGAGGAACGAGATTTCAAAAGAGGCGGATAGAAAGAAACACAAAAGAGAAAAAGCAAGAAAAGTGAAGAGCAGATATCCCCGGGAGAGGATTACTAGTAATATTTTCTACATCTGCACGGCAGGATATCTCCATATTGACACTAAATATCCTTAGTACGGAAACCAGGGGGAGAAAAGGGTTAAGACAACAGACCCATCAATGGTACAGTACCATTTGTTAGAAGCTGTTTAGGATTCACTTGACAGCTCACACTGGTGTGAAAGCCGCTGGCAGCCAGCTCCATGATTCAGGACTAGATCGGTGGTTGGCCATCTGGTTGGTGGATTCAGATCTCCTGCAGGGAGTACAGTGACGGTACACGCGGGGCTTGCGCGGCCCGGATACATTTCAGGAGCCTGCCAGATATTCAAACGATCGATGTGTCGTGGCGGTGGGGAACTGCGTGCTCGAAGAGTTTTGGATAGAGAGACGCTGTCTGTCGGGAGCTTTCCCTGGCAAGCTGCTTGGCGGTTGTTGTCGCATGTCTGAAACACGGAACTTGGAAGCTGCGACCTGCCTTATGCCTGGCCGCCAACCAATCCACGGCGCGCCTCCCGCACTTGCCCGAAACAGCAGCCTCCTGCTGCTGCCAGTGCCAAAGCTGACTGGCGACTTCCCTTCAAGGCTTGTAAACAGACTGCTCGGGAGGGCGCCTAACACAGCAAATCAGATTCGAGTCGCTGGTAGCTGACGAATCCGCCGGAAGAGAATTAATTTAATTACTACGGGTACCTATACCATTTTATCGATACTTTGTAGTTCCTCTCTGCGGTTACTCTGCCGAAGTTCGCGCGGTCAATGCGACTGCTATTACTGCTCTACAACAAAACCTGCCGCCACATATCTCCTTTGCTTGCCGCACCGGGTAACGAGGAAAGCGAGACAAGCAACACGACCAGGACAGTATGATGGGGTCTACAGCCACAATGTGCCAATCCTGGTAGTGTTACATGATCTTTTTACCCGCAGTGATTCTGAAACGACAAGCTCCAGGATGGTCTTGTGCAATTTTCATGCAAGAACTTCTGGCAGATGGGCTTTAATTAGTAGTACCTATTTACTATTATACTTTGCTGCACTGGTGCAATATCATGACGACCTAACCACCTAGATAGATTATTAAAATCGTTCCTTTTCTACCATTTAGGTAGTACCTCAGAGAAAACTCCTCTTGGTGCGTAAGTGTCTAACATAGCCTCTTCGGCAACTTTTGCCGTTCGAGACATATGTCTCAGACTCCGAGTGATGTCTCATACCGATGATATCTTTACAGACTTCTATCCGGCTACCGATATTCCCCTGAACATGTGAAGCGAGACAGATTTGCCCCAAAAAGCACCATGACATGGATCCCGGCAAAGATCACATTGGAACATGGAGCAGCCTCGTCATTAATAATCATCAGATATCTATTTATTCCAATAACAGTAAGAAGCCAGTAAGATTAACACAAGATTCGGAACCGTGTAGTGTCGTATAATAATTCTATATACGTATATACTCCCTGGGTATCAGGGTTGTGAAAACCCACGCCAATCTCCCACCGAAACGCCATGTCCGATGTACCACCCAAGATCATTCAAATGCAAATCGCTGGTCAAAACAAATCACACGGATCGCTATGTCCATAATCAAAACGAATACTACCATGGTAAGACCTCCCTTAGACCACGATCTCTTCCAGTAGGACATGGTTGGGGTCCTCCCCAACCTGCTTGCTAACCGCCCGGACAACCGCCTTGATCGCCTTCGACGCCGGGCTGTCCGGGAAGTTGTCCACAAAGCTTTCTCCATAATCACAGGCCATTCCTACCCGGGGGTCCAGGGGAACAGATCCCAGAAAAGGGATCCCCATCTTCCTAGCCAGTCGTCTTCCTCCACCCGTCGTGGCTCGGAAGATCTGAGATTCATGTGTACAGTTCGGGCAGACGAAACCAGACATGTTCTCCACGAGGCCTAGGATTCGGATTCCCGCCTTGCGGCAGAAATCGATCTCCTTCCGCACATCTAGCAAGGACACCTCTTGAGGTGTGGTGACAACCACGGCGCCATCCACGCCAGACTCTTTGAGGAATGAATTGACCGACAGATGCTCATCCGACGTCCCCGGTGGAGTGTCGACAATCAGATAGTCCAGCTCCCCCCATTCCACGTCCTTGAGAAACTGCTTGATCAAACCATTCTTCTTCGGACCTCGCCAGATCACAGCGTCATCGCGGTTGGGCAGCATGAACTGGATGCTCATGGCTCCTAGATTATCCGTCACCCACACTGGACTCCACCCGGCATTGCTGACATGAATCGTTTCGTCCTCGACGCCCATCATCTTCGGGATCGATGGCCCACAGATATCCGTATCCATAATGCCCACCGTCGAGTCTGGATTGGATGCGAAAGCGTGGGCGAGGAGTGCGGAAAATGTCGACTTTCCCACGCCACCTTTACCTGAGAGCACCAAAATTTTGTGTTTTATTTGAGAGAGACGAGCGGTGATAAGGGGAATGTCTGGATCTGGTCCTTTGGGGGCGGAGGCGCAAATGGATTGATTTGGACATCCGGCGCAAGCATCGCTTTTGCCAGCCTGCTCAGATTCAGGGCCGGGACAATGTTCTAAAACCAATCGCGTCAACAATCACAATCAATAGCGACATATGTGCGCAATTCTCGACGGAGAAAACACACCTGGTTCAGGTGCAACAAGGTTTGGCGCTGCCCTCGCTGGCGCAGCTAGAGATGCCGCTGTTGCATCCTCCAGAGAGGGAGCCATCTCTGACGATGTCTTTTAGAGTTGCAGCAGAGCAGGTCGTGCTCGAGGAACTCAAATCCGAGAAGAAAAGAGAGGGAAAAAAAGAGCGTAGATTACCAGAAAGGCAATAGATACGGTGGGGTGATTGATAATAGTTTCGGAGTTCCCTTTGATGACAAACGCGGATGTGCCCTGTGGCGCCTGGTAGGCGGGGAGACTCTCCGACGGAGAGTCTCCGAACCGGAGCCGGCAATGGGCCCCGCTGAACAAGATTCATGTTTATCTAATCCAGCACCCGATTTACGCCGATCGGCGAGGATCGGTTGCAGACACAGGAGGCCTGTAGAAATCCTAAGTGGTTTGGCATTGATTGTGGGTGTGAGAGGGGGAATGAAATCTAGGAGAATTAGCAGAACGCGTACAATGTCTATATATCCTACTCTCCTGGGCCCCTGTTCACTCGGTATGGAATCTCTACGAGGAGATAAATAGATATGCCTGCCAACTAACGTAGGTACTTTTTTTTGTATCCCACCCTGCCTTCACTCCACCACATCCTCACCCAGACGTAGCCGCTAAAACGGAGATGGCAATGGTGGGCTGCTCTTGAAGCATAACCGTATCGGTGCAGCAGCACTTTTCGTAATATACAGCGGGTTATGTTGCTGGCCAGGCTCTTCAGTGACCAGACGCCACTGAGACTCGGAAGGATGACGACAAGGACCGAGCAAGTGCCAAGTTGTAAGATGAAAGGAGTCTTGTTGTTCACTAACTTGCTTGAGTCTGTATCTGATTTCTGTTTGGCAGACCGGACACTTTAGAAAGATTCCCGCTTTACTTAATAAACGCTTTGCGTTAAACACCTCGTCCCACCACAAGTGAGGGCAAATGGAATAAGGATACCGAAAGGCTTCTCTGTCTTTGATGAGCTTGTCATTGTGATTGAAGAATACCACAATATTCTGCTTGATAATCAGATCATTCACGGTAATTCTAAATTCACGAGTTCGTCGTCTTGAAAATCTCGAATGTTCGTCAAGCTCATCGGAATAAGTCATCTTCGCTGATAGTTTATGGTTCGGTCCATAGCAATGACGGTTCATGATCTGCTGTGCCCATGAAAATGGTAAACAACATGAACCATCGGTAGCCCTAAGGGCGCATTTTCGATGACACTGTTGATAGAAGGAATATTTGCAATGAAAGATGGCGCACTGATGACAAAGCACATGCTTCGGCATGTCTGGCTGAAGAATAGTCAAGAGCTCCAGTCTATCTTTTCTCTTCAGAGACAGAGAGCGCCGCCCAATGGTATTCAGCATTGATCTGCAAGTAAGGACCAATGCAGCAGCAGAAGCGGGTGGGAGAATCTCAGCAATATATATGACCAGATCTGTTGGCAGACACCAAATGGGGGCATTTGGGTTTTGCTTGGGGCGAGATCTGCGGCACAGATAATATAGAAGGCTCCAGAGCGAGGCTGAGGATAGCATCAAAATAGACACAAACCAATCAGCAACAAGATCAGCAACGAGTTTCACTATCAAATCAGCGGCGAGTTCCCACATGGTATTTCACTAATAGCCAAAGAGAGAAAAGAACACTGCAACGTGAAGGAGGCATTGAGATCCTAAGGGGCCTTTCAATGAGCGCCTTCTTCTTCACTGATTCAACTTATGATTTAATCATGAGCTGAACAAATATTGCTATGTGGTTCACATTGGCATCATCTCCTTCCATGCTAGGCTTATTTGGTGGACTGATTCCAACCTGTTTAGCAGTCTGTTTCTCTGTTAGGCTTGGTTGTTGAGAGTCTCTCCCATGGATAGATAGAGTTTTTCCAGAGAACGTCACCCCCATTTTAGCGTATGTAAAAAATCGGCATAAAAAAAATATGTTGCTATAGCTAAAAAGGAATGATTATAAGGCAAGAGATAGAGAGTCTAGACACATAGAAGGATGGAATGATCAAGAGATAAAGGAATGAGGAGAACCAGACAGTCCACAGGGGATTCTCTAGAGAGTTAGATATATTGGCCCAATGTCTTCAATTAAAATAGATCAAAAATTAAAAAAATTAGGGACAGGGTCCTCTATTGCTGGCAGTTATAAGCTAAATAACTAAAATTAGCAGGGGGAGGAAGGCTATAAACGGGTAAAGACAGCAAAGCTCAAAATGACCATTCTCTCTCAAAAACAACCTCCATTTACATTATGTGATCTGGTCGGTTGGCATTAAGGCGGCAAGCATTATGGAGGATGATGTGCAAAGGCCTCGAAAACAGCGCGAAAGAGTTATTTTGGCGGCGATTGATCAGGTAATCATCAACGGAAATGCCATGCTGGCAAAGCACGTGAGGTGATGACGTCAATGCCCAGTCGACGCAGGGGAATTTCCCTGCGCCCTCTGCTCGTCAGGGATGGCCAAGTCTCCGGCGCCTGGCGCGGAAGAATCAATCAACATCTGCACGACTCTGCAGGTGCAGCAGCCTAGTCGAAGCCATTATTTCCCCTCCATTCTCACAGCGTACCTGGCCATGACGAGGGCAAGGGTTCCCCACACCGAAACCTGTTGCATGCCTGTGATTCTCTACTTTTGATGCTCTGCCACCCGCCCATCCCCGCATCTGTGTGGACTTCATAACCAAAGGAGACAGATTAAATTACACATGGAGTGCTGGAGAAGTAAATAACCGTTCGTTTCTTGTTGGGTAAATGCGCACGCGATTTCTGTGGACTTCTGTCAACTTCAGTGGACCACAGCGCTAAAACATCTCCAACTTTGATCCTGGTATTTACCTCCGGGCTCCACCACTTACTCCGTAAAGTCGTCTCGGTTCCGAATCGGTAAGAGACTTCCCTAAGTTCCCTTCCTCCAGGTTTTTAAAGCACTGCAGTTGACCCAGCCGGTCAATGTGAAGGTTCTGTGTTGCTCAACAGTTTACTACCTGCCAAGTACTAAGGCAAACTAATTAATGCACTAACCACTATAGATATTTAGGTAGGGTCCGTGCTGAGAATCACAAGCCAATCTACCCGATAACTCGTATCCTATTCCCACAGTTTCTTTCACATGAATTATTGACATTGTTGCACATCCATTGCTGTCTCAATTCCCTACCACAATGGACAGCAGTCGCACAACAGGTGCTCATCGTCCAGATAAGGGCCTGCGTGAGCGAATTGCAACCTCGCAGCATGTTGATGCTGGTGCTGTGGACGGAGCTGTAGCAAGCTCTGGCAATAATGCAGCTGCAACAAACACAGATGGGAAGACCAAGAAAACCTTTGGCAGGACACCAGACGGTACCAGTAAGTAGCCTTATGCCACCACTACTTTTCTGATAAAGCTGTATGGATTTAAAGCATCAAGCCCGACCGATCCCACTATTCCCTCCACTATTGCGCTCTATCACATGCTCTTGATACTTGTTGCTGTTCTTGTATATACAGTGGACATCTGGAAGCTGACAATATGTAACATCCAAGTATTCACGGTCCCCCCAACACATGACATGGTATCGCAGCTTTTGTCGCCAACTCAGCCCAAGAACCTCTCCGACATGATCGTTCTGGCCATTCTGGCTTTACATTTTGTGGCCTTTTGGCTTCTCCCTGCCTCTGCGAGGATCCCGGCCTTTGCAGCTATCTATGCCTTTTGGCGGACTGCCTACAATGGAGGAATCGGTTGGCTGCTCCACAATCAGTCGAATCACAGGACATTGGTGAGGTGGGCGGAGAAGTCGAAGGTCTTCATCAACCCATCTACCGGGAAGAACCCGCATCCGAAATTGTACCACCTCCTCAAGCGCGACATGGAGACCATGATTCCGAAAGATTACTCGTTTGACAATGCCCCGATTGAGTATAATACTTGGTTGGTCTTTAGGCGTGTCGTGGATGTCATCTTGATGTGTGACTTCATCTCATACTGTCTGTTTGCAGTAGCCTGTGGTGGCCGCCCTGAGGATGAGAGCCTGCTGATGACGGGGCTTCGATGGGCGGCAGGTCTGATCTTGGTTCTCTTCAATCTCTGGGTGAAACTGGATGCGCACAGAGTTGTCAAAGACTTCGCCTGGTATTGGGGTGACTTTTTCTTCCTTATTGACCAAGAATTGACGTTCGACGGCGTGTTTGAAATGGCACCGCATCCGATGTACTCCGTCGGATATGCCGGTTACTACGGAATCTCATTGATGGCTGCGAGCTATAAAGTGCTTATCATTTCCATTCTCGCACATGCAGCTCAATTTGCATTCTTGGTCTTTGTTGAGAATCCTCATATTGATAAGACATACAACCCCCCGCCCCCTCGCAAGCGCCATGCCGACCAGAATGGTGGTTCCGCAACCTCGCATGGGGTAGAATCGTCCAGTGCACCAGCCGCCAGCGACAAACTCCCTCAGCCCTCCCCAGTCCACAATCTGCTGGGTCTGCACAACTTGGATCTTCATAGAGTGACAGATTCTTCCGTGATCCTGATCCAGTTGCTCATCTTCATCCTGACCGCCGTCACCCCTTCCACGCCGGTCTATCAATTCTTTTTTGTACTCAACGCTGCCTTCTGGAGAATCTGGTATTCAGGTGTCATAGGGTATATCCTCCACCGGCAATCAAAGTACAAGGCGTGGACCCGACACTTCGTCAAGTTTGGAGATAGCCCCGAAGAAGCATGGCGCCAGTGGAAGGGCTCATACCATCTCAGCATGACATTATGCTATGCAAGTTTCATCGCCGCGGCGTGGAAGATGTACACTTTCCCTACCGACTGGAGCCGTAACATGGTATTACTGAAACATATTATCGGAGCCGGTTTGATCGCCCTGCAGATTTGGACCTCAGTCAGCATCTATGAGTCGCTGGGGGAGTTCGGCTGGTTCTTTGGAGACTTCTTCTTCGACGGTTCATCAAAGTTGACCTACAGTGGTATCTATCGCTTCCTGAACAATCCTGAACGCGTTCTTGGTCTTGCTGGCGTGTGGGGCGCAGCCTTGATCACAAGCAGTGGAGCGATCGTCTTCCTAGCGCTCCTTAGCCACATTCTGAGCCTAGCCTTCATCCAGCTGGTTGAACGCCCACATATGCAAAAACTGTACGGCCGAAGCCTGCGGCGGGATGCAGGCTTGGTGAAGAGCCTGAAGCGATCTCTGCCTCCACCGCTCAAACAGCTTGGTGGAAGTGTAGACCGGATGGTAGATGAGTCCTTTGAATTCGTGGAGGAGCTTCTGGAATCAGCTCGGCCAAAGCTGGCTGCCGGCGTCAATACTTTTGTGCAGGATGCAACGGCTCTGTTCCACAAATATCCCGCACGGATCACCATTGCCCGCATTGATGACGACGTCGCGGGTTATGAACTCCAGGACTACTCTCTGGAGATTGAGGGAACCGAGTCATCGCCGTCTGCGGAAAATGAACGTGGTAGCGGCAAGGAAGGCATCAACGCTCGCGGGCCTCCTGACAGAAGGGGCGATCCGAAGAACCTGATCTTTGAATATGGAGCTCCAATCAAAGTCAAGTGGACTGCGCCTCTCAATCATAGCAAGAAGGACTGGGTCGGTCTATATATGGTTACTGATAACAGCTCGCGTGAAGTCACGCGGGTCTCGTCGCAGGGACGATGGATCGCAACGAACGAGGGTTCCTATGACAGTCTGACATGCGAAAAGGGTCTGGTCAGCAGCGACGTTATCATTTCTGCTTCCGACCGCAAAGACGGCGAAAAGCGCGACCTTGCATCTGGGGAGATGATTTTCTCAGGCGACAAGCTCTTCTGGACGCAAGGAGTGTTTGAGTTCCGATACCACCACAACGGCAAACATAATGTTATGGCGATTTCCAGACCTTTCGAAATTAGAATCGGTCGGTTCGACGAGGACGATATTGAGGTTGACGATCATGGTGTGTTTCAGGCAGCGGTGGAATCCGCTTTGTTGCCTGTCGTTCGCAACTGTTTCGACCGTGACCCTGAGATTGCCCCGGAGACTGTTGACGAGCGCTTTGGAAGTCTCGTTGACAGAGACAGCAAGTACGCTAAACGGGTTGTTTTCGCAGTGCATCAGATGTGAGTTGGGCGTCATTGGTTTCCCTAAACAGGGACAGCCACTGATACTGACTGTTTCTGTCCTGTCAGGTTTGGCATTGAATTTGCTCCTGAAGTCGTCCGTGCTGATGGAAATGTTCGCAATCTGGCATGGAGAATATGTAACGCAAAGAAAGTTCTGGTATGAAATCCTTCAACCCTGCTATCCCCCAAAACACATCTGCCTGGAAATGCTGTTACAAAAAAAATTTCATTCGAGCTATAAAACGCTAATTAGTTTTCTACTTCACAGGCTCCCTACAGCATGTCGAGATCGAGAGGAACGACAACCCCGACATCGAAGGATTAGAAGCCATGGAGTTCCAGTCCTAGACTTCTCACTACATACCCCGAATCCAACCTTCCGATCCCTCTTCCGTTATTAAAATGGGCAACAAGAAAAAGAAATCAAGTAGAAGCGTTTTGAAGTAAAATACCCCTCACTAGCGTACATGCAGATACACGAAACTTCTCTGTGATGTTATAGTTTAGAAGCGCTCAGGCGCATGAGGAACGAATGGAAGAAGAATGTTGGGCATTGATTGACAGAGTTATCAATAATGAACTAATTGATGTGTTAGAAATCAAAATGAAGCTGCGATTTTTTTTTCCAAAGCTTGAAGGGACATGGCTTTCGATTGAAAAAAAGGTACTCCTTTTCCTGTGTCTCATCCGTGATCGAATTTATTCATCCAGAATACTACTATAGCAATGCCTAAAAAAGTAATAACTTGAAAATCAAGGTTCAAGATGGAAATGCATGAATAAAAATTAAATGATTACACTATTTAAAATCTAAGGAATGGCGAGCAATAAATAATTACCCTGTTGTTCCACATCTTCAACGTTAGCCTCAGGCTCGACATTGATCTTTCTCCGACCCAGTACCAGACCAGCACCAGAGCAGACCAGACCGGACTGGGCCGGATTATGCGAGACGGCATTTATATAAAAAACAAGATAGAAGATATATCATTTTTTTTATAAATAAGTCATCTGTTCAGCAAAGCCAAGCTTACTCATCCCATCCCCTGCCCAATCCCACTTCCGAAAGCCCATGTCGCCCAAAACGGGCGAATGCATGGACTGAAGCAGAGATAGGCACAGCGTCAAGCATGCGATTTCCAGGAAAAAAAAAGCACGCCTAGGGGCGCAGCGAATGATCCTTTCTGAACACAACAGCAACAATAGGTTCCCGACAAAGAAACTCCACAACCTATCATCCCTTTCGAATGATGATGGACCCTCGAAAAGTCCGGTATCGGGGAGACTGCCGAGATTTTGCTGCTGAGAAGAGAAGATACAACGCTGCGTGGCACGCTTTCTGGACACATGCTCAAGAGGAGGGCGCTCCAATAACTGGAGACTCATTGAATGGATTGACTCGTTGTCATCATAGACCAGGGGGGTTTCTAAATGTGTAAGGCCGTCCGCAGTTGAAAAAACGTTGGTTGGCTTACTTTTTACGAATCCTGGGAATGCATATTTTTAAAAGGACCTGTTTTTGTGTGACGTTGTCAGCAGCTGAAACTCCGGCAAGTTCTCAAGTAAAAGATGCTTTTATTGAAGACGACAAGATCAGGATGTTTTTGGTATGGTAAATGGTTTTCTTCAATGAGCTTGCAGAAGCAGAACTGAAAGAAAGGAATTCATCATAGAATGCGTCGCCAGATTATAGATAAAGTGATGGAATAGTCTTACCTTTTTACAAGAATCTGTGTATCACAGCACCAGACACCGTTGAGTCGTTGCAACCTAATTCCTGTCTTCAATACCTAGTTAGCCTGCGTCGGACAGGAATGACTGCATGATCAGGAATCAGGGATAAAGGCTATAGTCAGATGGTAGTGCATGTTGTTCATGGCTCATGGAGGTGTCGCCAGAACTGAACCTTTTGGTTATAAATTTCCTCCTGCAGGTCGAAGTGCTCAGGGGGAAAAAATCTCGCAGGATACTTACAAAGTTAGTAGTTCGTGTGTCAGAGATTGACCAACTCTTTCTTTGTCCCTCGCATTACGGACGATAGCAGTCACAATCTTCCACGCACATTGTTGAAGAAAAGCTACAGGCAAGACAACTTTGTGCGGAAGAGAAAAAGCTCAACCTCGCGGTTGTTTGTGAAAAATGCCGCCGCTTGCTGCCCCACAACCACCACAAACAGTGCAAACATCCCTCAAAATTGGAGATTTCCGTTTCTGGGTCGCATCACCAAGGCCATCGAGACGTAGGCCTCGCACTCTCTGGCGTAATCTGCTCCTCAGGCAGGCTTTGCAGGATGCCAGGTTATGTGGGATGACTGACAGAAGAAGAATCAATGGGCCGCCCAGCGGCACAAGGCCGCCAGTCTTTGCGTCCCTGCTGCGGTCTGCAACAGGCGCCGCTGTAGAGAGACCTCAGCGCACAAGACGACCTAATGAGCTGAGAAAAATATGTAAGTTCCATATATACGTCCACTACTATTTCTAAGGCTTCTGATTTACAATCTTTTTTTCGCGTTACAGTTCTGAAGACCGGTCTGATCCCTTCCGCTACCGGTTCTGCATACCTCGAAATCGAGCCGTCAAGATCGCTCTCCACCAAATCCTTGATTGCACCCTCAACTGCACTTAAGATCGCATGCACGGTTCACGGGCCAAAACCTCTCCCTCGCTCTGCGCCGTTCTCGCAGAATCTACTCCTAACCACGCACGTCAAATACGCGCCTTTTGCCGCCCGCAGACGGAAAGGTCATATTCGCGATGCCAGTGAAAGGGACCTTGGCGTGCATCTCGAGACCGCCATTCGAGGTGCCATCATTGCCGAACGCTGGCCGAAAAGCGCTCTGGACGTAACGATCACAGTACTGGAAGCCGCAGATGACCGGTGGTGGGGCGATGCTCCTGGTTCCCAGGACGCATCCTGGGGGATGATGAACGTCCTTGCAGGTTGCATCACAGCCGCCTCTGCCGCAATAGCAGATGCCAGAATCGACTGTCTCGATCTTGTTGCAGGGGGTGTAGCTGCCCTTGTCGCGGAGGACCCAGGTGCTGAGGAAGCAGACAAAGCAGATGAAGCTCCAAAACTTGTGCTGGATCCAGATCCATCTGAACACCGGGAGATTGTAGCTGCTTGTGTGGTGGCCTATATGCCTGGTCGAGATGAGATTACAGAGCTGTGGCTGAAGGGAGACACGTCACGCGTTGCGCTGAGTGGAGGGGACAAGCGTTCCGGTCATGAAGCTATTATCGATGGCGCTGTAGATGCAGCCCGTGGTGTTCATACAGTCCTGGCCGAGGCTGTCAGGGAGTCAGGAGAGAGGTTTGTGAGACAAATGACCGCTGGGACACACAATTTCAAGGCTACAAAAGGTGATTCAGATGTTGAAATGAAGATATGAAAAGAAAAGTCTAGGTGTTCATCCTTTGGTACCTTTCCACTTCCCGACACATATTGATGCGATGACTTATGTGGGTTTACAGCTTTCTTTGTCTGGGAGGCTTACGCGCAGTAGTATCGGGAGTCAATAATGAATGAGTTATTATCTCTAGCATCCAGGCTGCTTTCATGAGGCATTGAATAGACGTTCTGTTGCATTGTTTGCTAAAGAATTATGACTTTCACATCATCATCTTCTTCTCAAAGGCCCTTTCTCTTCCAGACTTGTGTTCTCTGGTCAATCTGAAAGGAAGGTCAATTAGTCTCTGCACTAGTCTGTTGCATGGCATAATTTTGGTCAGACTACTGTCTTCCTGTTATCTTGTAAATCCAACTGCAAACCTGTTTACTATCACTATCTTCCTCCATCCTCAGAAAAGATCCTGAATTCTCTCCTACCCTTACCTCATGCACCCTCTCTGAACAAACAAGAAATCTATTTCTTCCTCTCTTCTAATCTTGACTCTCGTTTCGAAATCCTTGGGACTCCTTTCTGAAATTGACCGTCGCCGCATATGCCGTCCAAAGCCCAGCCCGACGTGAATCTCTGGTTTCTATATGTCTGTCTCCAGAAATCTGACTATAAGACGGTTAGTACACAGCCTTGACCTTTCATGGAAGTGAAGTCTCTGTCCCACGGGGTTTGTGGTATTGACAGGAGACCTGTCCAGATCGATTTTCATGCGGTCAGCAGGGTGATAAACGTCACTCCCTCGGCGGCTCGTAGGCGATTTGCACGGCTGAAGAAACAAATCGAGAAGAACAGTTCTGACACGGCGACAAAGACTCCAGCACCAGAGCCGGCCAGTAGAGGCACAGAGAAGACAGATTCTGAGGCGACCGGCTCCAAGCAACTGCAGAGACCTGAATATCGAATGCCCCAAGGAGCAGCCCAGAAGAACACACAAACTCAGACCTTGTCCTGTCGAGTGACAGGTCATTCTAACAACGGCAGTCACCCCGTCCATATCGATCTCACCGAGGACCATGATAGTGGTGGTGATGGTGGTGGCTTGAATGCAGACGAGAGCTCCGACGACGATGCTCCATTGATGAAGAAACGAAGGATAGCCGGGACGTCCTGCGTGTTAGGGAGAACGTCAAACCATGAGCGTGCATCAGTCAGGAGCGATGACAAGAACCCTGACATCTCCAGCCAGACTGGAGAAGGGCATTCCAATCAGGCATTATCACCAGCACAACGAACAGGAACAGCGACTGGACGCGAGAGGTCGAACGAAGAACAGCACATGACGGACAATAAAGTTGGTATCGTTGGGGGTGTGAGTGTGACTGCCGCTCAGAGAACTTCGGAACCCCAGATGGTCGATCTCACTGGCGAAGAACCCCCGGAAGGGACGTCAAACGCAAATACTGCAGGAGCAAGCTCCGTCCAAGCATCTCCGGTTGGTAATGGAGCAGACGTCGACCCCGCTAGTCTCAGCGAACAGGACGTTTATCTCTTTGGAGACGAGTTGTTTGACTCCTTTCTGGGCGATTTACAAAACGCGGACATGCCGGATAGTTATTGTTACGAGGCGACAGACTGGCCGCACCAAGCATCAGCCTCTACTTTAGAGCTAGAGCCCCTGGCTCCCCGGAGAGAAAGCTTCATGTCAATCGACGAGAAACCCGCCTATAGCTGGGCTCTGCGACGTCTCGACCAGCCGAACTTGGCGGTTATTGATCATAATTCGTACTGTTAAATTAACAGCGAGCCGTGTGAAGTTAATTATGGAAACGGAGTACCTCCCTTGGTGTGCTGGTGTGGGGTTTGGTCCTGGTCTGTATCCGCTTCGTCTAGGCACCTCCTAGGAGATCATGGCATGACAATCTCAATAACAGCTGTACTGGATAGATATAGGAAAGGGAAAGAAAAGGGCTAAAATGAGATCCTAGTTTCATCTATAATAAAGCTTATTACAAGATTCTTATATCCCTATGAACTGGTTTTCTCCAGGATAGAGGGAGACTAGCAGTATGTGTACCGAGTACAGAGTACAGTGCAAGGTCTAGAACTCCTTGGTAGCCTAGGAAAGAGCTCCCAGAGCGTTGCTATTGCACGTGTACATTTAAGGACAGAACTGCCATACGGTCAGGCGTTGCTCGGAGAGCCTCCGCAGGTGACGAATCGATGACAGCGGGAGTCAATTCTCTGAGCCAAGCTGTCGCAAAGTCAAATGGGCTCCGAGATTAAAATTAAAAAAAGAACAATAAGACTGCGTTCGCGTTGAGCATAATCCCTGCCTATAGCGTATGCTTGTGTACTTGGGAGGCGCGTGCGCACGATTGCTCGGCGAACGGTGGGTCGATGGGCCCATGCGGACTAATAATTCCCCCACATCTTGTCTGGCGAGAAGTTTGTTTTCTCTTGGGCCCTGCTAAGTTGGCTAACGAAGCCTCTCCTGAACTCTTTTTGCTCCTTAGGCGTAGAAGCCGTTTCGAAGCATCTTCCGTCGTGCTAGATCCTGGCCCCAAGTTGCAAGTTGCAACGTCAGCCCCTCTTATCGTCCTTCCTGCTATCAGCTGATGGTCGATGGGGCTGAAGAGCTGGCCTCCACTGGGCGGCCCTTGCAGGCCGATTTGCACTTGGCAATGTATGGGACATACTCTGTACTCCGTACAGATTTGCAAACAGCCTGTCCGTCTCCGCTCGGGGACGATCAACCGGAGCGCGCGCCAATCGTAAGTCCCCTCGCAGCTGTCACTAACCCGCTCCAGCATAGCAACGGCACGCCGTCTCGTGTGCCTCGCAACATGGCGACGGCCACACGGTCCAGAAGGCGCCCGTGCTTGGGCCGTTGAGGTGACAAATCTCCCGGGTGTGCTGCATCCTGCTCCGTTTCCCACCCATTGGCGTCGCCGAATGGAGACGCTAGGGAGTGCTTGCAAGTCACGTACAGGCTGCAGCGCCCTGCTCTCCAGTCCGGCGAACCGCACCAGGGTTTGGCTAATCGCTTTCGTGCTAGATATCCCGATAAATTAATTGTCCATCTGCAAGAGGGACTAGGCGGTTCGATCGCCTTCTCACCCATCACGGCGGGAAAGGGCCAAGGACCGGCCAATCTGCCCCTGGATCCAGCACAAGGGTCAATCCGATCCACAGCGACCGCGCATACACTAAAGCAGTTCGATCGCGTTCCCCGATTATCGCGCTGCTTGGGCAGGTCCCGCCTTAAAACATTTGTGTTTCCCAATGCGCATTTCGTTGGTGATAACCTTGTGGCATTCTGACACGGGTTACACACGTGCGTCGCAACGGTCGACAGTCGGGGTCTTTTCTGTTGTTTCATTCTTTTTGCCTTCGCGTCAATCTTTGTTTCCCAATGCCGACCTGAATGCTGGTGGACATGTCTTGGTCTGATTACTAGTTCTTTATTCCTTCTCCCCCTTGCACGGGTCGAGCTTCAAAGTATCTATCTTTGGCGTCGCTCGGGTCATTGTTATCTTGGGTACCCTCTCAGGGTCGCAGAAGACAGACGGCTTAGAATTTCAATAGCGACAGCACGCGCTCCATGACTTAGTCGACTACCTGGTCAATGGTACTTTGGCATTGAAGCGTCAATCATGGTGGGCTTGAAGAAGTTCTTCAACACTTCCCCGCGTTCTGGAAGGAACGATCCAAGAGGCCCTGCAGCCCAAGACCTGAATTCATCGTCCGGCTCGAGCGATGTTTCTTACGCTGCGTCTGCGGCCTCTTCGACTCCTGGGGCCAGGTCGCCTTTCTCCCCTGATCTGAAGCACGCTGCTAGGCTGGACGCCAATCATCATTTCCTTGGGATAGAGAGACAGTTTGAGCGATTACACGAGCAGTTTCGCTCTAGACCCCTGTCTTCAATATCCCAGCTCCGTTACAATTCTACGGATGCCTGGACAACACGAGCTCCAAGGCATGTCGATGTCATTGAAGCCTTGTTTTCGTCGCATCGTTATCGGATGCCCTCGAAATCATTGTCCCCTACGACCCCGTACAATGAAGATGTCGCAGATCGCAACCTGCAATCCCCACCGCACCGAACCCCCGAACGAAATGCCTACTCCCGGATCGTATCGCAGATATACCAAGAAGACGTGGCGGATCGGAACATTGCCAAGTCCATAAGCAATGCTTCGCTCAGAAGCTCGCAGTCAAGTCAAAAAGCTTGGAAATCTCAGCCTGTGACGGGTCATGTGCCTGGGTCAGAATCCATGCGTCGCGGCCAGAGGAATCGAGAGCTACACGGCACACCACGGACGAGCTCTTCTTTCGAGAATTTACATCATACTTCTCAGTCTCCTGAGGACAATGTCGGGACAAGGTCTCTGAGCAGAACCGAGACGACTCTACGGCCGCAGGTTTCAGCGCCTAACCTGTCTGGTGATCGTGGCTTCCGGAGGTCTTTGGTTACTTCAGCCTCTGGCGGTTCGGACAATTCAGCGGGAAATGAGTCAACAGACAGACCCGAGATGGTGCACGTCTCACCAAGTCCAGGAGATGAACAGGCTGCCAAGGAGGATGCGAAAAGAACCCAGACTCGAGATTCTGCAAGACTAAGCCCAGACGACACTGGACGAGACGCAAGCCGACCAGATTCTTCCCGACCAGCTTCTAGAAGGAAGGCGCGGGACCTCTCGATAAATGTAGAGCTGGCATCCTCACAGAAGCCTGCGATCAAAATAGAACATTGTGAGGCTCAACCGCAAATATCCGACCATCCCTCAATCGCTCAAAACGCCAGTATCGCCGAGATCGTGAACAGTCCATTGCCAGCCGCGAGTCCCAGTCCCCTCACACCACCGCCACAGCAGTCACCCAGCTACAACGTGGAGGAGATTATGAACATGTTCAAACAAGCCTATATAAGCACCCAGGCCACGAGCCCTAATCCCACTTTTGAGACTCTGCAAGATGCCATAATCCGCGAAATCAATTCTCACGATGCATTCCGCCGCGTCCCGGTTCCTGATCAAGGGCCTCCGTTTACTCCGCCGGCATCCCAGGAAGGCTTCGAGGAGGAAATATTGCAACCGCCTCCAGGGCCTTCAAGATCGGCCAGAAATTCAGCAGAAAGGGAAAGTCAATTCTCAAAACTGATTCGTAAAGCGCCATCCATTCGCCGGAGGGGGAAGAGTCTCTCGTCAACAAATAATAATCCCAAGAGCCAGGACAAAACACCCAAACGAGAAAACCAATCTTCCCGAGCCAAAAGAAGGCATACATATGCCCAACCTCCTTCGGCTGATTGGATTCGGACGTTCCAATCAAACGACCCGCAAACAACGGGGCCAGCCACTACGAGGCCTCCGGATGTCCCTGCTGAAAATCATCATCAGCGACCCTTTTTTAAACATCATCTGAAGAGGAAATCGGACCCGGTTCCGCCCAGCCCAGGCATTGAGGGATTTTTCGAGACCTAAGACTAGTGGTCCTCCGGTCCCCCAACTACGAGTTCATCAGCCAAATCATCGAGATAGCCGGCAGTTTCTGGCTCCTAATATGACATGGGGCAACGGGGGGAACAAGCCACGTCATACAGAGCAGATAACAGCCGTTGACGACAATAATGTCACATATATCCTGAATGCGACGGAGCCTCTTACTAACCTCGAACTCATCACTGCCTCCCAGAAAGTCAGCAAGGGAAGGGCATCATTGAAAGGCTCGAAATTCACCGATCACAAAGTACCCCTCCATTGCAAACGAGCAAAAGACCCATCCCGCTTCGGAGAAGCAGCCTTCACACCAGGGAACTACCACAGCTATGAGGAACAAGCTGGTCAAGTCAATCTTCGGCTTGCTGGCGCGGAATGTTATCGAGCCATGGCTATTTCCAAAATGGGGTTTCCGTTCTTTCCATTCCTTCTGATTATTTTCTCTATTCTTTTTTCTTCCTCTATTCACTTCTGTCCAAGCTCAACAGAAGAGCCCTCTTTCTCTCTATTCCTTGCCTTGTGTGTATTTTTTTTATATGATTTTTTTTTTCTCTTTTTACATCCATAGACAGACACTCTTTCTTACCTTCCCCAGTCTGTTCATCGTCCATCGTGGCTACAAAAAGGCATTTTATCTCCTTGGGAAAAAGGTGGATATCATCTTTGGATAGATTTTTTTTTTCTCATTACACGGCGGGGGCTAGGGTAAAAAAATTCTCTCTTTATTTTTTTCCTTTTTTTTTGTTGTTCTCTTTCTCTCCTTATTTTTCTTTCACTTACCCAGCCATTCTCACAAGCATAATGTAGAGTATCTTGCAAAGGGTACCGAGAGAAACACACAACACAGGAAGGATCATGGGGAATCATTGATATTTTTTTTTAGCTATATCTGTGTGCTTGCTGCTCTTAATATTTGGAATAGAATGGAACCAGACTTCCGAAAACAACTGGTATACTGGTACTGGCACTGGTACTGGCACTGAAGTAGCAGTAGCCTGCCTGCCTGCCTAGGTAACTAACTCCTACTTACCTACTCCCAAACTCCCTGTGACTCTGAACACAAAAAATATATGGAAGTTCATCATCTCCATTCATTCCATTCATTTGTTCCTCTGCTTACATATAAGCGACAAAGAGCAGAAAAAAATATAATGAAAATCGTAGCTTCATTCGCAAGGTGTATGTAGGTAATGATTTCTTATTACCTTTACCTAACGTTGTCTCAATGTCTGCTCGGTTTAGTAGGAGCCTAGTTACGCATCCGAAGTTAGTTAGATAGGTCATCGAAGAGGAATACCAAGAAAATGCTTGAAAAGACGTGGGAAGAGAAGATGAGGCTTCAACTTACGTCCAAACATGCACCACTTCTCAGCCAGCTTTGTACAATGGGGGTTGGTGCACTTGGTCACTCCCGGTATGATACCCTCTGGCTGGTCGAACGGAATGCAGAGGGACTTGGCACCCATGCTGGGCGCCCGTGCATCCTGGGGCTCGCCGCTGTCCTCCTCCGCTTTACGAGCGCTCATCTCCTTAATTTGGTCCTCGCACTCTTCCGTAAGGCAGTGCGGGATCAGGCAGACGTTCTTCGCGTTCAGCGCCGGAACAAAGTCGTCCCAGTTGGTGATAATCTTCCGGTGAGCCCGGAACTCTTCGTCAGCACGCCTGAACAGATCGTTGTGGATAGTGTCCAGCAGCTTGGGGATGGCAGTGCTCAGTTCCGAGATCGGGATGGTGGTCTTGCCATCCTTGCCTGGAATATCACGACGGGCGGCGGTGACATACTGGCCCGCCGACTCACCAGGACCAAACTCGAGACGAACTGGCACGCCTTTAAGCTCCCAGTCGTTGAACTTCCAGCCAGGAGAATAGCCCTCTCGTTTGTCACTCTCCGCACGAACTCCAGCGGCAGTGAGGAGAGCCACCAGGTCATCAATTTCAGAATACAGCTTCGTGCGCTCTTCATCCGTGGTCTTCGCCGTAATACCGACCGGAACGATAATGGTCTGGATCTCCGCAACGCGGGGTGGAAGAACTAAACCGCGGTTGTCGCTGTGGATCATGACCATGACACCAATGGTACGGGTAGAAAGGCCCCAGGAGTTCTGCCAAACGTACAACGGCGGCTTCCTCTCGCCCTCCTTGGAAGAGGGATCCTCCACTGTGATACCGAACATCTTGCTGAAGTTTTGACCAAGGCAATGGGACGTTCCACCTTGGATACCACGACCAGTGGCAGGAATATATCCCTCAACTGTAGTAGTATAGTAACCACCCGCAAACTTCTCCTTTTCAGTTTTCCTTCCCTTGACCACTGGGACGGCAAGGAGATCCTCGTAAACATGCGCATAGTGATCGAGAATTTGCAGAACCTCCTCTGCAGCACTTTCCTCTGTCAGATGCGCAGTGTGACCCTCCTGCCAGAGGAATTCTCGGGTTCGTAGGAAGGGTTGAGGGTGCTTGAACTCCCAGCGAACGACAGAGTTCCACTGGTTCAGACGAAGAGGGAGATCACGGTGGCTTCTGATCCACTTGGCATAGTATGGGTACATGACCGTTTCCGACGTGGGACGAATTGCAATCTTCCTTTCCAGAGGAGTCGAGCCTCTGAGATAGTAATGTCAGCCTCCTTCTCTGGCATTATGGAATATTTGAGAGTAGACGTACGCATGAGTAACCCACGCGACCTCAGGGGCAAAACCTTCAATGTGGTCCTTCTCTTTTTGCAACACATCCTCCGACACGAACAAAGGGAAAGAGCAGTTCCGGACGCCCATCTTTTTAATTTTGTCATTGAACCAGCTCTGGATGGTCTCCCAGATGAAATACGAAGCGGGCTAGAGCAAATCAGTATTATGTAGCACAAAATCGACAATGGCAACAAAAGAAGCCTACCTTGAGAATAAAGCATCCAGAGACATCATAGTAGTCCAGCATGTCTCCTTTAGTAAGGACTTGCTGGTACCATCCCGCGAAATCGTCTTCTTTTGCAACATCTATTCCAATGAGCGCAGCACCCTCCATCTTTTTCTTCGGCGTCTTGGAAGAAGCCTTCTTGGCCTCTGCTTTTAATCCCTTGTTGACATCCTTTTCTGCCCTTTCCTCCTTGTCCGCCGCCTGTTTTGCCAGTTTCGCGGCTTTTTTGGCGGCGTTCTTGGACATCTCGCCCTCGGGGGCAGCCTTATCTTCGGCGGGGTTTTGAGTGCGGTCAGGCAGCGTTTGCGTCGCGCCTTCGACCGGCACCTTCGCGTCCTGGGTCGACATTTTCGCGAAAAAAAGACTACAAAGTACGTCGAGGAGCCTTTCTTATCTCTGCGAAATTTCAAAGAACAAAGACGCGCTGGTGGCTCAGCGCGAATGTGGCTTTCGAACGAGAATGACTGTTTTGGGGCTTCCCTTCGTTAAAGTGGGATGTAGATTAAAATTCCAGACCGCCTTGGGCGGCAGAATTCTTAGCGCCACACGCTTCCTCAACTGTCCCGCAGGAAACGCCTGGAATCCCAAGTCGGAGCTTCGCAGACAGTACACACCTCCTATCCAGCGTTCTTGCAAAGATGGCCGGCATTTTTGAACAGCCGCGAAATGCGGGCACTCTATGTGAGTCCCTCGCTTGGCATCTCTCACTCTGGACTCATAGCTGACGGTTTCGCACAGTTCTCGGCGGGCAGAAAATTAGCGGCGCCGATGTACGAGAACAAAATGGTTTGTGGAATTCATAGGTCTGGGCTCTTCATCGATATGCTAATATCTATGCAGTGCTCGCGACACAAGCCATCGCAAATGTGGTCAAAAGCTCGTTCGGTCCTTCCGGTTTGGACAAGATGATGGTGGACGACATCGGGGTAAGACGGTTACAGCCTTGACTTGGGGTTTTCATTTTATTGACAATATGTGAAGGATGTGACGGTTACAAATGATGGAGCCACTATCTTGAGTCTTCTGGATATCGAACACCCTGCAGGCAAGATCCTAGTGGATTTGGCTCAACAGCAGGATAAGGAGGTACAGATCAAACGTCCTGCGGCATCTGTCATGTTTCCCTACTGATTACTATTTAGGTTGGAGATGGTACTACATCCGTCGTCTTGATCGCGTCAGAACTCCTCCGGAGAGCGAATGAGCTTATGAAGAACCGGATTCACCCTACTACGATCATCAACGGCTACCGGCTAGCTCTTCGAGAAGCTGTCAAGTACATGAACGAGAACATCAGCACGAAAGTTGAGAACCTGGGCCGGGAGAGCTTAATCAACATCGCAAAAACGTCGATGTCCAGCAAAATCATTGGTGCAGATGCTGACTTCTTCGCCAATATGGTCGTGGATGCGATGCTTTTGGTCAAGACAACGAACCAGAAGAACGAGGTCAAATACCCTGTCAAGGCTGTAAACGTGCTTAAAGCTCACGGCAAGAGTGCTACGGAGTCCATTCTTGTCAAAGGATACGCTCTCAACTGCACCGTTGCATCTCAGGCAATGAAAACTCGGATAACAGATGCGAAAATCGCTTGTCTTGACATGAATCTGCAAAAGGAAAGGATGAAGCTTGGCGTCCAAATCACGGTTGACGACCCCGATCAGCTTGAGAAGATCAGAGAGCGGGAGTCCGGTATCGTTTTGGAGAGGGTTGAGCTGATCCTCAAGGCCGGAGCCAACGTTATACTCACCACGAAGGGTATCGATGACATGGTATTGAAGATGTTCGTCGAGAGGGGAGCCATGGCTGTGAGACGGTGCAAGAAGGAGGATTTGAGGCGGATAGCGAAGGCCACTGGAGCTACCCTTGTGAGCACGCTCTCGGATCTGAATGGCGACGAGAAGTTCGAGGCTTCGTATCTCGGACACGCTGAGGAGGTGGTGCAAGAACGCATATCAGATGACGAGTGTATCCTTATTAAGGGAACCAAAGCTCACTCATCCGCGTCGATCATTCTCCGAGGACCTAATGACTTCCAGCTGGATGAGATGGAGCGTTCTGTTCATGACTCCTTGTCCGCCGTGAAGCGAACTTTGGAGAGCGGCAGCATCGTTCCTGGAGGTGGTGCCGTGGAAACAGCCCTTCACATTTACCTTGAGGAATTTGCTGTGACGGTGGTATGTATCCCAGCGTTCTTGGTTCTTTTTTTTAGGTTTTCCTTTTCTGACCTGTTTCGTTTTCTAGAGTTCTCGGGAGCAACTAGCCATCGGTGAATTCGCGCAGTCCCTCCTTATCATTCCCAAGACACTGGCCGTCAACGCGGCCAAGGACTCTTCGGAACTCGTGGCACAGCTGCGTGTGCGTCATGCCATCTCGCAGCGTGTGCAGGAAGGGGATGCCAATGAGGAGGAGAAGGCCATAGCCAAGAAGAAGACGTACCGAAACTACGGACTCGACCTGACGAGGGGCCGTGTGGTGGACTCAATCAAGGCGGGAGTGCTGGAGCCCAGCATGAGCAAGGTCAAGCAGTTGAAGAGTGCGGTCGAAGCGTGCATTGCCATCATGCGGATTGACACCATGATCAAGCTTGACCCGGAGAAGAAGGCCGAGGACGACGGACATGACCACTAAGGGAAACAAAAGCCAAGACGTAATCTAATTTAGGAACAGGATTCAGCAGAAGAGGAGTGACGAAGCAACATATAATTTTTCCCAATTCAATTGTGAGAAAAATTGCAACCTCTGTCCATATCCACCAGAGTTATTTATCTACATCGAATCCTAGTTTGCCCATCTTTACTCTTTACCCAGCGAAGTCATGCACTCACCACATGAACTGCTATTGGAATCATCCATCCAATAGGTCTTATTCAACATTTACATAGGTTAAATGATCATTCTTTGTTGATCGTAAAGAAAAAGATCACTCAGGGCCTACAATGGAGTTCTCTTTTAACAGAAATGCCAGTTAAACATGATCAACTGAATTCGAACGCCGAAAATTGTAGCAGAAATACAGTACATGCATGCAATATCGCGCACCATGCGAGAAAGTGACCCCTTGAGAATCGACGAGTTCTAAAGCTCAGCCGAAACGAGACAAAAAACAGATAATAAACTCCCTACATTCAGACCCAGGATCGAAAACGCCATGCTGTTTAATGCCCGAGAAAAAAAAACGCCATGCCATGCTAGGACTTGTGATGCTGTTATATGAAAGGGGGAAAAGAAATAGGGGTATGAAAAAGGGTCGACGCGATGCAGTTAAGGCTCCATTCCTCGTAAAAGTCATTCATTCCTCCTCGTCATTGTATGAGTCAGGCGTTTCAGCCCAACCACTGCACCATCGTCTACCATCAGCTTCTCCAGCTCGTAAATCGCGTGCAGCGGGTCCTTCACGCCAGCATCTAGAGCTGTAGTCGTCGCTCACAGTAACTAGCTCGCCATTGACTGTCCATGAGACCGCAGAGACCTCTTTCTTGTGGGCTCCGACTAAAGCGGTACCTGCCTGATAGATGGGAATTGTGTCTTCCAGCCTTCCAGACAGACCGACTCCGGAATTCGTACGACGAAGGCCGGATCGAGAAACGATTGGAGGAGTATCTGGCGAAGAATCAACTTTATTGTTAAGCCTTGCGCCAGAATGATATCTTTCGTCAGTAGGGAACAAGATTGCACAATGATCACTGCTGCCGACAGCAAGCATTTCCTCCTTGTCACCCCGGGCAGGTCGAACAGCGGTTTTGACGTAGAAAGAGGAAACTTGCAGACGGGGATGACGGAATCCGTACAAGGGTCCGAGACCTTCTTTATCAGGACCGCCTGAGCGTCGCGGGCAAGTGCTGTTCAAGACCAGCTCTGGAGCGCTTCCAAGAATCAAATGCGAGGTGGAATATGCATACACGGTCGAATCTCGGCAGAGAGTATATAATCTGGATCCGTCACCACTCAAAGCCATCGAAGTCACTCCAAAAGATCGGTATTTCACATGGCTGTCTGGCTCTCGGGTTGTCGAGAGGGGAACAGGTCGACCCCGGCGGATGTTATAAGCAGTGCGCAAGTCCCAGAGTCTCACACAGGCATTAGCTTCAGAAGCCGTAACGAATAGATTCTCACGGCCAGGGTTAAGGAATGCTAGGGAAGTGACTGTGACATCTGCACGCCCAACTTGGGGTTCAGACCGTTCGGATTTTGACGTACGAGACATCCAAGCATGAGCACCGTGGATGCTGTTTACTGCTTGTGGGTACTTCATCTTGGGTGATAGAGCTGAAGGGCCTTCGTCAGCATCTGATGCAAGAGAGCATCGCACCTGCAACGAAGGATTCTCGTAGCCCTTGCACCTTAGATCCCAGATATTGACGTTTCCGTCTCGACTGCAGGTCGCAATGACTTTGTTGTTTGATGCGGGCTGGAATTGAACCCGCTTGACGGAGGAAACGTGGTTGGCTAAACAATAGATCGGCTTCTGGGTATTCATGTCAATAATTAGTGTTGTTTGATCCCCTGAAGCCGTTGCCAGGAATATATCGTCTGAAGAAAACTCTAAATCCATAATAGCATTAACGTGCGGGCGGAAGGTCAGATATGCCTTAGAGAAGCCGTTCTTGTCCTCTTTTGCCGAATCCAAAAGACGGATTCCTCCTTCTTCGTCTCCCACAGCGACCAGAGAATTGGCTTGATAAGAAGTCAATATCAGTAGCTATAAGACGAGAAACACTGTTTACTCACTATTACAAGACGCAGCACAGAAGGGAAGCGCGAGACGTTCCCCTGCGACGCTGACGCAGGGATGGAGGTCATCCGGACGAGAATAGAAATTGGACGTTTGATCTTGCCAGCCTGCAGGTTGACGCTGTTAAACGCTACTCCTTGTATATGGGGAAGGCTTCAAAACAAACCAATGCCGTAATTAGCTCGATGAATCACCCCATTCATACGCCCAGAAATACTGCGAAGACATAGCTCTCCAGACGTCCCCAGTGCTCTGGATCGACGCAAAGGTCTGACTGAAGGGACCTCGCTCGCGATGTGTCCGGCCTTTGGCTCCTCAACTCCAATTGTAGGACCGATCTCAATCTCTCCGACAGTCTTCTCGAGAACTCGATCATCGTCGACGCCAGTTGCGACGCGGACCTTCCTGAGCGGTGACGATTGTTGCGGGGAACCTGGAGAAGAAAACGAAAGCTTTCTCTTTCGGCTTGGAGTCCTTGCAAGCTCCGCGAAAGGGTTCTTGGGAGCACCATGGTGTCCATCAATCGACGCCTTGGTGAACGCAGGGCCCCGTCGATTCAGGGTTGGAGAGCTGATCTCCCCCAACGCCTGTCGATTTGTCTTAACGTTGCTGGTGTTATTTGCAGCATTGAGGGCAGATCGCGGCGTGAAAAACCTTTTGAACGAACGGGGAGTAACTGGTGGTGGTCTTTTGGGCTTGCGTCGAGTGCCAGCCTCCGAGACAACTGACGGTGGGGAGGATGGGATTTCCTGAGACGAAGGGAGGTGAACAGGATCTGAACGTGGAATCTCAGTGAGACCACGAGAGCCTTCCATTGTGCATGGAAGGATGTTAGCTGGTGCTCCGCATTGACAGTGAGGCGAGAGAGGGAGCAGAGCAGAGCGGCTGCTTTTCTGTAGGAGAGGACAGAGGCATGGCGGGACCAGCACTGGGAGCGGAGCACGTCGCGGGTCTCGCGGCCGTGTAGCGTGCCTGTTCGTGACGCGAGCCTTGCTTTCAGGCAGGCGGTGAGTGCCTTGCGTTAGGTAGATAAGCTAGCCCCGCAGCGGAAGGCGGTCAGGCGCTGTGATGCTCTCTCCGCCTGAACATTTTTAGAATTTTTTGGCCGCCCGCACTTTTTCCGCACGATCCAAGACCGACAGAGCAGCCTTGGGAGCTTTTTTCTCAGGCTACTCGTATCTTGTGTCCAATATGGCGCCAATCAAGCGCAAGGGCACCGCTGGAGATGATTCCAGCACGAAGAAGCGTGCTCGCGTTGGTGCGGATGAGAAGAAGAAAGACCAGAGCAAGCAGAATGGCAGAGCTTCCGACATCTCGAAGGAGCCATCCGCCAGCGCTGTTCAGAAGGCATCCGAGCTTTCGGTGGTTCGCGACGAAGAACCATCTTTTCCCCGTGGCGGCGGAAGCGTTTTGACTCCCCTCGAGCGGAAACAAATACAGATACAGGCAACCCGCGACGTGCTATTTGAACAGAAAGGCTCTGGGAAGGCGGCCGATGGCCTCGAGGATGAAGACGCAGTTTCCGATGTTGAGATGCAGGATACAGAAAAGGGGGCTTCTAAGACGAAGAAGACCCGCAAGGCAAAAAGCAAAAAGCGAGAGGATCAGGGAACGTCCGCCAAGCAAGGCGTGCGCATTGAAGGCCTGAGCTTCAAGGTACGTATCCCAGATATAGATGCATATTTCTTGTGCTAAATTTTCATAGCGCATTGTTCCCGGGACTATGGTATTAGGCCAGGTCTCCAGCATCAACGCCCACGATATCGGTCTTGCCTTGCCCAACAACCTTACTGGCTACGTCCCGCTTACGTCGATCTCGAAGGGCTTGGACCAGAAGATTGAGAAGCTTCTAAATGAGGGAGAAGACGACGAAGAGGATGAAAGCGATGAATCAGAAGAAAATACTCTGGATCTGAAGGCATATTTCCACCTGGGTCAATACCTGCGAGCCTACGTCACCTCCACAGGGAGCGCGGCCACGGATACCGCAGCAGCCAAGAGCAAAAAGAGGATCGAGCTTTCAATTGATCCAAGACAAACGAATTCCGGGCTTTCGAAGTCTGATCTGGTCGAAAACACTATTGTCCAAGCTTCGGTCGTGAGCGTCGAGGACCATGGGCTGGTCATGGATCTTGGCCTAGAGGAATCCGACATGAAAGCTTTTATGTCTTCTAAGGAGGTCGATCCCGCTGTGGATTATTCGAGCATCAAGGAAGGAACAGTGTTTCTGTGTATTATCACGGGCTTCAACGCTAGTCGAACTGTCGTCAAGCTTTCCGCCAACCTTCGAACCGCTGCATCGATCAAGAAGTCTCACTATCTAAGCTCCGCGCCCACGATCAATTCCTATCTCCCAGGAACAGCGGCAGAGATTCTCCTCACCGATGTCTCGTCCAACGGAATGGTCGGGAAAATCATGGGCCTGTTGGATTCGACTGTCGATCTAGTGCATTCCGGCGCAAACTCGGGGGCCGTTGACCTCACCAAGAAGTACCATAACGGTGCAAAAATCAAGGGCCGGATCATTTGTACTTTCCCGGCTGCTGAACCTTTCAAAGTCGGCTTTTCGGTCTTGGATCACATCCTGAAGTTCACCGCTGCTGACCATAGTTCGACTCCGTCGAGTCCAGCCCCCGCAATAGCAGCAATTGTACCCGATGCCAAAGTCGTCAAAGTGGATCCAGGCCTAGGACTCTACGTGGAAATCGGGTCCTCGAAGCATTTAGGGTTTGTCCATGTTTCCAAAGTCTCTGATGGAACCGTTGAGTCCATTTCTTCGGAACAGGGACCATTTAAGGTTGGCTCAGTTCATGAAGCGAGAATCATTGGTTACAACGCGTTAGATAATCTTTTCCTCTTGTCCTTTGAAAGGAGCGTGATTGATCAGCCATTTATCCGCCTCGAGGACGTCACAGTCGGTGCCGTCGTCAAAGGGAAGATCGAGAAACTCATAATCGGGCCTAATGGCATTGATGGAATAATTCTGTCATTAGCGGATGGTATCACTGGATTGGTGCCGCCGATGCACTTTGCAGACGCGCAGCTCCAACACCCCGAAAAGAAGTTTCGGGAAGGCATGACGGTCTCGGCCAGGGTTCTTTCTGTCAACCTCGAAAAACGTCAAATACGACTGACCCTGAAGAAGAGTCTTCTCAACAGTGAGTCCGCCATCTGGAAAGACTATAATGACATCGTGCCTGGAGCCCAGTCTCCAGGGACGATAGTGAATATTCAACCCCACGGCGCTGTGGTTCAATTCTACGGTTCAATACGAGGGTTCCTCCCCGTCTCTGAAATGAGTGAGGCCTACATCAAAGATCCTTCGCAGCACTTTAGACAAGGCCAGGTCGTCAATGTCCACGCGTTAAGTGTGGATGCTTCTCTCGGTAAGCTAGTTGTCTCTTGCAAGGATCCCTCGACGTTTTCGGAAAGTTACAGAGAGGCCTTTGATGAAATTCACCCTGGGCTTCTCGTGACTGGCACTGTTTTTGAGAAATCAAGTGACGACGTTCTTCTGAAGCTCGAGAACTCCGGTGTAATTGCTCGGTTAGATGCGCATCATCTTGTTGACAGCTCTGCGTCAAAGCAAAGCTCTGCCCTTGCAAAGATCAGGGTGGGACAAAAGCTGTCTGATCTTTTGGTCCTTGATATCAAACGAGCACATCGACTCATCAAAGTGACAAACAAACCAAGTCTTAAGAAAGCGCTGAAGCAAGGAGTTCTTCCTGGGAAATTCGAAAACCTTCAAGAAGGTGCACAAGTCACAGGTTTCATCAGGAATATAACTTCACAAGGAATTTTCGTCGAATTCCTTGGCGGCCTCACCGGGCTTCTTCCGAAGCGTCTTATCTCTGACGAACATCTTGATCAACCGGATTTCGGCATGCTCAGATCGCAGCCTATCTCTGCTACGGTCCATCAAATTGATCGAGACTTCCGGAGGTTTACGCTAACCATGAAGCCGGAAGAACTTCCGTCCTCGGTACTGAAGGAGCGAACAAACCCGGCTCCAAAACCAGCTCCAAAGGTGGACGACCTCATCACGAATCCTGTCGATGAGAATATCAAGTCAATAGCAGACTTCACATTCGGGAAGGTCACAAAAGCCAGAATCGCCTCAGTCAAGGAAACGCAAATCAATGTCGTCTTGGCGGACAACATACAGGGCCGCATAGACGTATCCGAGGTGTTTGATCGATGGGAAGATATTAAGGATCGCAAACAACCCCTGAAAATCTTTCGAGCCAAACAAGTCCTCCCGGTGCGGATTCTCGGAATTCACGACGCTCGCAGCCACAAATTCTTGCCTATCAGTCATCGTATCGGCAAGCATCCAGTTTTCGAGCTTTCTGCTAAACCAAGCTTTATCAACGCCGAAGATCCTAATCCTTTGAGCTTGGACCAAGTAAAAGTGGGTTCATCATGGATTGGATTTATCAATAATATAACAGACGAATGTCTTTGGGTCAATCTATCGCCTAATGTGCGTGGACGGCTACGTGCTATTGACTTAACTGATGATCTGTCCACCTTGGCCGACATTGAGAAGAACTACCCCGTTGGCTCTGCGTTGAAGGTCCATGTCACAGCGGTCGACCTAGAAAAGGGCCATCTAGATCTTTCAGGGAAACAAGGAGCTGCCAGGGAACTGTCTCTCGACAAGCTTTCGAAAGGAATGATCTTACCAGGAAGGGTCACGAAGGTCACGGAGAAGCAAATACTCATACAGCTTAGCGATACGCTTGTTGGTGCTGTCAACCTCATAGATATGGCCGATGATTATTCCAAAGCCGATCCGTCAATGTATCGCAAGAACGAAGTTCTCCGGGCTTGCATCGTTGACATCGATAAACCTAACAAGAAAATATACCTGTCATTACGTCCATCGAAGGTCCTCAGCTCGTCTCTTCCTGTCCAAGATCCGGAGATCCTGTCAGTCAGTCAGCTGAAAGTGAACGATATTGTCCGTGGATTTGTACGGAGAGTAGCTGACAACGGGCTCTTTGTCACTTTGGGCCACAATGTAACCGCCTACGTCCGTGTTTCAGACCTGTCTGACTCGTACCTCAAAGAGTGGAAGGACGCGTTCCAGGTGGACCAGCTGGTGAAGGGAAGAATTATCTTCGTGGATCCAGAGACCAACAAAGTACAAATGAGTCTCAAAGAGTCTGTTTTGGATCCTAACTACAAGACGCCTATCACACTTCGAGACTTAAAGCCTGGTCAGATCGTGACCGGAAAGGTACGAAATGTGGAAGACTTTGGCGTGTTCATAGTGGTCGATGGCTCTGCAAATGTCAGCGGTCTCTGTCACCGCAGTGAATTGGCTGAGCACCGTGTTGAAGACGCCCGGAAGCTGTACGAAAAAGGGGATGCTGTAAAAGCCAAGATTCTGAAAATTGATTTAGAGCAAGAAAAGATCTCTTTTGGTCTGAAGGCATCCTATTTTGAAGACGAAGACGAAGAGGATGTGGACAGTAGTGCTGGCAAGGAGTCTGATGATGACGTGTCGATGAGCGAGGCAGGTGGAGTCGACCTTGAGAGTGACGACGCTGATAGCGACGAAGGCATCACTCTGCATGATGCAGGGTCAGAAAGTGGTAGTGAGAGTGAGGCTGAAGAGAGCGATAAAGATGAGCCCAAGGCAAATGGAAGACCACAGGACGATATTGAGGGTCTTGACGCGGGCGGCTTCGACTGGACGGGAAATATTGGCGGCAATGACGCTGATGTGGCAGGTCCATCTGATTCCGATAACGAAGCGGCTACCAAGAAGAAGAAACGGCACCGCAAACCGGAGATTCAAGTCGACCGGACGGGTGACTTGGACGCCCGTGGCCCGCAGTCTGTGGCTGATTATGAACGTCTCCTGCTTGGAGAACCAGATTCGTCAGTCCTGTGGCTTCAATATATGGCTTTCCAGCTAGAACTCGGAGAAGTGGACAAGGCACGAGAAATTGCAGAACGTGCCATTCGCTCGATCAGCATTGGTCAGGAGACTGAGAAGTTGAACGTCTGGGTGGGATTGCTCAACTTGGAGAATACCTACGGCAACGATGAGACTCTGGAGGAGGTATTCAAGCGCGCATGTCAATACAACGACACCCAGGAGATCTACGAGCGAATGATCAGCATCTTCATCCAGTCTGGAAAGAATGAGGTAGGTTTTCTCTTTTCAATGGGATATTATTTGTCTATCAAGAAATCCACTAACAATTCTGCTACAGAAAGCCGATGAACTCTTCCAGACTGCTCTCAAGAAGAAGATCTTCTATTCGCCGAAGTTCTACATCAACTACGCGACGTTCCTCTTCGACACAATGGCGGCTCCTGACCGCGGTCGAGCATTGCTTCCCCGTGCCCTTCAGTCTCTACCTTCTCACACACATATCGAAGTCACTTCGAAGTTTGGCCAGCTGGAGTTCCGGTCTCCAAATGGAGACGTGGAACGCGGGCGAACAATATTTGAGGGCTTGTTGTCTTCGTTCCCCAAGCGCGTCGATCTCTGGAACGTGCTACTGGATCTAGAGATCAAGATCGGGGACAACGAACAAGTCCGTCGACTCTTCCATCGCGTTCTGGGAATCAGCAGTTCCAACAAGTCCCAGTCGAAGAAGAACGGACCTGTTGCGCCAGAGGAAGGAAAGAGGAAGTTGAAGGCCAAACAAGCGCGGTTCTTCTTCAAGAAGTGGCTGACGTTTGAGGAGAAACTTGCCGCTGCCGAAGGCGGAAACGAAAAGATGGTCGAGGAGGTGAAAGCCAGAGCGGCGGAGTATGTCAAATCTTTGCAGGGGGAATGAGGGTGAAATGAAATGCATGATTCTTGGTAAATAAAAAAAGTTCATTCTAGCCACATAGATGGTGTTGGTGTTTTATTATTGGGAAGGGTCTAAATGTTGTGCCTGTATATAATTGATGATGGTTTCACACGTACGTCTTCATGTGTCATTTTACAGAGATCCAATCCGACTGTTTAAGGATATCCAGTCTCCTTTCCAGGGTAGCAAATTTGGGCGAATTGACGAATTCTAGTTACGCAATGTAGCTTTCCCATAACACCTCCCAATATTATCTGAATCTCTATTCAAAGGGACAAGAATCCACATGGTATAAAGTAAATGGGAGTGTGTACATCACTCGCAGTAATACACGCATACGTATGTATGTACATTACAATTGCTGCCTCTTTTCCGCCATAAGTCGCCTGTACTGTTCGACGATGTTCTTCCGTTCCTCCGCGAGCTCCTCTCTTCGTCTCAGACTGCCAGCCGCCGAGGGCACGTTTGCGACATCAACCGCGGCGCCACGACGCATTTTCAATACCTCCTTCGGTTTCGTCGACAACTGAGGCGGAGCTTGCACCACCTCGAACGGGTTGGCTGGTTTCGCTGCGCGCTGGGCGTTGAGCTTCGCCCATGGATCATCGTCGTCATCTTCATCTGCAGTGTCCGGGTCGTTGCCCTTCCTTCGCTTCTTCTTGGATTTCACACTCTTCTTTTTCTTCTTCCCTTTCCCTGCTTCTCGCTCCCATTGCTTCCACAGTTCCAGCTCTTCTTCATGTTCGGCCTCTTTCTCGTCTCGTTCTTCTTCTTCCCGTTCCCGGATCCGCGCTTCCTCCTCGCGCCACTGCTGCTGGAGCCGACGCAGGCGTTTCTCATGTTTCGTCAAGCGCTCTTCACGGAGCTTGGGTAGGTCTGGCAAGGAAGCCGATTTACGAGATTTCTTAACTCCGGAGAGAGGCAGTGCTTGGTCGACCCGTGCGGCGAAGTCGGACAATTTCTCGCCTGGAAGAATCTTGGGAATCGCTGCGACCGAGGAGTTCTTCTCACCCTCTGTCTCTCCGCGTTTCCTCTTCTTGCTATTTTTGCTGGTGGCCTGTCCGTCATCGAGTCCGGATGGTAGCTTCCCCGTCTTCTGGTATTGCATCAGGCGCTTGAATTCGCGAGGAGTATCATCCTCGGCGGAAGCTTTTCGAGCCGCCAGTTCTTGTATTCGCTTCTTTTTCGCGCCATTCTTGCTGTTTTTGTCTTCACGGACAGGGAGAGGTTTTGCGATGAGATTGGGCGGCAGGTCATACGTGCTGGCGGAGAAACTTTTGTCAGTCCGTTCGAACAAGGAACATGATGAAGAGATATCGTGTGGAGATCAATCGTTGGCATTGGGCCAAAGGAGAGACAACCTACCGCTCGTCCTTTTGCCGTCTTTTGTGTTTGTGAGGCATCTTTATTGAATTAGAGCATTACTCTTTTTTTTCCCCTTCCTGTCCTGTGGTTTTCAAAATCTACTGCATCTCACTAATCGCGATAAGCTTAGCGGAAGCGATAGAGGGCGTCCACCGCCTGCCTGAAATGGACTAGTCATGTGATTTCTGGTGACTCGGGTGTCACCAAGCCTCAAGGCCTTTTCTACTAACTGGCTATTGTTACCGTCCTCTTGTTACCACCACTTGGTAGTCTGGTTGGACTGCAACATACAAAGTATAAAGATAATGAATGATGACCAGAGCAGGAAACAGTGATTGGAGTTTTCCGTGTACTATACAGCACAACAATGAGGAGATGCAGATATGGCAGGCTGTTACCTGTGCAGCAGAATAGTCCATCCATCTCATGCCTCTGAGAATTCGAATTCGATGTAGTGGTGCCATGGACCCCATGGATCCATTGCGCGGTCTGGCATCCGCATGTTACTGCCATTCCTCCGTACTGCTCACGCCGCTGGCCATGTAGCCAACCAATTGACTGCAGCGTAAGAACCCCGTGTGGAACGGCTGCTCCGCAGTCTTCAAGGCTGTCAGCCTGTCAGAGACTCGAGTGCCAACTCTGATCCATGTCTCGTCTCATGCCATGAACCACTTGGGTGTTGCTGGTGCCTGAGGACACTCACCCAGCACGGCGACTGTAGTGCAATAAATATTTACGCTTTTGCCCTCGATTTTTGTAGATACTCACTGGCAGGCGTGAGTCCTCGATTTACAGCCCGGTGCCAGTGTTGGGGATGTTGAAACAAGGATTACACCTGGCAGGCCGGATCTAGACCAAGCATCTCTCCCCACAGACTTGCCCCAAAAGTTAGAGCACAAAAAAGGAACGTTCAAGCAAAAAGTCTTAGCTTCAGACTTGTGCCGGATTCAGACCCGGGGTTGGCTCGAATGATGCCATCGCCCACCCGGCGCTTCCGGTCTCCTCAGAGGCATCGCCCTGATGACAGAGAGCAAGATTTCCTGGAATGGGCATCAGACGCGTCAAATTCAGAGGCTCCGCTACGCGCTCGTGACCTCGACGACGAAGAAGCGGCGAGACTCCTCAAGCCTGACGCGGAATGCACCATTAGCTCGTTGGACGATCTCGAACTAGAGCAACATGGGTACCCATTTCGATGGAGCAAGGTCCTGGTGAGACCACTCTCTCTATTATTATGGTCAGTTCGAAGGAGGCCAGTCAAGACAATTCGATCCCTTCAGCCTGATGGATCCCATCTGGATGCTGCACAGAGATCACCATCTCCCAAGTTTAGAAGGTTGCGACGGTTCTCCCTTGTTCTCCTTCTGCTTTTCGCCATGCTGTAGGTGATCTCTCCTGCTATTCATACTTCGAGTTTGTCGTTGACTAGTTCCTTCTGTCAGAGGTGTTATTCAGTTCGTCATCCTAGTATGCGGGATCGTCCTCTCGTTCTTCCCGGAGGAATTGGAACAGGCCTGGGATGACTCCAAAGGTCTGGCACATTGGCCTACAGATGCTACAAGGGATATCATACCGGTAGCATGCCACTCGCACAACGATTATTGGCGACCCGTTCCCCTCTTCTCTGCTATCAAGGCTGGCTGCATCAGTGTTGAGGCGGACGTCTGGCTGATTGATGAGGAACTCTACGTGGGCCATTCGACCTCGGCTCTCACTCCTAACCGCACACTGAAAAACCTCTATGTGAATCCTCTTGTGGATCTATTGGAGAAACAGAATCCGTTGACGCGATTTCACCCCTCCAAAGACCATCCTTTGCAGGGTGTCTTTGATACCGATCCGTCTCAGACCCTAGTTCTGCTTATTGACTTTAAGACCAACGGTTCAAAAACGTGGCCCTATGTCGTCTCTCACCTGTCTCCGTTGCGAGACCGGTGTTATCTGAGTTACTACAATGGTGCGGAGGTAGTCAATGGCCCTGTGACAGTGGTCGCGACGGGGGATGCGCCCTTTGATCTGTTGACGTCAAACACCACCTATCGAGATATCTTTTTCGATGCGCCGCTGGATTGGATGGCAGATGGAGACATGGAAAGCGCAGATAACACAGAACATATGCGTTCTATGCAGGATCATGGACAGGGCCACGCCGTCAACCCCAGCGTGGCTGATCCTGACAGATACAATCCTACCAACAGCTACTACGCTTCGGTATCTTTTAAAGAATCGATCGGCTTCCCCTGGCGCTTCCACATCACATCGGAGCAGCTGAATCTCATCCGGGCTCAAATCAACGGAGCCCACCGCCGAGGTCTGAAGGCCCGGTATTGGGGCACTCCCAGCTGGCCTCGAAGTCTGCGAAACCATGTCTGGAGTGTACTCGAGCGAGAAGGCGTGGATGTCCTAAACGTCGACGATCTCCGGAGTGCGACCACCAAGGATTGGCGGCATCGCTTCAGCGATTGGTGGTACTAGTCTGTCGGCACGCATCTCGGCACAAGTTGGAGAGTTATTTTGTCATTACATGGCGTTCCAAAAGTACATAGCTACTTTCTTGCATTTTTGAAATCGGCGCTTTGGCGAAGTCAATCTGACGCAAGATACCACTTACTGTCTATTTTATGATATTTCAATGTTATAACTGCATCTTCCTCATGTACAATACCAAGAAATATTGGGACATTTAAATAACGGATTTTTTTGGGTCTTATCATTTGGATAATTTTCAGGTTGATACCACTCTTCCGTCTTAATCAATCGATTCATGTCATTATCAGTATATTAAAGGAAAGCTAATCAACAGATCTGGTCAGCTGTACAGATAGGGTTGGGTATCCATCTCTCGCGATAGTCGTTGGTTCATGCCAGATCTACCAAGGCAGAGGTAATGTCGACCACTGACCATAAAACGCTAACTTATGATCGGTCTGAGACATGATATACAGTTATGTCAAGCTGCGCCACCATGAATAGTATGTGCCTCAAGATGAGGTGGTTCACAGGTTCGACTATAAACAGAACAGGGCCTCCTCGCCAAATTCTCGCACCACACTACCTTCTTCCCGGATGAGTTGGCCCAGCCAGCCCTGGGCTGTCTCAAAGTCCTTTGCTCCGAATTTCACCAGGACGAAGCCTCCTCGCACACGAGCTGCTGTCCATGTGACCTTATCGTGCTTGGAGGGAACAGATGCTGTGGACGATGAGGATGTCGACCAGTTTCGACCGCCAACGCGAGGCTGAGAAGCGAATTCCTCCATAAAAAAGGACCCCAATCGGTCGAAGATAGGCCCGTACAGGATCAGGGTTCCAATTATACCGTGAGGCCAGGTGCGTTCACGGATGAGCCCCTCTGCGTCCTTCGCCTCATTGTCAAGGATTACCGAATCCCTCAGCAATAGCCTCCGTTTCCCACTTGACTTGTCCTCGGACCACACCTCGTTCCGCCCTTTCCAGAGCTGGAAATCCCAGTTTTCCCCTCGCGAGGTGCGACCCTGTGTTACCCAGTCCAGTACGCACAGGCTACTCCTTTTGTTTCCTGTCTGTGTCCCGTCCACTGTGAAAATCTGCACTTGTTCGTATCGACTGTCCTTGAAAGGCGCAGATGGGTCCGGGAGATAGCACAGTGCGGCTTGACTTCCGATATGGACATCCAGCGTCTGTCGGCTCATGTCATCGCCCGGATTGCCCCCATGAGACCTCCCCTGCGCGCCAGGAGCTGTCTTGAATATCTTGGTGCTCCCTTGCGGCGTGGTCACAACCAGCCTTGTCTGCGGATTCAGGGTTATCGACACGTCGATATGATCGCCCGGAAGGAGACCGCCGCCGTACGTCAGGAGATACAAGTGGATAGGTCTGGTGGCGCAATCATCCAGCACGGACGATTCAGGGGTAAATCCCGGGGCGCGAGAGAGCAGCTTCAGCGGGTATTTGTAGGTCAATGTAGTCAGAGTCGGGACGGACGGAGGGAGGAGCGAGAGAACGACTTTGCCATTGCCGGGACTTGCGATGGAGGATGTAAATGGAGACTTGAGGGTCATTTCTACTGGCGACGTAGAATGCCCTCGACTCGTCGGTTCTACCTATACAGGAACCCTATCAACGACATCCAGATGCGATCAGTCATGATGTAGATAGATCTAAGCTTGCGGGGCTCAAGACAAGTTCCAATGGCATCGATTCTCCAAGAACAACCAGAACAAACACAACTATGAAGTCATTGTGGTCGTTATATCAATATTAATTCTGCATTTGTAGCGAGAAAGGAAGAAAATAGGCAGCTAGCCCATTGCAAGATAAGAAGACCTCAGTGACAAGCGCGACTTGAGTCGGCGGACACTCATCCAATGCAAAGCGGCAATGGCTAGGGCTAGGGCATGCACGGTCAGATGCTTATCGATACGTGTTTCCCGCTGGGAAACCTTATGTAACGACGCCAGAGGTCTGAGCGACCCGCGCGGGTTGGCGGCGGCCTAGCGGGAAACATCAAGTCGCGTAGCCATCGTCCAGCGTGGTCGGCGACAATTCCACGTTCTCGAGCCTGGAGTCCCCACGTCCATAGGCGAAACGACCCCAGTTTCGCTCTCCCGGTCCTTACGATTTTCCCAATTCGAACTCTCCTAGGAATAGAAAAAGCACCCAGCGCTGCTCTAGTTCCGAACTGGTCCCCCGCGTGTTCACGAAGCAGACGCGCGCGACGCCTACCGTTTCTAGCGGTTCGAACAGTCATCACGCTATTGCACCGGCAACAATCAGCCGTTTCTTCGCGTTTAAAATCTTGGAGTTGGTCTGCCTATGAAAAAGATCAGTTTGTGATCGAGCCTCGAATTGATCCCTCCTCCGTGCTTTTAAGTAAGGATGGACGCTTCAGCAGAGACCGAGCCGCCCTCATCGGGCCCGCCAGCGGAAACAGAACAGAACAGAAGAAAGTCGGGACGTGCGATCCGAAAACCGGAGTTCTTCTCTGAAGAAGTTCATAGCGTAAGAACCACTACTGCCGAGAAAAGGAAGCGCGCTACCCCACGCGACGATGATGAAGTTGATCAGGAGGACGACGACGAGGAGGAAGAGGACGCGTCTGAATCTGAAGCTGATGACGCGGAGGATGATGATCCTGATGAGGAAGAGATGAAAGAGAGAAGACGAGCTGCGCGCAAAGCTTCTGCGAAGAAGAGGACGGCGACGAAAAGCAAAGGCAAATCCAAGACGTCGCGCGCTGCAAAGAAGCCCAAGATCAACGGCGTTGAAAAGCAACTTGCCATTCGGTCTGCGACTACTAATGGCAAGAAAAAGACGTCCAAACAGAGGGAGAGAACAGCTCCGCCCAGACCAATCTTCCCTGCTTCAGCAGAGGGCTTGTATGGTACGGTCCCTATTCCTGTCTTTAGACAGACGCACTCCATCTATGCTGACATTCTCCGTGATAGCCGATATCTTCGAGAGAGGGCAAGCCGTCGACACTGTTATAGCAGAATGGCTCTCGCGATATGAAAAAGACCCCGTTGACGGCATTGGCGAATTGGTCAATTTTGTTCTGAGATGCATAGGCACGGATTTCGCTGTAGACAAAACAGATGTCACGGACGTCGATCATATGAAGGAACGTGTTACGGACCTCCAGGATGCCCATATGCAGCTGGAACCTTCGGAATATCCTCTCATCTCCAAAGATAAAAAGTTCAGGTCTTTCCGATCTACCCTGGTGGACTTTTGCGACACCTGGATCGAGACCTTACATCGTTCTTCCCTTCTCTACAATAGCGCAGCTCCAGCTGAGAAATTCCACGTTTGGCTCAGTGTAATGTCAACTGCGCCCAACCGAGCTTTCAGACATACTGCTACAGTCATGTCCCTGGCCGTGGCAACGGCTCTGTGCGATATTGCCCAAGAAGTGACCTCCACCGTTTCCACGTCTCGAAAACAACTCGAAAGCGAGAAGAAGAAAAAGACGCCCAACAAAGGCAGGATGGGCGCGATACAAGCCACTATACAAGAGAGTGAAGAGAAACTGGAGACGATAGACACAATCTTGAAAGACGCTTTTGACACTGTCTTTGTGCATCGCTATCGAGATGTTGACCCGAAAATCCGTTCTGAATGCATGACTGCTCTAGGCCGATGGATCCAGTGCTATCGAGAGATGTTTTTCGAGAGCCAATATGTCCGATATTTTGGCTGGGTTCTTTCTGACGCCTCCCCTCAGGTGCGCGCGGTGGCTGTGGAACAGCTTCGCCAGATCTACGAAAACAAATACAGTGTCGCTGCGCTGCGGTCCTTTACATCTCGTTTCCTTCGTAGAATGGTCGAAATGGCGACGAGAGATGTCGATGTCGGAGTTCGTGCGTCGATGGTTGAACTGCTCGACATTATACGAGATATGGGATTGCTCGAGAATGAAGATATCGATGCTGTCGGTCAGTTGGTATTTGACTCCGAGCCACGAGTCCGCAAGGTCGCGGGTCGCTTCTTCGCTGCCAACCTCCAAGAAATCTTTGATGCGAGTACGGAAGAAATGGCGGAAGATATTAACGAAGTCTTTGCGGATGAAGACGAGGAAGATTTCACGGCGCCTAAACGGTCCTGGATCAAATTCAAATGCCTCGTTGACATCCTTCAAACTTACGATGGCCAGAAAGACCAACAGAAACCAGATCGACCAATTGCCGGATCAATCGAAGCGCTCTCGGGGGCTCCGGTCGAGTCACGTTTCTTTCTGGCCACCGAGGCTATCTATCCGCATATGCAGGAACTGGAGCAGTGGCAGTCCCTAGCAGGCTATCTGCTCTATGATCATTCGCAAATAACCGACTCGCCGCCTCAGGACGAGGCCAGCAATGTGAGAAAATTTTACGCGCTCGAGGAGGGTCAAGACATTATCCTCCTTGAGGTGCTTGTCTGCGCAGTCAAGCTCCGGATCCTGGAAGTTGCCAAATCGGACATTGACAAACGGGGACGCAAGATCAAGGCTTTGACAGATAAGATACCAGTGTTGCAAGAAGAGATCGCCCACAACCTTGCTCAGATCATTCCTCAACTGCTCAACAAGTTTGGCGCTGTGCCCGAAGCTGCATCTGCTGTTCTTCGTCTTGAACACCTTGTCGACCTGAATATGATCCAAGATCTTCAGAAAGATGCAGCCGCTTACACGTCGTTATTGAACGATATCAACAAGCAGTTCTTGACGCACTCTGACCAGGACGTGCTCGCTGAAGCTAGTGTGGCTTTTCTTCACGCGCGAAGCTCCGAAGAGATGAAGGAGGCAATGGAAAGTAAGGTCCAAGAATTGTGGGACGATATGATCGATGCATTCGGCACTTTGTCTCAGAATAAAGATGTTCAGAACGGGACCTCTCTCCGTTCAAATATCCTCACGGAACTGGCAAACACTGTTACCAGAATTTCCAATCTCGCAAGTATAACAGATTGCACCAGTGTTATGGAGGCAGTACCATCTGCGACATCCAAGAAGCGCAAGCAAGACTTGGAGGCGCCATTCAACACCCTCATCCATCTCGCTAAGCGTGGTCTCCGAGATGAAGAGTCCGATGAGGATACGGCGAAACTAGAGACAGAGCTTGTGGTGAACAGCATCAAGTCTCTGTTGTTCTACTTCATGTGGAAAGTCCAAGCACTCACAACGGCCCTGAAGTCTGGCAATGCGTCCTATAACACTGCTTACTTTGAAGCTCTGGCGAAAAACCGCGAGACCTTCGTAGTTACCCTTACAGCCATCATGCAGAAGCGGTCCTCTGTTCTCGACGACATTCGTTTTGCCGCGATTACAACGCTCTTGGATGTGCAGACGCTGTTCGGTACCCTACGTCACATTGGAGCGACTGTAAAAGAAGAATCTAAGACGGTCGACGAAGATGTCATAGCCCAGACTCAGAGTTTGGCCCAAGAGATTGACCCAGAAACTCAAAAGACTATTTCACGATTTCACGATATAGCCGAACAAACCTTTGCGAAAAAATCGAAGCGGGATATTGAACGTGTCGTGGACGATGCTCCGCTGAATTCAGCTCAGGATATAAAGGACATCCCGTCTGATGATGATGAGGATGAAGAAGAAGACGAGGGCGACAACGTAGACGAAGCTGTCGCCAACGAGCGTCTCCGAGCCACCATCCTGGCTGAACAAAGGCTGTGTGAATTGACTGGAAAGATCGTATTGGCCATTATTGGGCGTGTTCTCGATGCTTCAGGGCCGCAGCGCGGAAAACTGAAGCAGAAATTGCTGAAGAACAAGTCTCGCTTAGGACATAACTATAAAGAAGTCGTCGCGTTTCTTGAAGAACGGAAGGCCCGTTCTGCCAATCGTCCGACTCAATCCAAGGACAAGCAATCTGCCAACGCAAACGGCGGCAAAAACGCAGCTGCGAAATCCAGTGAAAGAGTAGAGGAAGACGATGAAGAGGAACAGGAGGACAACCGAGTTGTCGAGGAGGATGATGAAGAGGATCTGCGAGCGAGGGAGCTCCTCGAAGAGAATGATGATGACGGTGAGGAGCTATCTCCACCTCCCGACGAAGACGAAGAGCAGGACAGGAATGAAGATGAAGATGAGGTAATGGGCGATTGATTGATTAGTCGAGTGTGCTATATCTCTGTTTTTACTCTGTCAGGCGCTGGCTGCTTTGGTTTTGCGTTTGCTTGTGCTTTGTTTTTTTATGTCGATTTGATGATACTCGTTTCTTTCTCTTACGTTGCCACATCTACTCTAACTCGCTTGTCTGCTTGTGTGCTTCTCGAGGAAACCAGAGGTGATTTTTTTTTCCCCTCTAATCTACTCCTCTTCTTTCCTCCTGTTTATTTACCTTTGTTTTTACCCGACTCTTACCGACCGACTTACTGACTGATTGCCTGACTGATTGATTGCCAATGATCAAATCAAAAACTTTTATTATTTTTCCTTTTTTTTTCTTTTCTCCTGTATAAACTATCTAAGAAATCAAATTCTTTCAATGTTATGTGATCGATTGATTGTCGTGTGATTCTCTGTATTTTTCATCTTATTTTTTTTGACTCTTAGTTTTGTGTAATGATAATTATTCATTATCTCGCGGTCAGATTCGAGATCGTTAGCTAGTTAACTAGGAGGATTGATCGATTGATTGATGAATCTGATTGTTTTTTTTTATTCTGATTATTCGTTTCATGGGTGATGAGTAATTAATGACAGCCAAGAAATAGTAGTAACGCCCCTAACCACGTACTGTAAGCGTAGTTGGCACATCATTATTATCGATCGACATGCGGTGACGCTGTCATGATCAATGGACGCACTCGATTCACTCTGGGGTGAGAGTTTTATCAGAAGTTACCGGAGTTGTCGGATCGATGGACTCGACTATACTCAAACTCAATGTGTAGGCTACAGAGTTGCTAGCCAGCATCACGCTTCTCTCTCTCTCTCTCTCTCTCTCTCTTCTTTTTTCTTTCCCTATTGTGCCAAATCGTGCCAATTACAACAATCTATTGATGCCGGACAGGCGTTGGCTATAATCGTAAAAGTATATACATAGGATTGATTACTTCTACGTCTTGTTGTTCTATTCATTATTGAGAGAAAGGAATCTTCAAAAAAGGACCATCAATCCAGTTATTTTTTTTAGTACCAGAACAACGGGGATTTGAAGAACAAGGACTTCGGAAATCCAGTTTAAGCTACTTCGACAGAGAACAACCCGCCACAAAATGGGCTCTTATCTCCGTCAGAATAGTCCACTCTGCCACGTGACGGAAATATATCTCGCCGAAAAGGGAAAAAAAAGACGTACATTTGGAAATAGTAAAAGAGAAAAAAAAAGAAAAGAAAAACACCGAATTGAAGAATAATACGCCTGGTGTATGAAAGATCATGCGACAAGGTGTTAACAAGAGGTGAACATGGGGATTACATGACTGTGAATCTTGTTTATCGTGCGTGCGTGAAACCATCATAACAACAAGGGGAGATCCGTGGGGCTGGGAAACAAGTCTGGGAATGGGGACATTCTCAAACGCCGGGAGAGATAGGGGAGGGGCGGAGGAACGTGCACAGGTCTGGCACTTGCGAATGCCAAGGCGGCGTTGAGGCTCGAAGAGCTGAAGGGGGATAGACCTCGATCAAGACAGCTCCAAATAAACTTGCCGTGGATCGGAGGACAAATTTGAGGTCCCAGCTTTAGCTTGATCGCACAACTCTGCTTGAAGGCGGCGCTGCCTCGAATTTTGATGCCGGTCCGAAGGGCAATATTACCTAGGACAGTGTCGCTCCACTTATAAGTATTCTTTGGACATGCTTACATATCCATGGAATCACCACCGTTGGCAAAGGTGAAACCGCCTGGTTGCTGCTGGTTGGTACCCAGGGCAAATCCAGTTTGAGTCTGCTGGGGAGCAAGCTCATCGATGTCACCAGCAGTCTCATCCTCATCGGAGAAGTACTTCTCGATGATGTTGTACGCCTTCATGTAGATCTCCTCATTGGCGTTGTTCTGGCAGTCGTGGATCTTCTCCATACCACCAGCCTCTTCAATGAACAGAGCATAGCGGTTGACAGCGGGCTCGCCAGGGCCTGCGGCTTCTTTGTCCATCTCGCCCACTTTGAGGATGTTCTCCAGCCCATCCAGGGCGACCTGAATGATCTTGTTGTCCGGGCACGAAAGAAGGTCGCACAGAGGCTTGATGCATCCTTGAGAGACAAGGTAGCGGATCTGGTCCGGCTTCTGGAGACCACCAGAAGTGGCGTTGGAGATGGCCCAGCACGCTTCTTTACGCGTCTTGAAGTCACCGTTGGACAGCAGATTGATCAACGGAGGAATGATGTTAGCGTCAATCACGGCCTGAATCTGCATCGAGTTTCCGGCAGTGATGTTGGAAATCGTCCAGCAGGCCTCCTTGCGAATTCCGTCCTTGGTGGAGCTGAGAAGAGAAAGCAACGCAGGCAGAGCACCACAGTTGATGATGACCTGGGTCTGAACATCATCGCCGGTGACGATGTTTCCAACGGACCGCAGAGCTGGGGTCTGGACGGAGGTAGAGGCATGCATCAGGAGCTCGACCAAGCGACGAGGGATTCCTGCCTCAATGACCGCCTGGATCTTGTCGTTTGAGCCGTCCGACAGGTAGGAAATAGCCCAGCAAGCATCAATAAGAACTTCATCATCGAGCATGTAGATCAGCTTGGCGAGAACGGGCAGAGCAGGGGAAATAGTATTCCAGTCGGGCTGCGGGGTCTTGCCGCGGCAGAAGTTGCTCAGAGTCCATGTGGCATTCCGCAGCATGCTCAGCTTCCGGCCATCATTGATGAGCTGCAGAAGAGGACGGAGAGCGCCAGCAGCGAGGACATAGTCACGGCACTGAGGGCTATCACCGGCAATGTTACCAAGAGCCCAGACCGCCTGTTCCCGAACATCGGGCTCCGGGCTGCTGAGGAGCTCGACGAAGATGGGCACGGCACCAGCCTCGATAACAGCTTGAGTCTGCTGAGCAGAGCCAGAGGCGATGTTGGTCAAAGCCCACGCTGCCTCGAACTGGACCAGGGTATGAGGAGACCGAAGGAACTCGACGAAGCGGCTCACGACACCGGTCTCGATGACGCGCTCGATAGGGGGGTTACGCTCTTTCGACAAGAGCTTTCTGAACTTTGTGGTTGCTTGAATCTGCTCATCGATGTTGTCCGAGAAGACTCCCTTGACCATCTCCGGGAGCTCCACGTCAAGCTAAAAAAGGCACAAAGGCGAGTCAGCTCCTTCATGTTGACTCAAGGTGCGAGACGCGTGCGCAAAACAAACACCATCAGAGATCCATGCTAATATTAATATTAATATAAAGCAAGGTGTAATCCCCGTGGCCGGAAAGGGCGAATATAAAATGACTGGACAGGGAAAACAGAAACGCAGGGATAAAAACATACCTCAGTCTCAATGGTTGCCCCCTCTTCATCACTGTCGGTGGCGGCAACCTGGCCGGCTCCAACGCCGATTCCGCCATCTCTGGTTTGGATGCCTCGTCGCTTAGCAAGGTTCTCTTCTCGCTTCTGCCTCCGGATTTCGACCTGCTGCTCTTCGCGGCGGCGACGGAGCTCGTCTGGCTTGAACTGATGTTTGGCCTTGAACTGGGTGCGGCGATGCTCTGGGATGTAACGATCCGCCATGGTTGCTGAACTTCAGACGCAGTTGGTAAAAATCTCAAGGGCAGGGGTCTCGACGAAGATAAAAGGCTGCAATCCCAGGCTTGGGGGCGCGTACGGTGGAGTGAGGGGGGAGATGCGGGCAGATGGTGGAGGAGGGGAAAAATGTGTTGATGCTTTTGAGGTGGGTTGCTCACGGGATGATTGGGCTGTTTTCAGTCACTTCCTGATTAAGCGCCACCTTCCGCCTAAGCGAATTTAGCGCCCCGACCGGCCGCTGTGACTCTGCCCGGCGAACACCAGCAGCACATCGGCAGTCCAGACCGCTGGCAGACAAAAACACGCCCAAAGACTTGCCACCTGGCCGCCAGCGGTGGCTGACCCTGACGACGCCCGCCTGGTGAATGCATGCCGCCGCCTGCCTCTGGGGCCCACTATGGGCGAAGCTCTTGGCCATCTAAGCTTCCCGGAAGGTTGTCGGCAATTGGATAGCTGATCACATAGTGTTCTTGATCGCCAAGGTCCAGATTTACTGCCACGCGACAATCTCCGTCTTGCTCTTGAGCTACTCGGGCGATACTGGACTTGGGAATCCTCAATGGAAATCCGTCCATTGGGATTGATATGAGCTACGATGCCCCCTCTTCCGCCGAAGTTTGTTGATGTCAACAGGGCGCGGTCAACGCAGGGCTATGTCAGTGTGATAGGAGTTGTCGTGGATAGCCTGGCCAAAATTAAGACAGGGGGCTCCTCATTCGTCGCCACTTTTACCATCAAAGATTCAGACTTCGAAGCACCGGCATGGACCGGACTCAAGATCAAGTATTTCAATGACAATGAGGATCTCATACCCGACCTGAGACTCGGCGATGTTATCTTGCTGCGAAACATCAGGGTCGGTCTATTCAAAGCGATTTACCATCTGTGCCTGCACTGACGCGTCGCAGATACGACTTCACCATGGGGTGTTGTTAGGCGTGGCTTCACAATGGGATGCGGTCCCATGGGCCATTTTCCGCCAGAGCGTAGAATCGAGGCCCTCGGTTTCGCTCATCTGCAGTCCCAAGTCCGCTGAGCCGACTCCGCACGAACAGGCGTACGCAAAGTCCTTGCTGAATCCTCTTGTTCAGGCAAGTTCCGAAAAGCAACCTCACCAAGAGACCCCAGACAAGCAGCCTACTGTGACACCTGATGTATCTCGCAAAGAGGCCAGCAATGTCAAAAAACGAGACTCGTTTACCCTGATCAAGGACCTGTCTGTTGGGGCGTATGTAGACCTTGTCGCTGAGGTGGTGAAGACATTTCGTGAACCCGACAAGTTTATACTTTATGTTACAGACTATACCACGAATAAGGCGCTATTTGAATATGCCAAGCCTGATGAAGAAGAGGAAGAGGAAGAGGAAGGCCGTCCAGGAGACGAGTATGGTTACAGACCCCGCCCGAAAAGGCGTTGGAAGGGGCCGTTTGGACGGATGACCCTACAAGTAACACTTTTCCCACCCCACTCTTATTTCGCCGAAGAAAATGTGAAGGAGCAAGATTATGTGTACCTTCGTAAAGTTCACATTAAGGAGCCGAGGACTGGCAGTGGGGTGATAGATGGCCGCATTCATGGCGACCGTCTCTTTCCTGACAAAATTTACGTGAGCGTCATTGAAGAAAATGACGACAATCCACGTGTCAAGGAACTTAAGAGAAGGAAGCTGGAGTACTGGAAGCGCAATCGGCTGAATAAAGCGCAAGATCAGGATTCGAAGAATGCTAAAAAGAGAAAGAAAGAGCAACAACAGCAGCAACAGCAGAAAAAGCAGCCAGTGAGGGAGGAGGGCCAGACTGAGATAACGACGACCATCAACGCTAAAAAATACGAACCTAACAAAAATAGTAAGTTGTTCTCGACGTCTTTCCTTATGTCGAGAAGGAGATATCTGACCACCGTACAGTTCAAGCCTGGAATCCTAGCATCCCCACCCGATCAGTAACGGATATCCTGACGAACGAGACACACAACAACTCTCTACCCGGTGGGATCCAATACAGGCTGCCCTTTCAAAACCTCTGCTACCGCGCCACTGTCCGTGTTGTAGATTTCTTCCCGCCAAAACTCGAAGACTTCGCCGTTCCGTACAACCCTGAATATGCGGTCCTTTCCGACTGCGACAGTGACGGGTTAGGTGACAGTGATGATGACGACGAGTCTGTCGTGAATGGAAATGCCAGCCAGCGTCGTCGTCGCTCTCGTCGCAGCTGGGAATGGCGGTTCTGTCTCCTAGTCGAGGACGCAAAGCCAGCGCCTCCCGGGCAGCCGAGAGACCGAATGAAGCTCTTCGTATCAGGAAATGATGCCGTGCATCTGCTCAAGATTGATGCTGTCGAGTAAGTCCTAAAGCAGAACGATAGTCCGAATTGGATATATGAGACTGATAAAAATGAACTTACTAATAATAAAACCAGTCTCCGAAGATACCCGGACAAGCTCGCCGAGTTAAGGGAAAAACTCTTCATTCTGTGGGGAGATTTGGAAGAACGCAAAAACGCCAGCCCGGACGGGAGAATCGATCTTAACGCTACTCCGTCCTCCAAACCATTCACCTGCTGTGTGAAAGAATACGGGGTCAGATGCGGATGCGATGTGTCGCGCGATGAGCGTGACGAAGACGCAATGACGGACGACGAGGACGGTGGTCACAAGAGCGGCTGCCTTGGTTGGGAAAGGAGATTTGCTCTGCATGGCACTACGATTATGTAACAATTATTATCATGAGGTTGTTTTCTGTAACTTGAAGATATGGATGCGGATATCTATGGCTTCACGAACTAAATACAGGCTCCGGATAACTAAGAAATGTATTTGCAGTCTTTTATCACCTGTCTCATCTTGCCCTGAGGGCCATACCAATAGTTGATAATAAATGCCTGGACACAAGCAGGTGCGTTATGGAAAGAATTTTTGCAGCAGGCCCAAGGTACCCACGCATATCATACCTTACTATCAAGAAAACCAATGAATTGAGAGGCTCAAAATACTCCAATGCTTCCTGCTCGGAAATCTCGTACCTCTTCCTTATTGACGGTGCCGGAATATTGCAGAGCCAGAGGAGGGGGCAAAAAACAAGGGTACCAGAGCACAGTGCCCCAATAAGCCAAATATTCATATTTTAGTAACTTTGACAACTGTGGTATCAATGCCGTGCTGGGAAGGGTCAAAACGGCAGTTGCTGCCCCAGAAACAATTCTTCTTACCAGGCTCACTTAGTGGGCAACGGTGGCCGTAGATGCATTTAGGGTCATCGCACTCCATCCCAAAACGGCAAGGGGTCATGCGAGCAATTGCCTGTAAGACAACTTTCTCATTCTTTGTCAGCTTGTGGGTGTGATCATGATGGCAATTCGTATTCGGACAGTCGCCCAGCAGGAAATGGAGATTGCAGAGTTTCATCTTCTTGATGCGGTTCATCTCCTCTTTGGGGATCGACTTGAACTCGAAGCGATCAATTCGCTGGCCGTACTTATTCCGCTCCACCACATTCTGCGGCGACGGATTAGCCGGTTTAGAAGACTGAAGGGAAACATCCCCGGGGTTCGACGCCGTTACAGAAGCCCACGAGGAAAATGAAGCCGGGGTGCTGGAGCTGGAAGAAGTTGTATTGGTGGAGGTCCTAGTGAGGGAAGCTGGTCCCTGATGAGGAGAAAGCATCGTTTGAGGTTGAGATACAACCTGAGGCTTGGAAGTTCCGTTGGACGAGGCCATCTTGGGGGTGAGCTTTGTGGTTCGGAATAAGTCCTGAAACTGTGTCACACGATAAGAAGCCTTGATGGACTCGAGTTCTTTCTCGAAAGGAACGCCTTCGATGAGCGATATCCGCCCTGTGAGTTCCCTATCGGCCAACGTCTCTTCCAGGAGACGAGCGTATCCATTATCATGTGAGCATCCCAAAAAGATCTGATGGCAGTGGCAATTGTATAAATTGAGTTTAAAAGTTTCTGGTTCCGCATAATAGTCAGCCTGCATGGCCATTACCATGGATTGGGCAGTCGCCCGGAGAGTCAATAGACCAGTATGCGTTCGTAACGACGCATCTCTCTGACACAGATATTTCGGTACGTACCTGCAATCTTATCATCGGCTCTATCTTTACCGGATCCGACATCTACAAAATCAAAAAGCAACCGACTCTCATTGAAGCCCCGCACGAAATCTTCCATCAGCGAAGGCGACTCAATAATTCCAGCCTGGTGACAGGCATGGCCTAATCCCTTCACATTTGCATAGATTCTCGTAACTATTTTCGGCGAGGAAACGTTTGGGAGGTTTCGTGCTACGTATTGGGTTAAGGCCGCCCATAACTGGTTCGCAGCATCTTTGCCGCCTTGTTCACCATTCTGAATGAAGTGATCTTGAAATATCATGCCATCGCCATCCAACAGGACAATAATGAAAGGTTCACGATCCTAGCAGTGAGAGAGCACCTATCAGTGATCTGCAATGGGCAGATGGCTGGCAGTTGGTAATCAAGGAATGCAAGCACTTACCATAATTTTCTTAATTCTCTTTATCTGATCCATCAGTTCCATCTCATGAATCTGGATGTCACGATTAAAGCGTGTTTCACGCTCATGATCGAGCTTCTCCCGCTGGTATGCTTCTTCTAGCTCGCTCACCCGTCGCAACAGCTCCTAGGTTTGGCGGTCTTCCGATGAGAACGAGAAGAGACGGAACTAAGAGAAATGTGGAGGAAATGCCTATTTACCTCGATAAGTTCATTTTTGCTGTGTTCTATCGCCTTGACCTGCTCATAGCGCTCCCAGAACGCTTGAGCGCCGATACCGGGCATTCTTGAGAGCGTCGTAGCTTGCGAGCTCTGGAACTGAGCAGAACTAAAAATAGGAAAAGGGACGAGAGGTGAAAAACAAGAATGCTGAGATGAACAGAGTTGAGCAGCACACAGTTAATAAATATCAGAGAGTGAATTCTCTTTGAGCGTTCTGTCCTGCGTCTCCTTTATTGATAGAACGCGCTAAAGCAACAACCCTGGGGCCCGCTTGCCAAATCACAGCCAGTGCAGAGATCGGGCCTGCTGCCACTGCAGCATGATTGGCAAGCAGCATGCAATCTGGGCGGTTTGCTGGCGACAAACGAAGCAAACTGCCGACAGGCGGTGTAGTGGCCGGGCCTGGGCAGTTCAGCCATTCAGGCGCCGCGATCTCAAGCCAACGCACGCGGCACGCCAGACAAAGGCTACGTGGAGAAAACCATCAGTCTGTCTTCCAGTCTTCCTCCTGGCCTGTCCCCTTTGGCTCCTATCAATTCACTCTCGTTCTGCTGTCACACCCGTCGGTCCGGTCACAGTCACAATGGGTCGCTTCGCCTTCCTCCCCCTGGCGCTGTTGTCGCTGCAGGCCCTGTTTACTGGTGGTCGTGCGACTGTAGGTCCATTCCACTCTTGACTTGCGCGACGGTCATCAATATACTCACATAACACCATGGCATCTAGGACGAGTCCGAGAAAGCTGAGGCACCGACTGAGGCCCCGACGTTGGCTGTCTCCGTCCAGGCTTCTTTCCCCGCCTCCGAGATCTTCGGCATCAAGCTTGTCAACGGCCAGCCAACTCAGGCCCTGCTGTCTTTCAGCAATGAGGAGGACTCTCCTGTGACGGTGAATTTCGTTGGCGGAAGTCTCTGGACGCCCGAGGAAAACAGCCGCATTGTCCGTAACCTGACGACAACGAGATATGGCGTCGAGATTCCGGCAGGTCAGAAGGAAACTCTGCCCTATAGCTTTGCGACGGAAATGCACCCTCAGGACCTGAGATTGAGCCTGGTGTCGGTCATTAGCAACAGCGAAGGACAATTCTTCACGCTCCCGGCGTTCAACGGGACCGTGAGCGTTGTCGAGCCAGAGACTAGCATCTTTGACCCCCAAATGTGAGATCAGAGCCCATCGGTCTGCTCGGACTTGGGTATTCGCCAATACTGACTCCTGGACAGTATTTTCCTCTACTTCTTTATCCTGGCTTTCTTCGCGGGCATCATCTACTTCTTCTACACGGTTTGGATTGCGCCGTATTTCCCGCAGAAGCGCAGAGGCAGGGGTGGTGACTCGAAGAAGTTCTCTGGCGCGAAGAAGGCCGAGTCGACTGATGGATCGAACGGTGCTGCCGCTGTTACTTCCGCAACCACCTATAATGCGGAGTGGATTCCGCCTCACCACATCCAGAGACCCGAGGCGCGGAAAGTGAAGGGTTCACGATCCAAGAGCAAGAGCCGTGCCTGATCTATTTCCTACCAAAGGCACTTGCCTAACTGACATGCTCTGGGCTTGGATTCGCTGTTTTGATTACATGTGATACCGACCTCTAGAGGCATTGTCATATGTATACTGAAGAGGAATGCTCGAATTCATCGCGGACACCTGGATCACTTATGATCCGATTTTTACAAAGGGAGGCACGGGTTAACTATTACCATTCAGAGGGAAGATGTATTATATGCAATTTTTTCGCCGTGTTTCACACGGCCGCCTATCATCTTAGACAAGCTATCTAAATACATTTCTGGGCTGCCTTTGACAAAGGCCTCGAATTGCAAGTGAATTCGATGTCGTCATGGATTTTGGTCAATGAGCGTAAGATACGGCTACAATTTTTTCACTCTTCAAGACACGACCAAGAAGTCTTGGAGAATTTCTACAGTCGTTTCCATTCCTCAAACTCCTTCTCTAGGTGGTTCTTTAGTTCCTGGAACCTGTTGCCAAAGTTCCTTCCACACCGCCAACAAATGAAGTCCCATTTCAGATAACCCTCCCTCCCAGGATGCCTCCGCACATCATCCTTCGCGAGCGGGAAATCGTCCAGGGAGATGAAGAATGGCGTCGTAAAGCTATTGTAGTGTTTCCGGTGTTTCAGACGATCGCTATGCCGGTCAACAGACAGGACATGAATGTGCAGATGATTCATGGACGGGTGCGCATGGATTCCACTCATGATTTCGCGCTCCCAGTCCCTGCCCGGCGGCAGCTCATCCACAGGGGGATCCTTGTCCATTGCTTCCTGCCGCGCTTTCTCCTGTGCGGACTCCTTGCCATACCTCCTTCGCAGCTCGCCGGCCGCTAACGTGCGAAGCTTCTTCACCTCGTCCCGGACTTTGTTCAGGAACTCGATATCCTCGAATGCATCGAAAGGGTGCATGCGAGACTTTATGGGATCCCGAGGAAGGAGAAGGAGATGCAGCGAGGACTTTGGGTACAGATCGTGGATTGCGACGAAATCGTCATTGTAGTAGACTACGGTTGAAGGAGGGTAGGATTCCGGCCTCTCGATGTAGGCACCGAGGGCATCACGAGGTTTGGAATGGGTCGTACTCCTGGAGGAGCCCTTGGTGCTTTTTGTTTCCGCCTGCTTCAACTGTTTGTTCTTAGGCGACATGAGCTCTGCGACTGGTGATAGACGTCAGTCGGTTCCGATTGAGCATCAAGACAGGAATGCGATGAGAAATCGAGCATTACAAGCATTTCGTTTTCCAGCCGTTTCTGAAGACGACGGCGTAGGCACGGACCCTCGATCCCCAGGGGCCTCCACATCTGAAGGATCTGATCCAGAGACGTCCGCCATGATGCACGATACTTGACGATCAGAAAGCGCTGTCTGTCTGAGGCAAGACGGGGAAGCTCGATGCCACGGAAGTTCCCCACCACCAGCTATCAGGCCCGATGCGGTCTAGTGCGGGACAAGGCTGGCCTGGGGAATTTGATATCATTAATTTGCTCCGCAACACAACTGCAAGCTCAGTACGATTTTAGCTCCGCTGGACGTCTCCACGGGCGTTTTGATTGCGCTATTGCGCGCATTTGTGTTGCAAAATGGGCCCAAAAGCAAAGGGCGGCGCCCGTGGAGGACCGAAGCCTGGGACCAAACAGGCAAAAGCCGCCGCCGAACGGTCTCAGAATGCGAGCACGCCGCAGAACGAATCCGATGCTCCCAAAAAGCCTACTGCGAAGGAAGTGATCGCTGGTGCATCATGGACGGGAAAACTTCCGGTGAACCTGCTCTCAGAGCATTGCCAGAGACAGAAGTGGGAGAAGCCAGAATATACCATGGTATGGGCCCTTTGTCAAAGAGCTACAGGCGTACAGCAAGCTGATGACCTTATTTTCTAAAGGACAAAACCGCAGAAGGGTTTGTTTCGTCCGTCATACTAAGAAAGGTTGATCCCAAGACAAGGGAATTGATCACTCTTCCTCCAATGAAACTTCCTCCATCGCACAAGCATCTCGCTGTCCAACCCTCCGCGCTCGAAGCTCGCCATTTTGCGGCCGCATATGCCCTGTTCCGCGTCTGCAATATGCAAAATCTACATACGGTGATGCCGCCTACCTATAGGAAGCTATGGAAGGAGGATTTCATGGAACTCAAGAATGCAGCCATAAAGGAAGGTAAAGGCTGGATGTATGAAGCGGACCCATTTCTGGCCAAAAAACAGCAGGAGAGCGCCGCGGCAGAACTCGAGAAGAAGGAAGCGGAGCGCAGAAAAGCGCAAGAGAAAGCAAAAGAAAGCGCCATCGACTTGGGACTGGGGACTGGCGGTGATACAAAAGGAGGGAAAATCTGGTCTCACGCACCCAAGGTGGACATGGGAACCAGAATGCGGCGGGATATTGAAGAGCTTTTGCGACAACACGCGATCTGGAATCCCTATGGCGTTCAGATTCCCGAGGAAAAGCGTAAAGAAATTGTCGACGAATTTGTTCGGTTGGGTTTTCGCCGCAGCCATGTCGAAGAAGCCGTCATGGAATGTAAGGACCGCGAAGAGGTGCTGGAATGGCTCCTGCTATATGTTCCTGAAGACGACCTTCCCCGCTGGAGTTTTCCAGAAGGTTACTCGGCAGGTGTTAGTCTTGCAAGTGGTGATCTTGTGCGAGAATCTAAAATCAAAAGGCTGGCCGCGGCCGGCTATCCGGCCGATCTGTGTGCTCAAGTTCTGGACAAGCAAAGTGGGGATGAAGGTCTGGCCGCAGAGTATCTGCAAAACACCCTTGTGCATGGCACACAAACACATTCCCCAGGCGTCTCTACCGAGCACGATGATGCATGGGAGGAGGAACAGCCCACGTTGGAGGCCATCTTTGGTGACCGTTACAAGCGACTGTCTCCTACAGTGTGTGAGATCAAAGGAGAAATTTCCAACATCTCAGAGACAGTCGCATTCCGATTCCAAAAGCCCTCCGGTAACTATCCTTCAACGCCTCCAATTACTTCAGTATTGGCGAAGGGCCTTCCTGCATACATCCGTTTAAGTGCAACCCGCCGAGCTGCACAGTATGCTGAAGAGAACCTTCTTGGTCAGCCAATGATCTTCAATATAATAGATTGGTTGGAAACCAACTTGCCTGGGATATTGGAAAATCCAGGCAAGTTACGTGATATTTCTCCGCTTGCCACGCCCCTGCAGAGTTCCAAAGCAACTTCCCAACTCCCGATAAGACCCGGGCGCAAGCAGCCAAAGAGTGTTGACCTGCGGCCTGGTTCGGCCGATAGCATATCTGTCCGTAAAGCATGGGAAGAGAAACAGGCTACGGCTGCCCAGAAAGAGATGAACCGGAAAAGAGAGTCGTTACCCGCTTGGGCCATGCAGGATGCCATCATCGATGCCGTCAACTCGCACCAAGTGACTATCATATCTGGCGAAACAGGAAGCGGAAAGAGTACTCAGTCAGTGCAGTTCTTGCTGGATGATATGATTAAGCGTGATCTTGGGGGTGTAGTCAACATTGTGTGCACACAACCTAGGAGGATATCCGCTCTCGGCCTTGCGGACCGTGTTAGCGACGAACGATGTTCTTCTGTTGGCGATGAGATTGGTTATGTGATACGAGGCGACTCGAAAGTCAAACCTGGTATAACGAAGATTACATTCATGACTACTGGAGTTTTGCTTCGCCGAATGCAAACGGGGCAGGGTCCCGATGACGATATCGCCTCCTCCCTCGCGGATATCACCCATGTTGTGGTGGATGAGGTGCACGAGCGCAGCCTCGACACTGATTTCCTCCTTGCCCTCCTCAGAGACGTTTTGAAGTATCGCAAGGACCTCAAGGTGGTCCTGATGAGCGCCACATTAGATGCAGATGTTTTCACTGAATATTTTGGCGGGCATGACCGTGTTGGTCGGGTCAACATTCCTGGAAGGACATTTCCTGTCGAAGACTACTATCTTGACGATGTGATACGGTTGACAGGGTTCAGTCCAGCATCATCACAGGCTGCTTTGGACGAAGAACCAGATATGAGTGTCACTCCCAAAGAGGATTCTTTAGGGAAAACCCTGCGCAATCTTGGTATGAGTATCAATTATGATCTGATCGCCTCTACCGTTCGATACATCGACTCGCAACTTGGAAATGAACCTGGCGGAATCTTGATCTTCTTGCCTGGTACTATGGAGATTGATCGGTGTCTGGCTTCGCTGAAGACGATACCAAATGTGCACGCCTTACCGTTACACGCTTCTCTACTTCCAGCAGAGCAAAGGCGTGTTTTCCTAGCACCTCCGAAGGGCAAACGGAAAGTCATTGCGGCCACAAACGTTGCTGAGACATCCATCACAATTGAAGACATCGTCGCCGTCATTGACACTGGCCGAGTAAAGGAAACCAGCTATGATCCCAAAGACAACGTGGTGAGGCTACAAGAAGTATGGGCCTCCCAAGCAGCTTGCAAGCAACGACGTGGTCGAGCCGGTCGTGTAAGGGCGGGAACATGCTACAAGCTATACACCAGGACCGCAGAATCCAACATGGCTGCGCGACCGGAGCCTGAAATCCGACGAGTTCCTCTCGAGCAGCTCTGCCTGTCTGTCCTGTCCATGAGGGGCATACAGGACGCTGCTTCCTTCCTCTCGAAGACCTTAACGCCCCCTGAGAGCGTTGCTGTCGAAGGAGCTCTGGAACTTTTGCATCGCATTGGTGCCTTGGATAACCAGAAACTGACCGCTCTTGGACGGTACTTGTCTATGATCCCCGCTGATTTGCGCTGCGCCAAATTAATGGTATACGGCTCAATCTTTGGTTGCATAGACGCGTGTGTCACCATTGCCGCGATTCTCACAGTGAAGAGCCCCTTTGTTTCACCTCGCGACAAGCGTGACGAGGCAGCAGCAGCCAGGGCGGCCTTCTCCAAAGGCGATGGTGACCTGATCACCGATCTCTCGGCCTATCAACAGTGGGCAGAACGGGTGAGGAGCCAGGGCTACTGGCAGACGCAATCGTGGTGTTCGGACAATTTCCTCTCCCACCACACCCTCCGGGATATCTCTTCCAACCGAGCACAATTCTTAACCTCGTTGAAAGATGCCGGCATACTCCCTGTGGACTATAAGGACCCGACGACGAGTAGTTCCGCATCCACGCCCCCAAGCCGCTGGGATCGCAATGGAAATAACACACGGCTCCTCCGGGCATTGATCGCGGGGGCATTCAACCCGCAAATCGCCCAGATCAGTTTCCCAGACAAGAAATTCGCCGCTTCGATGACGGGGACTGTCGAGCTCGATTCCGACGCTCGTACGATCAAGTATTTCAACCAGGAAAACGGTCGTGTCTTTATCCACCCCAGCTCCAGCCTGTTCTCTGCGCAAAACTATTCCGGAGGGGCCGCTTACCTGAGCTACTTTGCTAAGATGGCGACGAGCAAAGTCTTCATACGGGAGCTGACACGTAAGTACCACACATACATACATTTTGCTATATCACAGTCCAAGATGCACATATACTGACATGAGAAATAAACAAAACAGCCTTCAACGCCTACTCCTTACTCCTCTTTGCCGGCCCAATCGCCCTCGACACCATGGGCCGAGGCCTCATCGTCGACAACTGGCTGCGGCTCCGCGGCTGGGCGCGCATCGGGGTACTCATCTCGCGACTGCGCATGATGCTCGATGCTGTCCTGGCGGCCAGGATCGACAACCCTTTGGGTCATGACGATAATACTAATAATAATGGCGCTAGGATCCTTGAGGCTAAAGTTATCGATATTGTCAAGAGATTGGTGGAACTTAACGGGTTGGATCAATAGAAGAAAGAAAAAAATAAAGACCATCTATTTCCTGTGTAGATAGATACCACTTATTGGACATTTGTCTCGCTTTTGGGGCGTCCACGCAAGGTGCATATATCTTAAATATAGAACGAGGGAAAGAAGAAAGAGAGAGGGAGAGAGGAATAAATAAATCACATCGTACTCTATTCATTATTAGGACTACTCAAGACATGAGAACTATTAGGAAAACCATAAGATAGACAGACTAAAGGAAAGCAAAACATGAATGGCATGACTGCTGAGACAGAAGGAAATTCTCGTCATAACCTCTGCGGATGGTGAGTGATAACAGCCTCTGATGAAGGAGAAAAAAATTATGAAAGCAGAAAAAGGAATTGACAACCAGTCGAGCCCCTCCGATTTACCTAACCCTATCGTTCGCTACCCAGTGTCTCCGACCGAATGACACCTTAAACTCCTCGCCGATTAATGAAATCACACTTAGACCGCCGCACTGAATCCTCCACCCTCGACCCCCATTCCGCCCGTCTTGGAAATTTTGTTCAAGAAAACAAAGGAAATAAACTGCGTGAAGGTATGTGGGAACTAATGAAAGTGTAAGTAGCGAATAATGACTTTTTAGGAAACCCAAAAACGAGCGTCTCTTTCGGAACAGTCATGGGTGCCCCTTCTGACGGAGACTTGATGCCGACCCTAACCATCGTCATGGACCCCGAAGACGCCGATAGTAAACAAAAAAGTAAACCGGGCAAATCGTTAGCTAACGTCATTGCTCTCCGACCACGCGAGACGACTAGCTTTGATATATCGAAGAGAAGGAAGGTTTCCATTCTAAGTGTGTGGGAATCATTGCCGAAGATTCTTGGAATAATTGTTAAACCGGAGCCTAGCTGAACTGGCACCAGGAACTCTGATTGGGAAGACGAAAGCCTTTGGCCAACTCAGCCTCAACAAAGAGGGATGCACGCTTGAATCGCCTGTCCGAGTATTTCTCGTAAATGGCGGCGTGGTGCTTTTGGGGGTTTTCACAGCACTCGAGAATGAGAGACATCAGGGGGTACAGCTGCGAATATGTGTAATTAGAGTAATAGACGTGAGCGGGAGACTGAATCATGTCAGCCAAGCGTTAGCATGCCAGCACTTCTAAAGAAGACTCGGGACACTTACCCAGTTTCCCTTTTTCAACATCAGCCGGGCGAGGCAATGAGCCCCTGCAGCGGCGAAACTAGGCGGGCTTCCCACAAAGCGCTCGTCCATGATGGTGACTTCCAGAAAGTACTTCGCCAAAGTGCGCGTCTCGAGATCGTAGTCGTCAGCTTTGCTAATCCGCCGCAGAAAACTCATTGGACCGGGCCACCCAAGCTCAAACTGCAGCATGCTGAGCATAAAGCGTTCGGCTTTGAGAATCTCATCGACGGTGTAGCCGCCATCGACCATGTAAACAATCTCCTGAATGGACGGGCAGTTGATCTCCTCGTACTTAGCAGCGATGAAGATCGCCGTTGCGCCAACTAGCTGCAACTTGCCGAGAGACACAATTTTGCAGGAAAGAAAGCGATCGATGTAATTGACGCAAAGAAACAATGTCTCTGGAAGGAGTGAGAATCGGTGGTGAACTTGGACCAGCCAATCCATGAGAACAGACCGCATCGACCACTGGATCTCTGCTTGGTTGTCCATGTAGTGAGCGTTGGGCAGCATCTTGAGCTGTCAAGAATTGTCAGCATCCGTCTTGGAGGAAACGATAGAGTGGTTGTTGTTACCTCGAGTTCTCTCATGTACTCGAAAATCTCATCGCTATATTCCGCCACCATGCTCGTGTCCCAGTACTCATCCTCGATGTCTTCCTTGGTGCGCGTAGCCTCCACAATCTGTTTTGCCATTTCCAGTTCACGCTTCACCTTCTGGTTGTATTTCGGAAAGAGCACAGTAGTTGTGCCGCCAGTCGTGTTGTCGCCACGAGAACGGTACGAACGTGCCGTAGCGTAACCATCGTCTTCATCATTATCGTCATCTTCGTCATCCCAGTATTCTTCAGGCTCTGAAGGGGCAGGGCCCTGGTCGGAGCGCGCATGTGCCAAATCAATCAAGTCACGCGGCATCTGGCCGTCGGACTTGCGAAGTCCTCTAGATTCTGGAAGACTCGGTAACTCTGCGGCAGAAGACGTGGTGGAATGGGCATTAGGCTTCTGGTTTTCCTTCACGTCCTCCACGTCCTCCGAGTTTGCGGTGTCGTCAACGTAGGTCGTATCTGAACTAAGAGCGGGGCATTGCTCGGGAACATCAAGACCACTAGGCTCATGGGAGGACTTGGATTGTTCAATGCCCGTCTGTGGAATTTCTGCCGAGTTCGCATTGTTCTGCCGCTGAGAAGGCGCTGTGGATGGGAAACCGCTGGACTCTTGCTTGGCTGCGTCACTGGATCGAGGAATAGTGTGTTTGACCGTAGTGGACTTGGTCTCTGCCACTGGCGGCAGAGGATCTTTGAAGACCGCGTTGCTGCGCTTAGTGAGTAATTTGCGGGTATTCGCCCTCTGATGAGATGAAGAATTCTCTGCAAGCCTTTGCTTCGCAAGGTTATCAGTGCTCTTGGAGTTGGCCAAGACTCCCTTGAGACCAGAAACCGACATGGGCCGTTGAGCTGGTTGGGAGAGAACCAGGGGCTTTTTGTCTTGCGCCAAAAGCCCTGTCTTCGCTGAGGCGAGTGGTATATTCTTGCCAGCTAGAGAAGCATCGTCTCTGCTTGAGCGGACCTGGTGCATTGTATTACTGACATCTCCAAAGGCAGTTCGTTTGGCTGCATTTCTGAGGCCGCCATTCTGGACCGCGGTCGGCAGTGCAGGAGTGGACTTGTTGCGGTGGTGAATGGTCTTGTTGGCAGGCACGCCGATAGGAGCGTTCTCGTCTCCGCGGACGCGAATTCGCTGAGGCTATAACGCACATTTGAAAGTCAGCACAGCTCTATCCCCTGCTGAATCGAAATACGAATAGAATCGAGGGTTGTGGACTGAAAAAACGATGATAGAGTATCCCTGGCAGCGTGATCCCTAGTAAAGGAAACAACGCCCATGGAAGTAGGAAAGGGATAAACATTTCGAAGGGAAAAACAATAAACAGCAAGGAACATAAAAGGAATTCATCACATACCCTTGCATCCATCGTGAAAAAGTGTTAACGATCCCTGTTGAGATCCAGAGGCGTGTTTGATCTTGGTGGCGTTTTAGCGAAACAATGTTGATGCTGCGGTTGCCAACCAAGTAAAGAACGGCTCGTAAATGTTTACGAGCCCAGAGGCTTGTTTCTCGCCCAATTGCGATTCCACAAGACCTGACAGCCTAGGAAATGCAAGGCGACTCAGAAGGTCTTCGCCATGGATGGGAAAACGAGGGGGAGAGGGAAGCGACTGTGATGTAGAGGGCATATCAACAGGATGTTTGTTGACAATGCAGGCCTCAGGTGTCGCGGGACTCTGGACGGGCAACGCACCGAAAGCGGCTAGCCAGGCATCGGCGCCCGTCGACTGGCTGGCAGGCTTCCCGCTTGATGTCAACAAAGCTAGCCCGTCTTCGGACTAGTTTTTCCGTGCCCGATTCAGGCCGTCGGAGCCGCTTCGGGCCGCGCTAGCTGCTGACGTAAGCTGCTGCGGATCCAGATCTTTTGCACTGTTTGCAACGGATTCCGTCCCCGCCAGGGCAATGACATCATACGGCGCGTCTCCCCGCAGCAGGCAGAGAAGATGATTCCGCTCGCAGGTACAACCACACTGCTCTAAAATTACTCTAAAATTGTCTGGATATTCTACACAGCCATGCGATCATATTACGCTGCATTTCCATAACGCGCAAGGACTGATTGGTTGAGAAAAAGCCGTTGCTAGCAAACGGCCTCTTCGACGCGTCTTCCGAGCCGGCCCGTCTCGAAGCCGACGCGTGTTCACGTGACCATTTCCACCGTCTTCCAGGCCGATGACCGCCTCACGTCTGGGGATCATCCAGGCCCACCAGAGGCCCCATCACCCAGCTTCTGGAAAGAGATCTGCTTGTCGCAGAGCCTCTTGAGCCTCTCTTTCGCGGGCGTCATGTTTAGAGACGTATTTTCTGACGCACGGCGACTCTGCCATCAGCGAACCCCTCCCCCCATGCCAACTGGGAACCTGTTGGCTGCCGATCCTCAGCCAGAGCCGGTGTCGCAAAGCCACAAATGACAGAACGGATCGCCGGCCGGAACGAGCGGTGTCGAGAAAACGCAGAATCCACTCTGGCAGTTTTGTCGGCTTTGCAGTCCCGATTTTCGCCCAGGGTTTTTCCAGCCACTGGCCGTAGGGTCCTTAAAAGCCCTTCGTAGATCTTGCAGCCCAAGCGTAGGTCGCGGATTAATTTGCGTTCCCAGACACGGACGGTATGGGATCATCTGGATGGGTAAACTGGCGTAGCGCCGACAGTAGCAGCTAATAGTATCGCATATGCGCAACCACTCGGTGTGCCCAGTCTGATTGTGATCTGGCAAACCATTCGCCGAGCGCGCTTCTGCCATCCCGCCTTTCGTCTCAAATTTCAGAAACACACAGGACACGCCTCCGGACGAGATGATCCCATCGCAGATGAGATACAGGACCGGCAGGTGATGCGCCAGAGGACCCTGTCAGCTGTCCTCCGCACCCGCCAACGACAGTAATACTTGAGGCAGTCGCTGGTCCATATCAGTCAGTCTGGCCCATTAGCACGACGTCCCAGTGTACCTTGGACGCAGCAATAATCGGTAGACCGTTTGCCTGCAAAAGCGCCCTTGCGCAGAGGTAAAATACCTTTATCATCCACCAGAGACACTGCGCATCGCATGAAATATACCTTGCGCGCATCTGGACCGCCCCAAAGCAAAGGACCTTGGGAGGCAACATCTATTTCATCCCTCCCAGCTCGTAGTCTGTTCTCGAGCGGGGAGATTCGAGGAAGCGGAACAAGAAAACAACCTAAGCTTAATTTCGAATGGAAAGGAAATGATGTGTAGGGTGTGTGTTGTTCATGTTCGCAGCTCCAGTGTGATGCAACATGCCAGGCGGGAGGGGTTCCAATCCCGAAACGAATCGCCTCAGGTACAAACGCATGCTTTTAATATAAATAGCATTCCCTATCAAACTTGCGCATCCCGAAGATGCGCTCAAGATCGCGGGTTTTCTGACAGTGTATTTACGGTATCGACTGCGCTGAGCTCATAAGAATGGTCGCATAACCACAGTGAAGAAACTTGGGTGAGAATGTTAGCACCGCTGCAGCCACAAACCCCAGGACAATGCCGCGGATTGTACGGAGCAGCATGTAGAAAGAATGTTTATTGTTTTACTCAAGATCATGGCATCTCTTGCGCCCAGCTCTGGCCAGAGATTGATTCGTCTACACCGTCTCCTGTGCCTTCCAGCGCATGGATGACAGTCAAGTACTGTCCTGTAGTGACAAGCGCAAATCACAAAGCTGTCTCGTGAGCGCAGACCTTTCCTATATTCTGATGGAATGCGCTTGCTTCCTAAGCAGCTGTCCAGGGCGAATAAGCCCTCTTCCAGGCAGGGTCGAGCAAGGTGTTGATACAGTCATGCTCTAGCTCTGCGGGTGCACCAGGGTGGTATACTCGCGAACTCAAAGGCGCCGTCAACTCAGCCAGAAGGGCCTACGGAATCCTCCAGTAATTACTTTTAACGCTTGGGCAATCAGTTAAATAGCAGATTGCCAGGTAGTGGGCAGAAGAGAGAAGAGGGGCGACAAGTCGGGACTGACTGACTCGACTTACGTGGGCCTCGTGGGCAGCGCATGCGCATTTCGAGAGCCATGCGATTCCGACGCCTCCCACGGAACATAGGCACTGCGCTGCGCAACGCTCGAACGACTTTATCGCAAGAAGCCTGGTTATAGATAGATAGAGAGCAGTAAGATAGATTAGCGCTGTAAGATTTATAAATTTTGGGGAGAGTGGCCGGGGAAAAGGCGATGAAGTGGTCGATGTCGCCGACCAGCATGTCGCCGGCCCAGGCCGCTTTTCGCTTCAGGTGAAACCTCGTACGCTCGCACCCACCTGGCTCCCTCTCTCCTCACCTCCCAACGAACGCATGCGTCCTCACCCGGCTGGCTCCTCCCCAAACTTCATAGAGTGCCAACAGCAGTCTTCTGGTAAGTAGTCGTCTGGTAGAATCGTCCAATCTGTGATCTGCACCCTCCACCTCTCGCCCCCCAACCCAGCCAGCTCGACGACCCAGGCTGTGATGCCATCGCTAATGGATTCCTCCACTCAATAGGCAGCGCATCGTTGAGGATCCTCAAACCCCCCTCGACCGCCATCATCGCTAGAACATTGCCATCGTGTTTGGCTTCCTAGGCCAAGGCGACTGCTTCCAGAGTATTTTGCTTCGAAATAGGTTTGTCTCTGCTCCATCCATTGTCATCCGACCTTCGGCCGTCTCCTCTCCCCCAATACCCTCATCCAGCAATCGTCTCAGCGTCCACCCAGCGCTGGTCTCCCCAAATCGCAGTATCCCATCGATATGATGGATCCAGTAGACCACACAGGAACACGATTATGCTAATTTGTTTTCCAGTCCCAGCAGATTTTCCCACGTCGTCCTTGTGAGCCACTCTCGGCTGTTCCGACCCGGGCCCCCTCCCTCCTCCTATCGCACACCGAATATTTCAACAATTCCATCGATATTCTCATAAATAAATAAGCCATCATCCAAAGACTCTCCAGTCGACGTCGTCGACGGTTTGGATGAAGTTGGCGAGGGCTAAATAGCCTGCACGCCTGAGCCCATCTCCTCACCGCAGTCAATATAGAGGCGCCAGCAGCGCCCATCACAGCTGCAGGTGCTCAACCGCACATCCAGCCCCCAGCGATGCAAGCTGTACAGAATCAGCAGCCTCGAGCTGCTGAGGGGTACTCCACCCCGCCTGATAATCACACCGACACGGATCGGTGCGGTGGGAACGCTGCCTCTCACCAACAATCCCCCAGCAACCCTGTCCCCAAGAATGTCGCCTTCGAGCTCCTGCTGGATGAGAACTCCAAGGTCCGAGCACGGATACCAATGCGAGTGCAGATCTACCCTCATGATACGACGGACTCCATTGTGACCACCGTTAAAAACTTCTACGGTATCTACGATGGCACTGCCAGCGGCGTCAGCTTCGAGGATGAACATGGGAATACACTCATTGCCAGATATGAGAACTTGAGAAACAATATGACCGTCTATGTGCGCGTGATCCCGGTTCACGCCTACGGCGATGGCTATGACGAGCATTACTATGGATCGGCTCCATTGGATGCTCGCAAACGTCCCAGCCTTGGGGAGCCCTTCCAGATGGTGCCATCCCAGCCAACACAGGCCATGGACTATTCTCGGCCACCCTCCCGCCCCACGTCAAGAGTCGCTCGCAAACGCAGCACTTCTCCGTCCGGTCGCGGTCGTCGGAGCGCATCGCAAAATAAGGGTCCATCCAGGGCCGGCAACAAGAGCCGCGGATCCAGCGCCCATGGCAGCTTCAAGGACGACGGAATGGCCGGATACAGTGACAGTGAGGGCGGTCATGGGTCTGTCACGGGCTCTAGAAAAGCAAGAAGCGAGCAATTCGCCAGCTCCGATATCAGCATGGACAACATCCTTCAGGATGGTCGTAGGAAGAGGCCCAAATTCGAAAGTTCGGTTAGTCTACTCCCCTGCAATGGTCCTTATCCTGCCCTTCTGTAAACATCCATAGCTGACTAGGGCACCATCTTCTTAGGAACTGCCCCTGTTTGCGCCGCCTCAGGTGCCTCTGACGACGTCCACGTCCTCCATCTCGCCGCAGCGCCGATCGACTGGTCAAGAAGGAGAGCCTTCCCCGTTTGCACGGCCCGCGCAATGGCCCTATAACACCCGGCCGCCATTGCCCTCCCCCCAGAGCTTCGGTTACAATGAGCAGGCGTATGGTAGCAATTCTCGGAATTCCACGTATACGAACCCAATCTTCCCGGAGCACGGATCTCGACCCGTAGCTCCGTCGTCGGGTAACCAGAATTCCGGTCGGCACGGTGCCCCCGGTGTCCTCCCAACTCCCGATCCCACGATTGCCAGCTGCATCTCTGACGAGGACGTTGCGATGCAATTGATTCGACTGGGAGATGCCTCCAACTTTTCGCATGGTCGCAACTCGGCATCCACACTCGATGACGCTTTCAGCGGCGCTGCTGATGCTTCCTCCACCGGAGCGACCAGCGATGGGGGAGAGTACAGCGACAACGAAGAGGATGACGAACTCCCGGCCCGGTCGAGACAGCGGCTTGAATCCAGCCCTCTTCTCCCTCCAGGACACGTCAAGCGAACGCACAAACAACTGGATGACATTCTCCCCAGCTATGACAGCACCGAACCCAGTGGCGATGAAGGAGATGAAGATTACCACCAGGAGGATCGCCATGATGGCCAGATCAAGAGCGAATATGACGAAGACACTCTTTACGACCAGGAGGGCCCGCGGGCTAAGAAACTGAAAGCGAAGTCGGCCAGCACCGCCTCCAGCAAAGCCCGTGCCTCCAAGCAAGCGCCTGCCAAAGCCAGCAAGAATGGGAAGAGTCGTGCTAATGCCGCGCCTCGCAAACAGAAGGCCGCCTCGGCCACGACTGCTCAAAAAGCGACGGCATCGGCTCAGATGGCCAGCCCAGCTCCTTCGAGGAAGCCTTCGGGTTCCACGGTCAATTTTCAGCACCAGCTCGCTGCGGATGAAGAAGACCTGTCCACCAAACCGCGCTGCCAGCGTTGCCGCAAGAGTAAGAAGGGTTGCGATCGCCAGCGCCCTTGTGGCCGCTGCCGAGATGCCGGGATTGGATTGGAAGGTTGCATCAGCGAAGACGAAGGCAACGGCCGCAAAGGTCGCTATGGTCGTCACATGGGTGTCCCTGTCAAGAAGGCGCTCGAGGCGATGGCAACGACAAACGAGGCTCAACCCTCCTCCGGATCTGTTGTCGCTTCTACACCAGCGCCCTTGACCGCGTCAGAAAAGAATAAGAAACGCAAGCGCTGATGACGCTCTTGACGACTTTGGTCGAGAGGTGTTTTCGTCAATGCCTTCCACTGAAGTGAGTTGTCAGACAAGGAATGATTTCTGCACCTCTTTGTACGCACTCTATCTTCCACCTCGAATGATTGTGGTCTTCGGCGCAGTGAGACTGGGTGTCACCATGGCCCGCGCGGCCACCTGACTTTTCAACGCCTCCTAAGTTGAGACATTTTCGTCCTTGTTGATATTGTCGCGTACCATACTTTGTGTCATTTTTCCTTTGCGCCGTGCTACATGCACTGAGCTACGATCCTCTCATTATCAGCTCCATATAACGAATCCACTCCTTTGGCTCGCTTCTCTGGCTCGGATATATTTTTTTCTCCTTCGTTATCGTCTGACACTTCTTGATATTTTCTGCGTTTCTCTTATGAATAGTTGAGCGAGTACAGACAGCGGGTCTTTGTTTTGAGTCTATATCCGTTGGCGTTTTTGAGTGCTGTTTCCTACGATTCTAGTGTTGATCTTTTGTCCGTTTGTTTCTCTTGTTCTCCCTTCCATCGTTTGTGCGTCTCGTCTTCCGAGATTCCCGGCTCTGTCCTCCTTTCTGATTCCTATCCAGTCTTCTTCTGGATTCTTCTGATGCTAACGCATATCTTCGCGGGGTAGCGGAGTGAGGTGGAAGACTATATTTGCAGTATACGGGCATGCAGACGAAGGAATCCAAAAGGAAGCATGGAATCTGGCAGGCAGAGACGTGGCTAAACTATGGAGGCTTACATAGCAATATTTTAGTATGCTTTTTGTTCAGGTTTTACTTATAAAGATAGCTGAATCGAGCTCCATTGTGCAATATAATTATGGAGGGAACCGCATAATGTGCCAGCACTCGGTGTCATGTTCTCCGTCATCAATTGTAAGGTCTAGTAGCCAATGCTAGTTGATCCGGTATAGCAATTGCTTCTCTGCAGCTTTAACCTCTGCCAACCATCTTGTTATGAGCTGGGTTACCTCATGGAGTAAATTGCATTCTGCTGGAAAAGTCATGTGACCATTCCGGAACTGTACGCTAAGGCCTCGCAACTACCTGGGCTCTGGTGAGTTGGAGTCATGCATAACATCTCAAGCAACCTGCGAAAATGGAAAAGCTGCTTTGTTAATGATATAAGAAGCTGTCTCTGCGTCCTTGCAGCAGCAGAGAGCTGTTTCAGTGCCTTTGCTTATGTAATCCGTGACCCTCGAACAAGCCCAAACGGGGCTAGCGCAGATCTTGCTGCACCTCAGATAAGGTTAGCTCCTGCAGTTATCGGACGCGCGCCTTCTCTTTTTTTCTCGACTAACCGTGAATTTGCGGGACTGCCTGGGCAGCTACAATCACCCCACGGCATTTTCCCCTCCTTCGTCTCCCAGCGCTGCTCCTACTTCTCACCCATTCTTCCTCTACTTATTCCTCTTTCGAGTCAGGCAGTCATCGTCATCCCAGGATTACGGCTTGATTGGCACAGCCCAGCTACTTTCAAGCTTCTCCATTTTCAAATGGCATAGAACCAACACATTTCCGAATCGCCTAGGATCTTGTGACAGCGTTCGCCATGCCTCCCAAGGCAGCTCGTCAGGCCGCACCTGGGCCTTCTGCAAAACCTGAAGCTGAATCGGGGCCCAGCGGCAACACGGCATCAACGCCGTCAAATTCCGCCGTCCAGAATGCGTCTGCAGCCGGCTCGTCTGCCTCCTCTCGACCTCCGGTCCAACGCCTTCAATCGCTGAATAAACGTACACCCGGGGGAAGCATTGGTCCCCGGCCGTCTGTCGCTCGCGATGATCTCGGTCAGACGAAACCGACGCTGAAGTATCAGCCTCGCGCCGTTGGCCGCCGCAGCAAGGAAGAACGAGAAGCGATGGAGAAGCTGGAGGCGGAGAGGCATAAGGAGAGGCTTGCAGAGGCAGCAGCGATACAGAGAGCACGAATTGGTACTGGTCCTGGGGCCAGAGGCGGCTTCAGGGGGCGAGGCGGGGGTTTCGGTGCGAGTGCGAGCGGGCCATTGGGATCAGGAACAGCTGGTCCTGGTATGGCAAAACGGGGCCGGGGTGGTGCATTTGGCGGTCGATTTGGAGGCGATTCAAGAGCTTCGTCGGTGTCAAGGCACAGCATTGCTCGATCTATTACAGCAGCAACCAGTCGTTCGGGAGATGTTTCGTCTGACGAAAGCGATTCGGGGCTTCGAGTCAGCATTGACCAGATCAACCTCGAGGACGACGATGATTTTGATGAGCTGCCGGATGACAAGGAGAAGGGCAAAAAGCCGATCCCAGA